TAATCTCCTATCCGCAATATGAAAAGGCGACGTCACGTGACCAGAATAAAAAAGTAGCTTTATATCCTCGCTCCTTATTTACATCAAAAACTACGTGTACGCCATGTTACAAGTATTATGACAATTGATTAAGCCATAAAAGTAGCAAACAAGTTTATTTTCATATAATAGTATCTTTTCTCGCAACTGCGTGTACGCGTAGATTTTGGAAGTACGTGACCCCTTCTAAATAGCGTAAAAAAAAGATAAACAGACCAGATTTTAAGTAAAACTACAGATCTAAAGGAACATAACTGTGAAAACCGCCTACAATTTGGTGCACGTGTTTCTGAGTGATGCCGCAATAGACGGACAAAAATTCTGAGTTTGCTTTGGTTTTTATTGCTCTTAGACGTCTCGTTATTAATTTTAAACCGACTGCAAAAAAGAAGGTTCTCAATTCGGTTGTATTTTTTATATTTGTTACCTTCTAACTCCGTCAGTTCTAAACTAACTTAAAAAATTCTTTTATTTTATTTGAAAGGATATGCTTACAGATCATAGAAATTATATCAAAATCGGCTCAGCAATTTAGTCACAAAATTAAAATAACTGTTTTTGTCATAATTGATGACATCGGGTTTTTTTTTTCATGGAACATAATCTTAAATTATTCTTAAATATCTTCTATGTACAAACATAATCTAGGTACAATATTATATTAATAACATTAATACTTAAAAGTAAACATTAATGCATGTCTGTTTGTAATTTATATCAATTTAAATAAAGACGTTAAGATATAAATGTATATTCGGCACGTGTCGTACTCGTCTAGAGGTGAAGTCTGTATTTGAACCACGCTGGGGGTCAAGCGTTTGCATGCGTGGCTGCAGCTATATTTGTACGCCATTAAAAAGTAAGACCCAGGGAGATCTTGTTTAACAATAAAAAAATTTAATTTATATATATATTAGGCACGGCTAATGCCAGTACTGCCCCGATATCAATATATTGTATTCCTCTGGACATTGATGATGGAACAAAGGTCGTCGCCCATATCGATAACGCCCATACTAGTCTGATATCTATGCTCATTTCAATCGGCTTCTTCATTTCGATATTATACATTGTTATTGGAGCAATATCTAGATATTTTAAGTACAATATAGATATTGCTATATATTACCCACCTCTAATATTTATATCTTAACGCCTGATTCATTCGAAATAAGCAGACATAATCTTTTATATTTCAATTATATGAAATCCCGTTCACAGTGTTCGTTCACACACTCGGAAACCGCTCAACTGATTTTAAATTTTTTATTGTTTGCTCCAATTTGAGGGAGGATATTTTTGTTCACATTAAAAAACATTAAGCCGGTAGGTGACGGTAGGGAGCAAAACAACGTTTGCCTGGACAGCTAATATATATATTTTACGGCGAATGTGGCATACCAATAGTATACGGTACTTCAGTGAGATGGGTTATAATGATGGGGTTTAATTCTCAACCAGGACAATTTAAAAATAATTCTATAATTGACTTGGTTCTGAATGTATTTCATAGCAAGTTTGTTTGTTTGCTACATTCTGATGCCTTAACGGCTCAACAATCTTCAGGAAATTTATGCACATAATATCACGTCATAGTCGTAGAATACTGACGGATCTATATATGTAATCTTTGTCAGATTCGTCAGTATTCTACGACTGTGACGATAAGGACTGCAGGACAAATACAATTTTTTATCTAGACCAAGAACATATCACAAACGCATGGACAAAGTCACGAATAAAGTTAAAGTTGTTATAATCATACTACCTGAATAATGACCCATAGCAAATAATCTTTGATAAATATAATTTTCTTAGGAATGAAATATTCCACCGACCTCGCTAACGGCCACAACTTTCGCTATTACGAGTAGGTGCCCAGATCGACGTCTTCTTACGACCTTGTAATGTCAACTCGCTTTACATTTTTCATACTCGAGTATACCGCAGAACTAAACAAAAGCTATTTAGAATATCTGCATTATTCATATCCTCGCATTATACCGTTAATTTTCATATGTCATTCATTATTTAACATTTTTTACGTACACGCTTAATGTATATTATAGTATGTGTATAACCGTTTGTATATTTAATTACTTTCGTATAAATAACACAAAATAACTCGCTGCAATAGTAACTATACTATCTAATTAATACTTCATACCTCAAGTCTGAATAAATACATAAATCTCTCATACGGCTACCCAAATAAGGTCTATTTAATCACAAATTGGGAATTAGAATTTTTCGCTCGCATTTTTTATCATTCCAGTTTTCATTAAAAGGAAATTCGTTATCGTTCGTTATACCAGTTTTCATTAAAACCAATTTCCTTTTAATGAAAACCAATTAAATAAATCGCTTCTAAATTTCCTATCAATTTAAAACATACTACTAAGATAACATCTTAAAAGAAGTATTAATTTAAAGATTAAGTAGATAGAAACAGGAACGTTCCACGTGACAACATGCTTTTCTTTCAGAATTTCTTATAGACATTATTCATCGTCATCATCATCATATCTGCTTTTAACTGTCCACTGCTGAACTAGCCTCCCCCTAGGGGGGTTTTGCCAGTAGTTGCCACGCTTGTTATAGATTATACGCTAGTAGACACTATTCATTACATAACAATTAATTTATTTTAATAACCAGCAAAAATACATGAACAATATATATTTTCTAGATTGGTTAACACTAATTATGTAAAATTATTTAGCGTCTCTCAATTTCCTTTTCATGTACTATTTTGCAATTGAAGATTTAATTAACACTTGTAACCCATATAAGGTGTTCCAAATTCCATTCATAATCACATAGACAAACTATAAATAATATTTAAAATTGGATTTAGACTAAACCAATGAGTCAACATTATTCCATTACTTCGTCAATTATTTTAGTGTAAAGATTTTGATGAAGTAATCAAAGTTTGAGGAAGCATTCAGAAATGTCCATACACGCAAACTACATTGGTTTTCATAAACAGTTGATAAGAATAAGAAATCACATTATTATCAATTATATATTCGTACGTTATCGCAATTGATATCACGTGACGTTTAATTCTGATAACTTTATTTTTTTAACATCAAAATACATGCGACTAAACTAGGGCGCGTAACTACTGACTGAATGAATGAATTGCAGCAATAGATTAGGAGAATAGTTATAAGTGCTATGTTTTCTCTAGCACGTTATTACCTCAATGGCATTGATTATATAAGAATGCCCATCAAATGTCAGAAACAAATAAAAATTTTGTCAGCTAATTTGACGTTTAGCTGACAATTTCTTTTTTAATCAAACAAAAATCGCTTTTTTTCAGTGTTACAAATAATTAAATAAAAAATTCCTCAAATCAGATCGCTTTTTATAATTTGAATAGGGAATTTTTTTCTGATATCATTAAATAAATCAAAATTACAGCCATTTTCAATTATTTAAAAAGGAAAACATATTTTATGTCATTTCTTAGATATAAAAATATCCAGTAAAGATAAACAACATTAAAGATCATTAGGTACTGTTGATCTTGTACTTTTCAATATATTCTTCCACATTCTAAATAATAAGTGTGCATGTAACACACATGAAAAAAGAATTGACATGTTTTTGGCGAAACATTTGTATAGAGACACTTTAAAATCTAAGCTCAGTGCTGAAAGAAAAAGCTAAAGTTCTTTAGTCATTCCACTGTATTCGCGACAATTTTAATGATTATTGTTTCTTTTTTTTTGTTTTAATTCAACATATGTGGTAAAACTAATAGAAAGTGTCTACAACAAGTGTTAACACAATTACATAATGTGGAGGCGTATCGAATTCCCTTATTACTATAGTTTTTATTTATATAACATAACCTTAATATTTTGTACCATTTAATCTACCGCTGTGTCCAATCACCTACGTTAATCATTATTGTCTGATAAAGTCATTATACTTTATTTAGGTTATTCGTGTCATCCTTCTGATAGTAAGAAAGCGGAACGACATGACAATAAAAGAAATACATTATTAAAGATAGGCACTTATAGTGTGCTTTAATACTTAGTAGAATTAATATAAAAGGAACCAAGGTTTATTTAATTTATAACAGAAGTACTCTCTTAATAAAATTAGTAACAAATCCGAAACTTCGATTGATCAAATTTTTATTTGCCTTAAGTACTGCTGGAAATCAACAGTCTCATGGTTAGGTCAGTTAGGTATTCGTTTGTTTATATTTTTATTAAAATCTATTAAAACACACTATCGATCTTATAAAAACGCCAAACTTCTCATAAACGTATTTGGGCTATTCAACTATTTAATCTTTTATGCTACATTCCCTATTAAAAAGAAAGTAACGAAACCGTCTAATAGCTAAAATAGGTTTCTAGTAGGTTTTAGTTTTTATAAATCTATATTATAAATATTGATTCAAACACTAATGTTTTAAAATATATATATATATATATATATATATATATATATATATATATATATATATATATGTCTAGAAATTTTCTATTATTACACAATCATTTGAGGTTGTATCATATAAAGATGGAAACTAGATAGCTTAGAAACTAGATATAGTGCTAGTTAGTCACAATATTGCAAATTACTATTAATTGAACGGAAATGTTTGATGAATGATTCTGACGGCTAACGAATAGTGTTAATCTATTCATATTCTATTTTTAATATCTAAGCACTAAATGTAAATGTAGCTGGATGATAAATAAAAGAATACAAAAATAAAGGTGTTTACATGTATGTATTTTAAAAAATAATATAATAGTTTACTAGCCCGGTAGCGAATTGATTTTATCATTATAATTTTAATTAGAAATTTTCAGTGCCCTCTTAATCCCCCTTACATCTTTCTGTTTTTATTTAAGAGTTTTCTCTTGTGCAACTATACTATCATATAGATTATTATAATATAAAAATAATTTTGTTCATTTGTCCAGGTGGAGGTGTATCGCGGTGAGTGGTATGGGCGTGCGGTGAGGACCGGAGTGCTTCAACAAGATGACGGAGGGCGAACGACAACAGAGCGCGGGCGGCACCAACGCCGCACCGCAGCACAGAAAAGGACACAGGTCTGTTGATTTTACTTATTTTGAGTAAAATTTTTTTTCAATGGATGCAGATGAAATGATGCATCTACTTACGCCAATGGTATATAATGACAGAGCACCAAAGAAGCATGAAACTGAGGATTGATACAGTTCGGTTAGCAACAAAGGTACAACTACAACAAAAGTCAATGAACAGATATAGAATTATTTACAAAACAACTAAATATTAAAACTTAGAAATATTATTTAACAACAACAAAGTAAATTGTAAAATGAGGTTACCGTAAAATAATTTTACTATACAATATATATATGTACAATTTATGGTATATCTGAGTTCAACGGCTTTTGTTGTTCAGTTTCTTTTTTTTGTGACGATTACTAACAGTATTCGCGGTTATTGCTTCATGCATCTAAATTTCAGTCTATCCGGACTCGATAGAAGCTAGAATGACTTGAATACTTATTTTTTTTCTGCACTATTCCGAATGCAAAATAATGTAACTGTTCCTCTAATGGAAATTGCTAATAGTTGTCCCCTCTAACTAGAAACATATACGCCCATAGAAATTAACAGTTATCATAGACTAAAAAATATACATTATATAGCCCAAAACATCTCTCTATTGACAAGAATTGCATCATTTATGAGGTACTTCATACATTACAAATAAAACCTACATTTATTATTTTATTTAATAATAATTAAGTAAATAGAGAATGGGCGCCTATGATGGAGGGATGGGCAGCAGCGTCCCCCTTAAAACATCACCAAAAGCCAAACTGCGGTTGCCAACCCGACGATTGGGGAGACTATGTTCAGCAGTAAACAGTTAATGGTTAACAACCGTCTTCGTCGTAACTGGCACATCCTTTCCCTTCTTTACTCAATTCTCTTTAATCCAGTTACACCTCATTATTTAAAAGAACGTTTTATGTTTCTTGGAGAGAGCAATTCTAATTCTTATTCTTTACGTAGTACTGACAACCTCCAACTCATAATTCCTACCCATTCTTCCTCTTTCTACTCCAAATCCTTTTCCGTGCAAGCAGTTCGTTTGTGGAACTCACTCCCTACCTCTATACGGTGCGCTCAATCGTTGCCCATTTTTAAAAACTTAGTTAAAGCCCACTACCTATCCTTATAATCACTTAGTCCTACGTATTTCCAGTTTTATGTGTGTTATATATATGTGTATTAATATGGTATATTTGTATGTATTTATGCGTATATATGTATATGTATGTATATATATTTATATGTGTATGTGTATGTATATATATTTATATGTGTATGTGTATGTATATATATGTATATGTTTGGTTGTATGTGTTTATTTATGTATGTATATGTATATGACTATGCTGTCACAAATATTATTTTTTACAAATCTATCTTTTTTAACGCGCCACCTACCTACTTATGCTTTAATCCTTTCTACCCAAAGGTTGTCTGGAAGAGATTGCTTAGCAATAAGACCGCCTTTTGTACTACACGATACGTATTGAAAATTGTTTTAACAAATCATGTTATGTTGGTGCAATAAAGTGTTAAATAAATAAAATAAATAAAAAAATACAACAAGTAATTAATAATTCCTGCCAACCTTAAATCCTTCATTTATCTATTAATTAATTCGACATCCGCCCGCCGTTCTTTAGACACGTTATGTAACTTCAAACGCTCAATTCATCCCTTTGAAACTTTCGAAACTTCCAAATGTTAATTTAGGCTAAACAAAACAGTAATAACCTCTTGATAATATATATTGTAATTGTAATGTTGTTTTTACTTCTGTACGTTTTAGCAATGTTTTTAAGCAATACATAATTGCCCCGGCAGCAGTTGCTTAAAGATATGAATTGTTAAATTGCTCCATCCATATCGCTTAATGTTGTTGTGGCGGTGTTTCTAGTATCGATTGTTAAATATATTTGCCAGCGCAATAAATTTTATGTTGTCGTATATGGTGACGTCATATTTAGTAAATTATGCCCAATATTGCGCAATTACCCGTGGAAACGCACCTTTAAAAGCTAAAATCCTTTGTGTAATATATACACTGTCTCCAAATTTCTATCCTAAGTATTTTGGGTGATCTAGATTACCTAGATGCTAAGTCAATATATGAATCGGTAAGGATTTCATACTATGAAAATTATACCTACTAGCTACACCCGCATCTTGGCCGCATGACCGTAACCTATATGAAGTCCTTCATTCAAAATACTATATGTGTGCTAAATTTTATGATTATTGAATGATTGCTGTTCAGATTCCGAAAGGTAACGATGTCACGTTTATAATTAAAATTAGCAAAGATATAAGCGGCTTCAAAATCAATTCACTTGTGTTTTCAATCTACTTCTAAAAGTAGGAGGTTCTCAATTCGGATATATTTTTATTAATGTTTGTTACTTTTGGAAAATTATGTTGTTTGAAAGGGCCCCTAGAAATTTTATCAAAATCGGTTAGTAATTTTTTAGATTAAAATAATTGGTTTTGTCACAATTAATTAAAGACGGTCTTTTTTGTAAAACACAAATTGTTTTCGTATGTATGTTACACGATGTAAATTGTGTTTACAATCAGTAGGATTATTCCCGTGTTGCGGTGCTGGTCCCATATTGATTATGTCAATTGAATTTGCTTTTTTTTTTGTGTTGCTATGCAAAATCTTACATTTTGTATGTAGAGATGTGTACATGCATAATTAGTTATAACGGTATAGACTCAATACATTGATGGGGAAACTAAAAGGCTATGGTTACATTAAGTTGTACAAATACTAAATAAAACGTTTACTGCAACTGTTCTAAGCACTGGACAAACATTAAATTTATGTTAATCGCGTGTATGCAATCGACATAAGAGTTTTATAGTGTTAGTCAAATTCATTGTACCTCTTTTATCAGTATACGCGCATAAGAGAACATAAACATTTCCATTTCCTATTACGCAGTATACCTAAGAAAGACAATTATCTATATAAATTGTAACAATTAAATGAACAAATAACATGCAGATTTGACTGTCTCAATAGAAACGACCAGCTGGTTGTCAACAGTCAAATAATTTTGCAAATTGTTAACAGTTTATAACCACCATTAATCATATTTTATCACATTATCATTTAATCAAATATATGTATAATATATCAATCAAATACATCAAACGTTTAAGATGCATATTGTGCCAACATTTATTTTGATAAATAATGACGACTTTGAAAATCTAGCTTTACAACCTATGAGATTAGTCTTATTGAATCCTTACATCTTATTATAAATGTGAAAATGTGTTTGTTTATGTTACCAAGGGAGAAGGACATACGGTGCCTTTTATCGTCAGTCAATCAGTATATCACGGTCACGCGAACAAGTTGTGGATAAAAACTAGTACTATTATAATACCATCAACAAACATATAAGTAATTATTCGTCCATAATAATGTTCTTTGATAAAATTGAATAATAGCCATTTAGATCACTAACAACTCTGAGTTCAAAGATGAAAAGTTTATTTTAGTATTAGACGAATATTGTTTGAAGTTTTCTCCAGGTGTCCATAAAAATCGTCTATTAGTGGCAAACGTGTTACAAGTCAAGGTTGACTGTAAAATATTTAAATCGCTCTATCCACTGGACCAGAATAAAACTTCCCCTGTAAAATCTGTTACGTTACGATCCGGTCGGTCTGTCGGTTCGGCAAGCTACATTACACAATGGTCGCAAATTCGATTTCCAACAGCAACTGTTTATTTTGTGGTTCATCGCTCATCAGCATTCTCTTGGAGCAAATTATTATTTAATTAGATTAATTTAGATTTCTTCTAATTTTATATATTAACTCATTAACTATACATATACTTATTTAATATAAATAAATAAATACTAAATGTATATATGAAGTATTTGTCATGTATTCTCAGCATGCAATGGTCCATCTCTTCTTTTCCTGTAGATGTCGTAAGAAGCGAATAAGAGAAATTAATGGTCGAAGGATGAACTGCAGCGTCCCTCTTAAAACATCACCAAAGCCTAACTACGGTTGCCAATCCGCCTGCTAAGCGTGGCAACTACCTAACAAAACCTCCCAATATGAATAGGCGTGTGTTCAACAGTGGACAATTAACGGCTGATATGATGATGATATGAAGTATTTAGAAACAGTAATATAATTATATTAAAAATATAATGTACTTATATAAAACTATTACATTGATTTGTAACTAACAAATGGCATCGCCAGTAAGAACATACCATTGAAATTTACGATAATTTAAAGGTGCATTTAGATCAATCGAGCAAGTTCTCGTTTTTAATCTTGTTCTAATTTATTGTTATTGGAGCTCAACTGCGTTCTCAATCAATCGTGTGTCATTATTCTTTAAGTATACATTTACTCGTTTCTGTATTCTAACTCTTGTTTTACTCTTTACTTTATTAGTCTGAATCCACCTTGAAATGCAAGTGAAACAAAAATATTTATGCCTTCTGTGTAATGCTTACTATGATGCAGTATAGACAACAATCTGCAGGCAGTCCTTTCTTGTGAAATATTTATCAGCAGCCATTTATATTATGTCTATTATATAAATGTAATTTATAACATGGCGAAATCTAGAACTGAAAAAAGGAATAAATATAAAGTAATTTACATCGTCAGCAATATATAGAGCTACCTACTACATTAATTGCCAAAAATGCATACCTACGTCAGAACGGCAGAAACAACAAAAAATAGCGGTCAATTAGTCGTACTTGCTCGTTTCGTTTCTTACTGTCAGTTATTTATACCAACGTTACATAAATGATGCTGAACGGGTGAATCAACTGCAGCTTACCTATTTAAAACTGAATTTGTAAGATGAGTACTTCAGGTTCACCACGGCACAATTTGGAAAACTGTAAGTGAAGTGAGCAATTTATTCTTAAATAAATAAATGAGATGGTATTGAATTGCAATCATATTCAAAATATATATATATATATATATATATATATATATATATATATATATATATATATATATATATATATATATATATAATACTAGGACACCGCGAAATATATATATATATATATATATATATATATATATGTATCGAGTTACGACTTGCTGTTCCTATTACACTGAAAAATGTAGTAACGGACAATATTTATTTTTATCTACATATTTTGTAACAGTTATATTTATGAAATGTACCAATCCATAACATGTGTCCAATGGTATATTGTGAGAAAAATCACAGTGTCTATTTATGGATTACATAGACCTAGTATATTTCCACTGCGTATAAATTTTATCTAGAATCAAATTTAAACTAACACTTGTACTCTATTATACGTGAATGCTGATAGATGGTCCTTATGAGAGTTCATCACCCATGAAATGATTATGACCCACTTACTCGGATTGATTGCATCTATTAGTATATTCCATTATCTAACACTGGTAAATCAATTATATATATATATATATATATATATATATATATATATCACCATAGTTATCACATGCGGGCATGCATTTGCAATATATATATATATATATATATATATATATATATATATATATATATATATATATATATATATATATATATATATATATATATATATATATATATATATATATATATATATATCCAGGAGGTTTTGTCTCCTTGCCAACATCTGGTGTTCAATTATGTTTACATTGACTTATATATCTACGTAACTTCTTCTTTGTGTACATGTGTATCTTGGCTTGACTGGATCCGAACTGAAGTAATTATCACTTCCTATCCTTGAGTTATCAAGGCCTTCTCTCTACCAAAATACTTTAGTAGTTTACTCATTGACCTCTGTTAATACTAAACATTCTGATGGATGTAAATATATAGTAGTAGTAATAGTAACATACCTGAAATCACACAAAAGCCTTGATTAAGGGGTTATTAAGAAGTAATTACTCTAAGAAGTTAATTCTTTTGAGTAAAAATAATATGTGTGTATTAACATGGGCTCTCACTGAACACTGCTAACTAAACAAGCATATGGCCCAACTAGGCTTATGCCCAAAAAGTATTTGCAGATTTTGTCACAATGAGGAAGAAACGCCGCAGCACTTAATGTGTGGCTATAGCCCACTCATACTTAAACGATATATCTCCTTTGGAAAACACACTCTATATGCTGAGAAGATAAAAAACGTCGCTACAAAGGACATTTTAAAATTATTATCATTGATAGGAGTTAGCAGTGAACTTTAATAAAGGGCTAGCACAAAAGATCATAAAAATGTCGCAGTGTCACAGGTTTTTCTGCCTGAAAAAGCCCGCCTTTACATAATTATAATAATATACTTGGTACCAACATTTTCTTCTGTTTTATATTTTATAAGAGATATTTACGCGAATATTTTAGTAAACTATCGTATATTTTCGTCTCCTAAATCGCAACATAAAAGTGTAAAAGTTAATATTTTTCTAGTGTCGTAATCATCCTAAATATTTCTTGCATTTAAATTGTAATGTCGTTACACCATGTCTAACATCGAACCGTGAAATCTACATGCTCTTAATATGCTCTAGTTATGGTTAGTTTTAAACCAAAAAACTATATCACACGACAATATAAGTTATGGAATGATTATAAAATAGAATACCAAATTTTTTACGAAATATCATAATATCCGTAACAACATTGCACCTCAATTTCTATTAAATTACATAAATAGTCGCATATGATTTGAGTAAAATGTTCATTCATTATTAAAGTATATTCCGTGTACCTAATTATATAATAATTTATAGTTAGATTTTAGAATTTTCTTTTGGTCGTCAGATTTATTAAAATAATAGTCGTAATAAAACCGACCTGATTCCCTGTTTTATATTATGAAATGAGTCGTACCATCTCAAACATTGACTGAATTAAGTACGTTACTAAGGGAGATATACCCCCTTTTATAAATGTTTTCTTTGTTGATAAATAAAATCAATAAAACAAACAAATTATAAAGGATACTTTTAGAGGCATAGTCAACAGTATCCATTATCTTCTTGAAACTGATTAATTCTCATTAATCTGTAGTAACATATTATTAAAATAAAAGTATTCAACTAATAGAAAAATAAATTATAATAAATAATCCTATTATTCTTTATTATAACTTTCTTGCGTCACACGTCCCATTGTCTTTATAATGTCTATCGAATGTCGCCAAATATTGTATTGTGGGGCCAGAAAATAATGTTACTCTGCGAAAGGGCCGCTTTATCGTGCCTAATCCATGTCATTCACACACACCTTCATCTAATGTTCCTGTATTTTATCGGATAACACTCATCGCGATATCGCAGATAACAAAGTTTGCGACACATGGCCTACAATTCTAAATGCCACGGGTTACCGTAACTCGCCTCACTTCATACATCCATATTAGTCACCTCGTAGTCTTTTTTCGATAAATACGCTGAAATAACGTACCTTCATTGTATTATTTTTATCGTTACAACAACCTACAAATATTGTGATAATGAAATCATAAAAATAATAATTAATTTTGTGAATTATATTTGTCATGAGTGTAATATTTACATTCGGATGTTTATTATCAAATAGTATTGATGATGAAGAAAACTTTGGAAGAACAATGTCGGATCCTATTAGAAAGGTATACAACTTATGTCATAGATAGTATAATATTATAATTTTAGTAAATATTTTGTTTTCCACATATTTGTTTATAGCATTTCTCATATACTATAAAGAATCACACGAACCACAACAAAAGAAATAGGTTAAATACTTTAGTAGAAGGTTTTAATAGAAGGTTTAAGTACGAAGGACTTAGTGTATAATATAGATACAGTCACTACATTCCATTAGTAAAAATACTAGTTTTGTATTACTCACTTGGGTGGGTATTATCATCTTAATCTGCCATAAAACAACAATATCTCGATGTAAATGATAAAATAACCAATATTTACTTAGAAACTAGATGTAACGTAACGACTTAATATTATCCATATTAGTACTTTCTTTGTTTAGTTCTGATACCACTTTTCTTAAATTAGTTTGAGATTATCAGTTTGTTCATCACTCTAGTGGTAGTATAATAAGGCTAAATTAACGGCGTGTTAAAGTTTCTCTAAGATTAACAAAGCTGAAGTTATGCAAGAGTTCTTAGGCTATCTATAGTAAAAAGGGAACCTATTGAGCAGAAGAGGCCTTCTTAAAACATCGCCAAAACCCTGACTGCGGTTGTCGTAGTAAAAGTTTGTTTTTTTTTTTTTTAACTATTACTACTTTTCTAATCGTATAACTTCAATTTTGAGCGAGTGACCCCGCTGCTTTATTTTTTTTTTTACAAATTGTACATAAAAATAGAATCTAATGATCATCCAGTAGAATGTTTGTAAACAAAGAGCTCTTGAGGAGTGTCATTTCCCACGATTTTCTGAGCACTTTCTCTCATTCATTACTTGAACATTGAACATGTCTATTATACTAGGTAGACTACTATTTCCAGCTTTAAGGTAATAACATCATTTTTTTATTAGGTGATAACTTTCAATGTTGCAATATGAAGAGAGTCAATCGGCTAATAACAGAAATGAAACTTGAAACTCATCATTAAATTTAATGCTAGTTTAAATCTTCACTTGCCCCTCTGTAATCAAAACACTTAAATAAACTTGTTTAGAATTAATAACGTTTTACGTATTCATGTTTAAATCTCTCAAACTTGGTCCCACTATCAAAAGCTGTCAAAACAAGCTCACACATTATGTATAGCCGCAGAATACCTGATAGTAGGTACCTACACTAGTTATAGGTATATATTTACGGAACTACGTTCACACATCGTTTTGAAAATGTTAATATATTTTTAATTATTTTATCTTTATATTTTATTGAATCTAAACATTATTTTCGGTATTTCCTATGTGTATTCCATGCTTGATAGTACCAAGATCACGAATCTTTACTACAAGATAATCTATTGATAAAAATCGTTGAGTTTAATCGATAACTTGACTAATATCAAAATTTTTAAAAATAAAAACGTTCATTGCTGGCTAGTACAGGCGATTATTCAATATTTTTGTCTAGAACTAGTAACCACTAAGACCACGACTAAAAAGAAATTCATCTCTTGAAACTTTTCAGCGCTAATAGACTGCGTATTCTAGAACAGGTGTATCAAGTAACTAGTTAGATATTCATTAAACTGAATGTGTTGTTTAGTTTAAAATTTGTTTAGTATTAACATTATTATTTTTTGTCAATATGCTGTCGCTGTTTCAAATTAAACTGAAATAGTGAATTAATCAATCTTCCAAACATTCCAAACCGTCAGATTATTCTATATTCTATTAGGAATATTTCCTCATAGCATAATAGTATATATACATATATATATATGAGCATAGAAAAGTATGTAATAGATCATTTTAAAAGATACCCGTTTATCTATGATGATAAAGGAAGTTTCCTTATGACCGGATAGCGCAATACCTAAATCTTTTATTAAATTACATGAATGTTTGCAGGAGGCAAGAGTCGATGTACGCTATGACAGGATTATACGCCGAGTCTACGTGCGCGGAGGGTGGCACAGACGACAGTGCAGGACCAAGCACGCCGCCACATCCCTCGCACCCGCCTCGGGAGCCCGGCAAGTGTCACAGCCGAAATCCTTCCGCTGGGATATGCGACAGGTATATGCATAGAACCTATTTTTTGTTTATAAATAATGGTAAGGTATCAAACGAATGATGCCCGCTCTGTCAGTATAAAGACACCACTAAGAAATGATAGGTGAGGATAAAAGCAGGTCAGTTGGCCTATCGTGACGAATTCATCATAAAATAATCACGATGACGCTTCCACGGGGGACTGCGCGGATGTCGATATGACGAGTTATATTACCAGTAATGCGGCCGCTATTCCCAGTAGCTAACAAGCTCCTCCCCCGCACAGAATCTATTGACCTACAAACGGTTATGTGAACCCATATCAATCATAGTAAACAAATCTATCATCTATTTTTGCAGAGACCGCGAACGGGAAAAGGAAAAGCCCCGTCAATTGTTTCCAGAAATTCTAGACATTCCTCATGACACAAGAGACTGCGGGATCTTATCGTGGAGACCGCTTTTTATCCAGAGATTTTCTAGTATTAAAGTAAGTTGTCAATCAAGTTTTCCATCTCTTTGCAAATATGTAATACTATAACAGTATTAAATTTATTATTACTTTTTTTCAGGTTTTTGTATTTTTTCTTTCGTTTCTGGTAACATTACAACAAGCTTTAAGCTCCGGATACATAAACTCTGTGATCACTACAATAGAAAAACGTTTTGAAATTCCTTCGAGTCTCTCGGGTCTCATCGCTAGCAGCTACGAAATTGGAAACGTCATCACCGTGATCTTCGTCTCATATCTCGGCAGCAGAAGACATATACCAGTTTGGATCGCAGTCGGTTAGAACATTTTAAAGTATATATAATAAAAATATAATGTGCTTATAAATTCCATTTAACTGCACCTACTCAAAAAAGGAGAGGAATAACAGAGCGTAAAACAGTCCTTGGAAAGAAAAATGTATATAAATTCATTATTTTCCTGTTTTGTGTTTCTTTTATATATTATAAAATATATACTATATTTATAAAAGCAAATACATCGTGTATTATAATTGTAATGATGAATACATCTTTAAATAGAAATATTATTTCATTATACGAAAGCCAAAGGCAAAATACAAAAATAAAGTTATTAATGTGGGTGTGCACAGATGTAATAAATAATCACTTATTACATTATTAAGAATAAAGACATCAAAGACGTTATACTATTATAGAATAGTCTAAATTTACAAAAACTATAATATGTATAAGTCTTTATCATTTTTCCTAATCCTTTTACTTTACTTTTACATGTATTAATAAACACTATGTGATGTGATTTACAGCACTAATTCCTAAAATGCCTATTTATTGATAATCACTTTCTACCACTTTCACCAAGGGGTGAACACACTTTTATTTTATTTTGTAGGTGCTGTAATAATGGGTATTGGATCATTAGTATTTGTCGTTCCCCATTTCATAGCCGAAGTGAACAGCGAAACACTAATGAACAATAAATCGGATGATAACATCTGTCGCTTGCCGAGAGCTTTGGACCAGGATATGGGCGGACTAGGCCGATTGTCTCAAGGTCTCCCGCCGAGTAACTTGAGACCTGACAATTGTATTAAGGTGCGTATTCTTATACTCAAGCTTAAAATTTCACTGACCTAAAGTGAAGTGGCTCTTAGTTTGTATTTTCTATATGTTTTACTCAATGTCTTTACCAATTAGGAAGTTATAAGTTTATTCTTTTTGTAATATAATAAAAAGGATTTATCTATCCGCTATATTTCACTTTAATTTAGCTAGAATTTTTTTAAATTTAGTACAGTACCTATATATATTTACGCTATTTAGAATGGCTTACAAGCTGTTGGATAAAAAATTGTAATATACGGAGTAGAACCGACATTCTTACCGGTGCGTAAAACTAACATACTACCCATACTAAAGATAATAAAAGAACAAAAAGTACATAAAAACTCTTATCGCTTTTCGACCCATGTTTCTTTTGGTGAAAATGTTCCGTTTCGTTTGTAGAACACTCCCTTTAAAGGACACTGATTAAATTTCATTTTATGCATATGGACAGCACCACAATATCACAAATAAGTACTTAAAATTATATATATTTTATGTATATTGATAGAGTTCGCCGAGCACTTTCATGCCGGTCATGGTGTTTGTTGTGGCGCAATTGCTCTTGGGATGCGGCGGATCTCCTCTCCTAACGCTCGGCACGACATACGTCGACGACCACGTACGGCCGGAATCGTCCAGCATGTATATTGGTAAGCCGAGAATTTAATATAATGCTTCACTAAGTTTTTATATTCAGCTAGTGTCCTCCGGCGACCTTTGTAGTATAAGACTCATATTGCATGTCTTTATTGTCATGCTCTGACTGGTGCGTCGCTCGTAACCACACGATGTCTCTCATAAATTGCCAGTGCCGTGGTACTATGACTTGGTCTAAGTCATTGAACCTATAACAGTCATGCTGTTTTATTGCTTATTTTTAATTCGTGTTTCAATCCAGGTCAGTTATATACGACTGCATTAACTCTCAAGTTTATATCTATTACATGTCCATCGTTCTAAAATTATTCAGTAATAAATAACCACTTAATATAATGTTACAGTTATAGAATACTAGCTTTTACCCGCGACTTCGTCCACATGACGGGGATATGTTTACTGACAGGAATAAAAAGTAGCCTATTATTCTCGATCACTTATAATACATATATAACAAATTTCATAGTGACTTGTTAAACCGTTAAAAGGCGCTATAAGGAAACAAACAAACTCACTTTCACATTTATAATATAACTAAAGATTTATTCTATATTTAAGCGTGTTAATTGCGTTTAATGTATTTTTATTTATGAATATTGACTATAAATGTGCTGGTTGCTTTCTGTACATGGGAGATATATAAGAAAAACTATTATAGGGGGCTTTATGCACGCAATAGAACCTAAAACAATTATTTTTAGAATTTTTGTCTGAATGTCTTTTTGTTACAGACAAAAAGACATACACACGTTTGTTCATGCTAATCTCAGAAACGTTTTAACCCATTTTAATGCGGTTTTCACTAATGCGTTGCGGTTTGCTCCACATTTAGTGTTTGTTTTATTTAAATCGGATTATAAATAAAGAAATTATATCAATTTTAGATTGATATAACTCTATTATTTAATCACATATAAAATGCTATAAACTAACCGATCAGTTGAATTAGCTGAAACTTTATGAAGGTATTAGCTATACGCAGGTATAGATACGTTTTTTAGTAATACAATCTATATCTACACTAATATTATAAAGAGGAAAGATTTGTATTTTTGTGTGTATGTTTGTAATGAGTAAACTCAAAAACTACTTTGCCGATTTCAAAAATTCTTTCACCATTAGAAAGCTATTCATCTTGAGTAACATAGGCTATATTTATTGCTAGAAAAGATTAGGGATCCTTACTGAAACTTTAGTAACTTAACTGAAGGTGTAAAAAAAATGCTATAAAATGTCTTTCGTCGCTTGCGCTGCGGGAACTATTGGTGAATGAACAAAAGTATCTTGTACAATATTGAAGAAAATATCAATGACTACAAAAAACTTCGCGATACTATATGTCCCACTAATATTGTTATGTCACAATAACCACTTTTTACATTTTAAACGTTGATAGAAATTCCGACCATAATTACACCATGTTATTCATACTCCTGTTTAAATTCTTATCCAAATAAATCATATTGTTTTCAAAACTCTTTTAATTTACGTAAATTGCTTTTTGATTTATTCAAATCAGCTACATTCAATAGATATTGCGAATTTAATAAGTTATAGAAATAGAAAAAATAACGCTGTTCCGTTGTACACGTTATTCATACCTATTTATTAATCCTTATCCAAATAATTTTGTATTCAAAATCGTTTCAATAACTGCAGAACACTTTTGAATTTTTCAAATTGTAGGTATATTCCATTCGAAAGATATTATGTTAAAAAGTGTAAAATGTTGCAAAAATGTCCATTCGTTCGAAGCCGGGACGGGCCGCTAATAATACATATAAGACCGGATTTATGAGGTATTCCAATGGGAATGATATATGGAAACTACTCGTACATAGTTAGAAGCGGGCAACATCGCGGAAAACGGCTAGTTTTAAATAAAAATACTGTTTATTGACGTGATGATATATACTTTTTAGTTCATTTGTTTTCAATTTCCTTTTTTATAAAAAATTTTAATTTAAAAAGATTAATTTTGAACAAATATAATGTCATAAAGTTACTTACCGACTTAAATTAAGATACATTATAGGTATATTTATATTATTTATCAAAAAGAAAATATCTTTTTCAAATATTTATACTGTTAGTATAAATTTAATTTACATTATGATTATATATACTGCAAGAAACAGGTCAATAATCACTCTCGCCTATGACAAATGAATCTAGCGTTAAAATATAAATAGATATTGTTAACTGAATTAATTTGAAAATATATTTTTGGAAAACCAACAGCTTACAATTTATAGCTTAAAACAATAACAACTTATCCATAAAAAAGCCAATAACAGGTTTTCACTGACTTAGCGATATAAATTTGTCGTGGTTAGAGTAATTATAAAATTTAGATGAAAATATAAATAAAAAAACTACACTATAGTACATCATAACGATAGTTACTAGATTGTGTGTGTGTGTGTGTGTGTGTGTAAATACATTTTTATTCTAATCAGTTTACCTTATTTTATTTAATATCATTCATAGCAATAATAGCAGAATATATAAATTCCGTTAACATTTCTCGTTTCAAGTTGTATAAAAAACCAATCATTAATAAATAATGATTAAACGGTACGATTTATAAACTAGAACCGACTGGGCTTTGAATTCAACCGGTGACATGATACATTCACATACCAAATAAAAATTAATATAGCCTCACCTACAACTGTGTAATTCATTCATATACAACGGCGTCATAAAACTGCAGGATCCATTTAATAAATGAATCTCTCTATAATATACTTGTAGGGTGTTTGACTGTTGAACCCACGCGTGTTTTGCTAACATCAAACACAAACTCAAATTAGTGTCACTGCACTATTGTCCACGTGTTCGTAGTTTTATATGCATTTTACAAATTCACGTCATGTACGGTCGATAGAGTAAGGTCATAACATGCCCCACCTCAGAATTCTAATACAGTAACGTTACCTTTTAGTTAATTGGTAGTGAAACAATTTTTAATAAATACATACGTTACTATAACAGTTTAGAATGGGCTATAATTACAGATTATCGACTGTAAGTATGTTAATAAAAACAAGCATACGGCCCGTTTGATGGTCAACGGTGTTACCGTAGCCTATAGACACCTGTAACACCAGGGAAGTCACGCGCGCGTTGCCGACCCTTAAGAAACTTTAATACTACCTTTTTAAAGAGCCCCATGCTGTAGTCTCTAGGGAAAACCTCGACAAGAAGATCATTCCACACCAAAAATATGACATTCTAATAGTGATTATATAATTTATAAGTGCGAAGTAATAAAATTATACAGTCTCACTCAATAATAAAACGGTGTAAAAGTTTAGACATATTTAAATCTTCCTTACTAAATAACTAAAATTTTGAATACATTTAAATAAAATCTTTCGTACCCATGCACCCTTATTGACTGCTAAAACACCGCTGGTTACATCCATACAGCTAATATTTTAAAACATTTTGACGTTGTGCATGACTTAAATCTGTAAAAAGGAGCGATTTCGAATAGTGCAGCAATAAAGTTGCGGTCTATTGCATGGCTGGATATACTGCATTTTATTAAGTTTTGTGCGCTTTAGCTACGTCTGGGCTTCTGCCGAAGGCAGGTCGTGTCCTTGACCCGCTTGCTGTACCTTCCGTAGCCGCAACCAATCAACTATCTACTCAAACCCATTTTTAAGCGACTTCAATCTCGAAAGTTAGAGGATTCTTAATTCGCGTGTACTTTTTTGTGTGTGTAACACATTTACTCGATTACGTAACCAATTTTAAACCGATTATGATAATTCATTTATAACCAGTAAGGTTAAGTCCCGTGTTGATCCCATATTTTTTTACGATTATAGAAGTTTTTTTGTTGCGGTTATTACAGCAATCTAATGTAGTCAATACGTATCTTGAAATCTTTAAGTTATTTTTTACTCTTGGAAAACTAAGTATAGTAAATAGCCAAGTTGCATATATATATTAAATAATCTGCTTAATTATTTATTTTTCACTACTTCACTACATATGTATAAAATATATGTAGAAGAAAGAAACGGTGTTTTTGAAGGTTAAGAACGTTCTTTCGGCCTCAAGCCTAATTACATCCATTTGTCACCGGTATCGATTTTCCAATACAACTCGTCTGTTGCTTCTGCAGGAAGCAGCTGTCCCACGACCGCTAGCTATATTACATGTAGTTGGGGCAACCTGCCAATTTATGTTTTGTGTTTTCTTTTTTAAGCTATTAGAAATGCCAAATAAATTGGCCACCTGATAGAATATGAAAACTGTGGCATGTCCATATAAAGTATTATATCTCTTATGGCCACCATATAATGATTTATAGATTACATACTTATTAAAGAAATACTTCGTACAAAATTTGTCTGTTAGTGTATTTTTTTTATACAACTTAGAATGGCAAACAATCTGACTGCCCACCTGACGGAAAATTGTAACCGTCGCCTAAAGACATGAGCAGTACCATGGACATAACAGAGTGTACTGTTTCGCCCATGATACCCCCGTGCGTTGCCATTCCTGAGGACTCAGATGTTATTCTTCTGTACCCTGTAAGTTCACGCTATATCTCATCCTTCGAACCGAAACGCAGCCATGCAAACACAACTGCTTTACGGTTGAAACACGAATGGGACAGAGGTACCCAAGCAATAGACTTTTGTACAAAGTCTCCTTCTGTCTCACTCGTGTTTTCAATTAATCAATAACAGTAAATACTGGGTTAACGATTATCATCATCATATTGACCATAAACCTTACCCATAAGGAGAGTTGCTACGCTTGGCAGATAGGTCGACAACCGCAATTAGTTCCCTTAATTATAAACTGTATTAAACACGAGATCTATAATATTCTTAAATGGTATTCCGAAAACGTTTTACTTTTACAATTACATAAGTTTATAATCCTATCATTTTTAATCTGTGATTTGAGAAGATTTATGAATGGATTTTACATAAAATCGACTAAACATATTTGATTACTATTTGATATACAGACATATTTTTGCCTAATGGTAAGTAGTTACCATATGCTATGGACGCGTACAATTTCTCAAACATTTCATGCGCAATGCGGACCTTGAAGAAACCCTTTTATTTCTTTTTAATATCTCCATGCTCTAGTCTCTTTGATAATTCTTTCCCAGATACGTATTTGTAATTTAATATATTATTTCTTCTAAGAAATTGAATAATACTTTTTATCCGAGTAATGGTTTCCGGGATACAATTGAACTCTCTATGCAAGCTAATTTATAAACATTCTAATACCTAGTCTCTTCTAATATTATAATTGTGAAGAGAATTAGTTTGTTATTACTTGATGTCTTAACAACTGCACAAATATTCATGAAATTACAAATGTCATAAGGTATTTTTTTCTTTGAATCGATCAACATAATGTCCCAGTCACGTGAACGAACTCGCGGGTAAACACTTAACAAACAGTAAATAACACGTGCAGAACTTCTAAAACGTTAATTATTGTCCAATCATTCTTCCAATAAACACCCGTTGTACCGCTAACGAATTCGTTTTAAATCAACCGCTAAATAACTTCGTTACTTTCTCTTGACAAACGCAATTCGATTTAATAATTATGTTATGAAATCGTGATTAAATTGTGGCCCGTCGTCAAACAACATCCTGCTGAAGTAGAAACAAAATTATTATATCAATACTAGATGTAATCCACGATTTGCCCGTATGATTTAAAGTAAAACGTCTTTAAATGAATTAAAATAAAAATTTAATTTAATTGAAATTATTTTTGCTAGATTTTTCTAATCTGAATAATATAAATTTTAATAAATTCTTGATGAAATATGAGTGAAGGCTAAACTTTTTACTTATATATTTATTTACTAGTTTTTATATTATATAGTGTTTATATGTTAAATACATATAAACTTCTTCTATGTGACCGGGATACATTAATTATTTTGAATAAAAAATAATCTTAAATATTACGTGTAGGTATACTAAAGTTGAGACACCAAGAGATAACAAACTCAATTTCACACTTATAATATTGTTAACGATATCATTGTTGCTAATAAAAGAACTGAGATATAACAGGTGAAATTACTCGTGTTTTAGTTAGTCTTAAATTAATAATTACTACAAAATATTATCAATATTAGCATTTGGTAAATCTTATATTGTCCTTGTAAAATCTTAGGATTTCTATAGCTATACCAGTAACATATTAATAACATTCAAAATAAAATTTTAACTTCCAAATTTTATATATTACTTGCATTATAAAAACTGCATGCGGCAACTGTCACTCACTTTTAAAACTGCGGATTCAATGCTCGAACTGGGTCACTCTTTTTTTGTGTGCTTGCAAACTGTGCAAAATTTTCGCGGCAAATATCAATAAGTCTAATGATTCGCTAAACTGGCCTCGCGTGCGCTCTATTTCTCTGCACCCCATTAGTTATTGCCATTTTGTTAATTTGTGATCGTTCTTGAACTAAATTTCAAAGGCTATAATATTAAAGTGATCTAAATAATGTTTAATTAAGTACCTTTAAACTCGGATCGGGTAATTAGTACCGCCTACAGGTAAACAGATCCTGAGTTAACATTTGAGTGAATTTATTAAATTTAATTTATACGTTGATGTAAATTTCATGAGTGATTTAATAATTTTAGTAATATTAATATGATAATAATATCATTAAAATGTTTGTATGTTTATATCACTCGATAATAATGCTTAAACTACTAACCTGAAGGATTTACGCTGAAGAAACGTGCTTTTTGCATTAAAAAAACTTGCATATTACACTGGTATTTAAGAATCTACTAATCTAACAAAAATACAATAATCAAGAGTCTTTATTTATGTTGTACCAATCAATAAAGCTCTCAAATGAACATTTAAAGGATACCGTGTTCTATTTAGTACATATATCGATTATATTGACGAAGGACACGCGTCTTCACCACCTCACAATACCCCTTTACGTAAAGACCGTATGTTATTAAAAAGTAAATTCTTAAAATTGTTTAAATATTATTAGTATAAAATCCAGCTGTTGACTTTTGTAGATAATCAGTCTTTTCATAAAAATTTGGTTTAAATGAAAGATTAACGAAAATAAAATACAATGCGGCCAGGTTGCTTAGCGATAAATGACCTTCATTACATTTAATTAAGGTTAAAAATCTTTCTTGATATTTATATGTTCGTACTTCAGTTATTTTAAAAATAAAGTTGTGTTCCTAATTCTACATTTTATCATTTCATAATATCTTTAGCCACAAAATAAATATAACATTATAACTTTAATTCTATATCTCGCTTAATCTTAGAAAAATTGTAGAAAGAAATAGGTTTTTTTTTTTATTATTTCATAATAAGACTTATTAATTTATGTATTATTAATTTCTATATTCATACTTTTTATATCACATCTATTGCACGACATAGAGACCATGCGATGGTAAACCTTTATAGACGCCTGCAACACTAGATTTTGCATGCATGTTGCAGATGCTAAATAAAACCTTATTGTACCTTGCTACGAGTAATCTTATTACTTAAGCTAGTTTTTATATTCAATAACTACCATGCTTTGAAATATTTCTCAAAGTTAACTACTTACATTTTATTTCATTTGTTAAAAATTAAATCAATGAACTACATAGAGGTATTTTTAGCTACGCATTTAGTTTCTGGAGACTACTTTAATTCTTTATTGTTCCAGGATGTATGTACAGCATGGCTGCTTTCGGTCCAGTTCTTGGCTTTTTACTTGGTGCCTATCTTTTATCTTTCCACATGGACTCTTTCTCTGGCGCCATCATTTCTATAGGTAAGTACAAAACAGTACGACATTTAGTGATTCTTTGGTTTGTTCTTTAATAGTTAATAAATATACCATCTTTTCTCAGACCCCGGAGATCATCGATGGGTAGGTATGTGGTGGGGCGGCTTCTTACTTGGCGGTCTACTTCTAATTTTGGTCGCCATTCCATTCTTTTCGTTCCCGAAAGTGCTTGTTCGAGAAAAGGAAAAGATCCGACTTGTGGAAAAGGCAGCCGCCGCCAGTGGTTCTGGAAGTGTCAAACCACCGAAACCACAGTCTGATATCAAGGATACCGGATATGGAAAAGATATTAAAGGTAATTTTAATATTTATCCAATACTCAACGTTATCTAGACCCTATCGAACTATATTTTTTCTGCTAATAATAACCTCACCCTTTAAGCTTTTTATACGACTGATGAAGAAATAAACTTTAACAGTTGACTTTTTTATTAAAACATACCTATGAATTATATTATACTACGAATAGAAACATACTTTTCCACTAGTACCATCTCTTAATGTACCGTCTGCTGTTCTGAAACCTAATTTTCTTCTTAGTATCATAGCTTAGCAGGTTTTCTTTCACTTCTAACCAAAAAAACGATACGTGCATTGCTACTTCACGCAGTAATAATTAATACGACATGGTCGACATCAATCCAGAATACAAAAAAGAAGTTTAATAGAAAGTGTTCGTTACATATATAAAAGAAAAAAAGTCATGATCAAATGTTGTCATAACACATACACAATTACCTAACATCTTATATTCAAATATGTCTGCGAAATGTGGGCATGACGAATTTTACGTTCACCACAACAGCAGTATACTCTACAAATGTTTTTTTATTACCTCATTAGGAATTACAATCATATATATGCAATTTTTTATCATAGTTTTATATAATCGTATGGCATGTCGCAAAAAATATTTGTCACTGTATTCTGTTTCTACAATTATTTTAATAATTGTTTCTCTATCTAACTTCAAAGACAACATACTAGGATTAAAAAATATACGCCCGAGTAATGGAACAAATATTCATTCATTGAAGCCTTCTTCTTCTTCTGTCGAGTTCATAAACAATCTTAATATATTTGAACCAGAACTTAGCGCCATAGCACAAGTTGTTCGCCTCGTTGAGGTCCTCTTGTGTGCAGGCGAAAGACACAAAGGACAACAGGAGGATGGTCTGCGATTACGCTTCACAATCGCAAGTTGAGGATTTAGGCACGATTTCCTACTACATGATAATAATGCAAAAAAGTCAACTTTCTTTTACACCGATTAAAACCATAATGTATAAATATTACAGATATACCAGTGTCAATGTGGCGTTTGCTGAAAAACCCCGTATACGTAGTGACATGCCTTGGCGCGTGCATGGAGCTCATGATCGTGTCTGGTTTCGTAGTGTTTCTACCCAAGTACCTCGAAACACAGTTCAGTCTCGGCAAGAGCCAAGCTAGCGTATTCACAGGTATGTGGTTAATATGCATAATTATAATCACTTGCCTAGAACCCTTAAAAACAAAATAGTCCCTTATAGGAATTTCACGCTGTGAATGGCTAGGTTGTATGGGCACCCTACTGAGATGTCGAAATAAATATAATGACTGTCGATAAATTATTGTAACTATTATTCCAAACTTTTTATAATTACTTTTCTCCATTCAAAGGTTGTTTAGAAGAGATCGCTTTTAGCCCGACTATTTTTATTTCTTGTAATTTTTGTTCATGATAAATTCTATTGAATTGTTATTGTAAAGAAACCGAATAAAAAGTATCTATATTATAAAAAGGATAGTGTTATTGGCGCTCAACTACTGAGTTATGTGCAATTATTCACATAATTGTTTACTATTGTGAATAATATCAATTTATTTAAAATAATACAACAGTGATAGAGTTTAATCAACTTTAAACTCGGATTAATCAACTTTTAGAATTAATTCTAATAATAATAAAAAGAAGCAATATTACTATTGCTACATGTCTTATTATTATTATATATATGTTATTTACATGTCCTGTGTGTAGTCTTTTTTGTTCGTTATACGAATACTTTAAAATAGTTGAAAATATCTTTATATTATAAATTGGATCTTTTTATTAACCTTTAGATAAAAAAAGGTCCATTACATATTTTTTACTACCTGAATGTCCACTTCGTATTTCTTGTTGAAACATAATCGTGTAAACTAAAATCAATAATGTCATTGAGAAATTATTGAACGTAAACACTCTTGAACAGGATCGATTGCAATACCGGGGGCGTGCATCGGCATATTTATGGGCGGTTGTTTACTGAAGCGGCTGGAGCTACGGCCCAAGGGCGCGGTACAATTTGTTCTTATCTCGAACACCATATGCCTCTCCTGCTACGCCTTGCTTTTCTTCCTCGGCTGCGACAACATCAAAATGGCAGGAACCACTATACCATACACTAACAACAGGTATTTTTTTTTTATTTTAATCCCTCTTTTTATTGAATTATTTCATAAAATCTCTTTCCAGCTAAAACAGACTTCAGCTGCGTACTAATCGTTATTAATTTATCCAATACAGTGTGATTATTTATAGAATTTTTCCCCTAAAGTTAGAAATATCCAATACTATATAATATTCTTATATAATATAATTAAAACTTATATTAAGACCTATATTTCATTATTTACCTAGCAAATTTTCGCGAAAAATTATGTATAAACTTTTCCATTCTTACAACTTTAATAATGTATCGTGACTTTCGTGCAACGAAAGCGAACTGTTCCGCCATTTGATGAATCCAAGGCACGTATAGAAAATGGCAATCGGATCTATTCAATGATTCAGTTGATACATACCTGATGCAATTTGATTACGCACTTCAGTTTCCATAAGCCGGATATCCATGTGTATATATTGCGCAAATGTTAACTTTAGACGTTATAGTTATATACGAATATAACCCTTTTTTTGGGATTTATTAATATATATATTCATATTATTAATTACGTCCCTATTGGACATAGACAATATTATTATGCAGCCTACAGAATAAAAACTTTTAATTTGATTTTGAGTTTATTAAGAAAGAGAAAAGTAAAATGTAAAACTACAGTCAATCACTGTCAGATTCAGAGTTATTACAAGCGATGAATTGCTATAGATATAGTCTATTTCGTCTAAAAGTTCATTTACTTGCTCAATGAAAGCTTCTAACCATATTTTTTTCATTAAACTGAAACAATCGCATTCAGCTTTATGGAACAGTTATAACAAATGAATGAAATTTTTTCAGTTCTTTCATTAATCGATTTATTTGTTATTATGTATGTATTGGACATCAGAAGACTATCTTATATGATAGAATACGAATTACTTTGTTTAAATAAATAGTAGACTATTCCACCATTTTCAATGCTATCTAATGAGCTCCATACAAATTTAGAAGATTTGTTTTTAATTTTGAATCTGCCATTACATTTGACGATTAAGTGTTGGTTTAAAAATAAAAAAAATAACTAATATTGTTCTTTCTTCACAGTTGAACTCCTAGAGTCCTGGGGTCTAGAATATATGCTGCAAAATGTATTGGCCTCATTGCCATATTGCATCTTGAAGATACTGATGTTAGAATCTGCTGTTTGCTTTCTTCGCTCAATGTCGAAATCTCATTTAATGCAAAACGTATCTTTGCTTGTACATCTCTAAATGTAATGTATGTGCGATGCAAACGATTCTGGTCGCTCTCTAAGTAAAATATGCTTTCAGTGACTGGTTCCAAAATACTTATACATTCCCCTGTCTTCGTCCAGAAATCATCACTTAGAATTAAATCTTTAATATCTCTTGAAATTATCTAATTAATGTTAATATTTGCAAAGCTATCTTATTTGCTTTCAAACTTTTTAACGAAGTAAATATATTAGCACAAGGCAATTTTAGTGTTTGTGTAGAATCTTCCTGTTGAATCAACAAGGAACTTAATCGTTGACTCCTTTTAACAGTTTTTATTATACGACATCTTTAAAAACTTCTTGTATCTTTACAATATCTTAACAAGTTCAAGGATATGTTTACACAACCGAGAGGAACAACAATTTTGTTAATCCGAATGTTTGATCCTGTCATTATGCCAATAAGTAAAGTTCATGTCATACACCGTCATTACTTTTTTTCTTGGCTTTGTATTCACTAGTGTGAGGATTACTTTCTCTATTAAAACTTTTAACGTATGCAGGTTGAGGTTTTGATATAAGAAAGTTTATTATCATTCTTAAATTAGACCAGCCATTGTCACTGAAGTGAGTTTTAGCATTTATTTTATTTAATCAAAACGTCTATATATTTTATCTGATATTTTGTAAAAACATAGTAAGGTTTTAAATTTTGTTGCAATTTTTCGAAAAATTGTATACATAAAGGATGTTGCAGCATCGATAATTGCGTCCCTGTTAAAAATATAGCTCTCGCTAATTCTGTTTTTATATGATCATCGGTGTCTTGAAACTCAGCATTTATTGTAGTGTTAGCAGACGACGAGGGGCTTATAAAAGAATCATTTGTCTCTATCTCTGACAGTCCAGACATTTTGGTTTTGGACGAGCTATCTTTTATAAGTTTCATAGAGTCTTTTAATGTTTCTGGAGATTTTGGACAAGTGATAAGATGTTGAAGCATTTTGGCAGCATTATGAATTTGTAGACCTTATTAAAAGCTTGAGAGAAACAGACTTGTTTGGTAAAACGGTAGTGCTCCCATATTAAATCTTTAGGTCTCCCCATTGAACCTAAAAAAATGAACGATGATTAGTTGGTCTGACGAAAATTCAACAATAGAGTGCCTATTTTTTTACAATGATTATTTCTTGTTATTTACAATAAATTTATTAAAAAAATAATAAAATAAATACAAAAAACCTTTGTAAAATTACATCTCCTCGGAGGATTAAACGCAGACGCTAGTTTATTATCGTATTGTTCTGTAAAACTTCTTTAATTCGATTGGTACTTACGCATATTATGTTAAAAATAAATATCTAGTACACATCTTAGGCTATCCACCATTATTATCCAATGACGACTCTCAGCTAACTATGCACTATCATCCAAAATTGTATGGAAAATTTTATCCCAGTCGGTTGAGGATTGAGGATAATTGCATCAACATACGAACATACCTACATACTTTTATTTACATAACGCAAGCTAAATAAAAGCTTGTAATAATACATCTAATTTTAAGTTAAAATTATTGAAGATATAATTGTATCATTCAAAAATCCACTTACCTTTAATTATTTCTTGTTAGAGATAAATATTATTTCAAATCTGACTTAATATGCACTTTTTTATGCTTTTCCTACCTAACACGTTACCAAAGTCACGTTACCAGAGTAAAAGTAATAGTGAACACGTTTGACATTGATTGTCGTCGCCTCATATTCAGCGTCGACGAATAGGTGAATCCCCAGTCATAATGTATTGCATGAGTGGCGGTCTTACTTCAAATCCATAAACAAAGAGATAATTACAGAACTCGCAAAAAATGACGCATACTAGATGGCGCTGTTTTTGTTTGAAGAAAGTTTGCGGGCTAAAATACATGAATTTCATCAATGACTTCCACAAAGAACAACATTTCTGTTTTTTCAAGTCGTATCTCTTCCGTATATTTCATAAGATATAAGCTTGGGCTACATTGTTATGCAACGTGATTTTGTCGCTGTCTTGCTAGCAGGGTTGACAGATATACGATTTAAATCGTACTCATACTATTATTTGTCTATTTTTTAATGTACGATCGTAAAGATTATGATCGTAATTAGAACAAAAACATAAGAATTTTTGGTTACCTGGCAACATTTTTATTATGAAACGTACATGCTCACATCATCAGTCACATGCAACAATTTATTGGGGATTTCCCCTTCACATCTGGCAGTCCTGCTTGCTAGAATATAGGTAAGTCAGCCACAGTTACTGACGATCGATATTTAAAGGGTATTGTTTTTGTGCTAAATATTTCATAAAAACGTTATTTAATACTTTGTGGATTATTAATTTAGTTGATAATCACTGGAAGTAAAATGGATGCTAATTTGAGAGATCAAGATCTTCGTATAAAACAGTTAATAAAGGAAAATCTACGTAAGTACTCTTTTTATACCTAGGTAGGTAAGGTATAATAAACACAAAAGGTACTTAGATCGCGTGTGTTCGAAGCATTTATTCTAATAAATTTAATTTAAAATTGTAGAAAGAAAAAATGTCTGCCAAGCCGTAGCCGAAGCCGATCTCCAAATATATTTGGCGATAGTGAGACCCAGTGTCCAGATGATTTACCCAGCGTCGTCGCAACAAAGAAAAAAACGAGGATAAAGTAAAAGAAAATTTACTGAAAGAAGAAACAAACTGTTCTAAATGCTTAATTTATGGAGAAGAGGATAAAAGAAATGAGTATTTCGGACTGTTAGTGGCTCAAGAATTTAAATATATACGGCCATGTGTGCGAACGAGGTGTTATGAAGAAATTTTAAAGTATCTACGGGAAGCAAAAGGCCAACATGTTGATCAACTGCAACATGAAAACACTGAAAATTAATTACTTTCATTTTATTATATATAGATTTTTAAAATTTCCTGAAATATTATTAGTTAACGTTTTATTTAATATTGTAGAATTGATCAATACAATTTATAAAAATAATTTATTGGTATTACTTACATATTTTCAAAAAAATACGTAAAAACCTATTTTTTTGGGTGATTATGGGAGTTTATGGGTGTTTGGTTTTTACCAAAGCAGTTTAAACCCGGTGCTTTGCCCATCTGTATCCATGTGTATATATTGCGCAAATGTTAACTTTAGACGTTATAGTTATATACGAATATAAGCCTTTTCTCTATGGGATTTTATATATATATATATATATATATATATATATATATATATATATATATATATATATATATATATATATATATATATATATATATATTATTAATTATTGCCTATTGGAAATGCTTAGGTTAAACACTCCTTAAGTATCACCAAACGATCTAATTATAAAAAAAATTTTTTAAGTAGTTACGCTTAATTAACTAGGTGCCCTATCCTCGCTATAGATATAGTCTATTTCAAAAGAACTTACTTAATGCAAAGGTAACCATATTTTGTTTAAGTTATAATAGAAACAATCTAAATGAAATTAGGAACAAATCAAATAACTAAATCAATTAATCGATTTATTTATACTTAAATTTATTGGACATCAGAAGACTATCTTATATTCGAGACAATTATTTGTTTAAATAAATAGTAGACTATTCAAGTTTTACTCTTCATTGCTACTTTAGAAGATTTGTTTTTAATTTTGACTCTTATGGTATAAGGGTCGATTAATTGTAGTTTAAAAATAAAAAAAAATAACTAATATTGTTCTTTCTTCACAGCAACTTGGAGCCGTTTAAAGTGAACTTGACTGCCGCGTGCAATTTCAACTGCCTGTGCACGGAAACAGATATGGAGCCCGTATGTGGGAACAACGGCCTTACATACTTCTCGCCTTGTCACGCCGGCTGCGCGGCCTTCTCTTCGCGCTCCAATTTTACTAACTGCGCTTGTGAGTATCTAATTATATAAAATTATTTTAAATAATACATATTCTTTGGCTAAGGTGAATATGTTAATGTTTTGGTTAGTGCATAAAACACTCCTAGTTTTAGCTGACTGAAAAAGAACTAATGGTGCCTAATTTGTTTTTGCATATATTATGAATCTAAACTTTATATCTAAGTATGTTCAGAGGATAATTAAATACAACCGATAATCCCATTTATCCATAATATATATGTCATGCAATAAACGACTTAATTAACTTTATGTATATATCTTTGTGGTAGCTCAACTATTCTCTACTAGAGTTGAATACCATACTACAAAATCTTTGAAATTGTACAGTCGATTCCTTGAAACTTAAAGTGTATGTAATAACTCAATTGCTAACAATAACTACTGGTTTAAATCGAGTTGAAATTTAGAGATTAGATTATTATTAGAAAAAATTACCTATTGATTTTTGAGGCTTTTTAAAGGTTGACAGTGTGAATGAGCGAATGAATGGTTTATTATTCTTCTATGGGATGAATGCGCCATTGTACATATATTTATTTTTTGCCTTATGTCTTATGTGTCAAATATGTATAATACATATTTTACAACAATAACATAATTGAAATGTTTAGGCGTCCACGAGAACAGCCGCGACATGGGTGTAGGCATGGGAGTGGGTGCTGTGGTGAACGGCGCGTCTGCGTCCGCGCTGACGGCGGGCGCGGCGCGCGAATTCGGCAGCGAGGTGACCGTCGTGCCCGTCGCCACCGCCGGCGCCTGCAACCCGCCCTGCACCACCATATTCCCCTTCCTCGTGCTGCTCTTCTTCATGACCTTCGTGGTCGCTGTCACACAGATGCCGCTCCTCATGATCGTACTCAGGTAACATGCGTTTCCCCAAATACAATATTTAATTAAAAAATAAATACCATGCTATCCACGATGAAATAGAAAATGCAAACAAAATTTCTCCACATTACCAAAGATATTCGCACTAGAGTATCTGTGGTATTACAAGGGTCTAAATAACAAGTATCGGAAGCATAATTATAATACGCCTGAACCTAACCGAAAATCGGATCTTGAACCTAATTTACATTAATATAATTATATACAGTACCAGTTTTAGGAGATCATACGATTGGGCAGTGTCCAGGGGCACCAAGCCGGTGAGGCGCTGGCCCAGTATGGGCTACATCGTTATGAGTGATAACTTTTTTGATCGTCATGGCGGAGGACATCGTCAGAAATTAGCCCAGGGGTGCCAGTTACACTAAGAATGACTACCAACATTATTTTAATATTTATAGGTTGTGATAATTATTTTTTATTTCAGATCCGTGAGCGAGGAAGAACGCTCCTTTGCTTTGGGTATGCAGTTCGTGATATTCCGTTTATTCGGTTACATTCCGGCTCCGATAGTATTCGGCAACCTGATCGACTCGACGTGCCTTCTCTGGAAACAATCGTGTAGTGGCGAAAAGGGAGGCCGCTGTTTGCTCTATGACATTGAACAATTTAGATACAGGTATTGTATTATTTTATTATTTAAAAATTTTTTTATTAAGACAGAAAGTAATAAAGCCATTTCAATTCCATCACCCGAGCCTTGTCAACTTATCATTATATTTTAAAAACTAATACATTCTTTCTAAAATGTTTGCTTAGTGAACTACATAAAATATCCAAAAGCACAAATTTTTTGACACAGTATTTGATTGGGTTTCTGTGAATTTACAAAAGGTTGAAAATTATCTAAAATCGCTAAACTTAGTTAATTTTTAATCTTTTGTAAACATAATTATGTCGCTTGCGGCAAATGTCAAACGTACAACGAACAAACGAATTCATTATCAGATTTAATGAAAAAATTTATACCTGTGCTGGATTTTTTAATTTTGTTTTTATGAAATAGGGCTCTAAAACTTTGTTAATTTCATAATTACAACTTTCAGATACGTCGGTTTATGCGGCGGTATAAAGATCGTGGCACTAGGTATCTTCCTAGCGGACTGGTGGTTGGTAAGACGTCGCAGGAACTTGGAAACTGTGCCACCACTCGATCCTCACAAGGACATTGCTGGATCAATAATAAGTCTTGATAAACGTAAGTAAAGTTTTTCTTTTTATAAATTACTTATTATTCTGTTATTTTTAATTTCTGGTTTCTTATAAAGTTACTATATCACTAATAATTATGAACCAAAACAAAAATGTGATTGCATTGACTCCAAAATTATATATTTAAAAAAATATATATATACGTTTATACTCAAATGTTTAGAGAAAATCCTCAAGTTGTAGAAAATTAATAATAGAATAGATAAATTCCCTTTTCTTCGGATGAAGAAATAAAAATGTTCATTATTTAAATGAACATTGAGTTTTTTTTTTTTTTAACATTATCATTGAACATTGGGTTAACAAGTTTCAGTTACGCAAAACAACGCTATCAACAAAATATTAATTTTTACGAAATACTTATACGAATGTAAATTTTTTAGTGTTTGAGGAACTGCCATCTGCGGATAACGCGAGCGGTTTCCGTTCGGGCGTAACATCCGGACCGAGTTCTGCGATCACAACGCCAATGGAAGGCGGCGCGATACCCGAGGTCATCCAAGAACCGCACAGAGGCAAGCTGCAGCGCACTGAATCTCAGTACTCGCAGGTAAGCATATAAACAAAAAAACTGTTAAATTAATGGGCTTCTCCACATAATCATTCTACATACCTATATTAATTTTAATCTTTTTTTAATTTTCCACTTCAATACATGGATTTTCGACTGTATTTTTTATGTACCTACATATTCATCAATTTGGAACCGTTGTCGAAGGTTGTTTAAGTTCCGTACTACTTTTTATCGAGATTTATACACTATTTGTTTTTTATTTCTGTGTCGGTCACAGGAGTCACAGACAAGCCGGCAAGCCGCGCGTTGTATTTTTTTTTTTTTTATGTATATCTTTATAAATTTAGAACTATTGTCGAAGATTTAAGTTCCACGCTACTTTTTATCAGGATTTATACACTATTTGTTTTATATTTCTGTGTCGGTCGCAGGAGTCGCAGACCCGGGCGGGTGCCGGCAAGCCGCGCGTGCTGGTCGCGTCGCGCCACCTGCGCAACGACTCCAAGACCATTCAGCTGGAGCCGCGCGGCCGCCAGCACTCGCTGGACGAGCCCGAGCGCGCGCGGCCGGCCCGCAGCGACTCGCGCGACTCCCGCGACTCGCGCGCCGACGCCTTCCCGCGCTCCGCCTCGCGCGACCTCCGCGCCCACTCGCGCAGCGGCTCGCGCGACTTCAAGGTCCACTCGCGGTCCGACTCGCGCGACCTCAGTCTCGAGCAGCTCAAGCACCTCGCCCTGAAGAGCATGGAGAGCCTCGATCTCACGGTGCTGCCGCTAACCAAGTGCGTCGACGAGGAGAGCAAGCGACTCATAGAGAGCGGCGGTGTCCTCCGCCACCGACGGACGAGCTCGAAAGACTTGAAACCGCACGAGACGAAACATAAGCGCACGTCGTCGCATCACTTGACGATGGAGCCGAACGAGTTAAGTCTGCAGATTCAGAAAGGCCGCAGCGTGGATCAACTGGCGACGGCGCCCCTGGAACCGCGCGTGTGACCGCGCACACGACCAGTCAGTGCGCGACGGTCGCGACCTGAATCTCGATTAGTGGTCGGACGACGCAGACACTCTATTGTGGTCGCTATTTGATATTGCGACTGAGTGAGATAATAATTTAGTGAAATTTATTAAACTTAAGTTCAGATAGGACTCGTTTTAAATCTAGACATAGATAAATGAGTGATTTCAAATCATATCTTAGTGTCGCAGCTTATTAAACTCGAAATTTTGCTTATTGCGATCCTCGGTGGGTAACTTTAAAGTCTTGCAAAATTTGATTTGGTTTAGTAAAAAAGTCAATTGGAAAAATATTGCCTTCATGTATCGATACTCGAATAACAAGTGCATCCTATGGCTCTAGTTTTAAACTTAGCCAATGCGAACTTGCTAAATTATTCTTATATGCACTAAATATGTAAATTCTAAAATGCCTCACCATAGGGTGTCTATTTAGAAATGTTAATACATATTTTATTTTTATGTATGTACTTAATATGTATTTACTGAAAGAGTAATAATACAACTTAAATAAATGTATATACATTCCGAAAGTAAAAAAAAAATGAAAAAATTAAGTGGTTTAATATATAGTGGAAACATTATATTGTGAATCTACAAAAATGTCTCTTGTGTTTGAATTATTTACATATTAAGTACATGTTCATGTAAGGGAACAAGCCCCTGTATTGCCCTATCTAACTACACAATATACAAGCACTATATTTAATATATATAAAATGAAAGAACTGGTTCTTTCTTTTATAACACACTACTGAATGCCCGTTCAAATTTAGGTAGGTAGTGAGAAAATTTTTATTCTCTCAGTTGTAAACTGTGAATGAATTTCACCATACAATCACGGTCACCAGTGCGCTAATCTAAATCATATGATAGGATAGAATTACAAATGCATGGCAAGCAATACTCTGCACACCACTAAGTATTGAAAATCTGCGCCTTGTACAAACATACAACAAAATAGAAATATTGATTAGACTTTATTAGGACACATACCCTTAATTTTGTTTAGTAAATAAAAATAATATTCACGTAACATTCCTCTAGCACTAGTAAGTAACCATTATAATCACAAGCACAAACTGCAAGAAAAAACTTATTTAGTGAATATTATATCTATATTATTGTGTATAAAGTTTCTGTATTAATTGTGATCTCAAAAAAATTGGTGAAATACTATTTTTGACTGAAATCAGTATGAAAAATCCTCTTAATGCTTTTTTTTTAATTTGATAATTATATTTGTTCTTGTAAAACATCTTGTTTAGTCATATAACATGTTTTGTTGAATATTATTTTCTTATTAAATAATAACCTTTGTCTATCACAATCATAATATTCATTTCCCAATATATATAATTTTTATATATAGCAATTTAAATATTTTCCCATTCTGCTTAATATGTATTTTGACATGAATATATATTATTAAAATATTCTTTTGTAAAAATAGTACAAAGTACCACCTATAAAATGAAAACAACTCACTTGATTTTGCCATATTGGTTATATTATATATTAATGAATCACCATTAAATTTGAAGTTAATTGATGGATATATTTCTAACTTATATAAATTAGTGATCGACAAATAAATCTTTTCCAATATATACTTTTATTTGTTCTATTTTCAATCACTGAAAAAAATTGTCAATTCTTGGGCTGCTATTTAACTAAGAACTTAATTAAATGACCTCTTTCACAATTAATATGCTTCCATTACTATTCAACAACTTAGCAAAGAAATAACTTTTGTGTGAAATTGTGATAGAAGTCGTGAATATTATCTTAGTGTATAAATATATATTTTAAAGCAATATATTTATCTCAGAATTAAAAGACAAGTCATCAATGTAAATTAATGTCATATATTTGTTAAGAGAGAAATAGTTTGATATGAAAGAGAGTGTTTTATCTAAAAATGCCTTATTACAATAGTTTTAAGACTTGATACTGACTTAGTTGTATTTGAGTAAGTTGTTATAATGTCAATCACAAATCAAAATGTTTGATGACAGCAACTCCATAACTAATTTGTTGCATTTAGATTAATAAAAATTGCATACATATTTTGAAATGCCGTTTTATTTTTCAAGCAATAATGAGTTGAGAGAACTTTGTATTCAATATTCATATATCCTTATTATTGCCATTTCTGAACAGCAATTAGATCATCCAGTTCACCTTAAATTAAAAGTAATATCAATGGTATAAATAATAGTAACTACATATGCTGTTTCCTGGCAGAACCATCACTATCATTGCTTTTATATATACATATATACACACATAATGCTTCTCAAAAGTAATAAAAGGAGGAGGAAACAAAATCAATTTTTTTTTTTGAGTAAGTTGTAACATTATATCAAATTTTTCTTTCTATAATTGAGTTTTCCCCTGTGTTTGCAACTTCATCTATGTATTCATCTTTGTATAGAACACTAAAGAAAACATGTATTTTAAACTAGGAGTGAGGCACATTTCTCATAACAGATGTAAAATACAAGTATTCGAAGATAACAGATAATAGTTGTGCTTTCAATGTCATTATATCTGTTAAAAAATATCATTTATAATTCACCATACCCAAGTTATTCTAGAGGGAGACTTTGTACAAAGTCGATTGCTTGGGTACCTCTGTCCCATTCGTGTTTTAACTGTGAAGCAGCTGTGTTTGCATGAATATGGCATGAATTTACTGGGTACAGAGGAATAAGACCTGAGTCCTCAGGAATGGCAACGCATGGGGGGTATCAGGGGCGAAACAATATACTCTGTTATGTCCATGGTGCTGCTCATGTCTATAGATGTCGGTTACCACTTTCCATCAAGTGGGCCGTCAGCTTGTTTGCCATTCTAAGTTCTATAAAAAAAATATTCAACCACTATCAACAATCAACATTTTCAGTATCGGATAACAGCCAATGGCCGGTCACTAATATTGACTTTTATTGCATAACAGTAACAGTAATAACATATATTATGTTTGTCCTGTTATAACCCATGTCTATTTTAAATTATACTACTGAAAGATAATGGCAAGTGACATTAATCCCAAATTTTTAAGCATTATTTACAAATTTTTAAATATAACTTCAGTGACCAGTAATAAGTAATAATGGCCCATTTTAAAATGAAGATGTTTAGGTATAAATTAAAATCTACCAAACTTATGACTTGGAATTATTGTCTAATACACATACACAAATTTATTACTAGTCAATTGTAACTACATATTAATGTTTCTCTACCAACATGACCATAGGCATGGGATAAGTCCGCCATTGTATATTAAATCATTTACCAGTGTTTAATCTGAGTTATGTACAATAAAGATTTTACAATACAATACAATAGATACAGCTTATATTAATTCATTGCTATTTTTTAATAATATCAAAGTCATTGCCTGTATAATATTATATACTTATATAAAATAAATATAATAATATGATAACACAAAATTTATAATTTTGTAAGTATATTCTAATCTATCTACTATACTTTTGTCAATAAATCTCCTTGAGTTGTGTGATAGTCATATGATATCTGCATGGGAAAATATGTATAATCAGTTGAAATAATAATGCCACAAATTTTCAAATACCATTCTATTTGATACAAACTACATAGATTTATTAATAGCTGCTAATCTTATATTACAAACATACTATCCTACACAAAATCAATCTAACTCACCACATTCTGCTATTACTACTTTCTTTGAAGTTCTGCCACTTTTTGACCCTAATTTTCCATCTTTTTCACCACATCCATACCTTCAACGACTTCACCAAAGACTACATGCTTTCTATCTAACCATGGAGTAGGTGTAGTTGTAATGAAAAATTGGGAGCCATTCGTATTCGGGCCTGCATTAGCCATTGACAAGATGCCTGGTCCTGTATGTTTAAGTTTGAAATTTTCATCTTGGAAAACACGTCCGTAAATTGATCTTCCACCAGTTCCATTATGATTAGTAAAATCACCGCCTTGACACATAAAATCTGGAATTATTCTGTGAAAAGAGGACCCCTTGTAACCAAAACCTTTTTCTCCTGTACATAAAGCTCTAAAATTTTCAGCCGTTTTAGGTACCACATCTGCATGTAGTTTGATAACCACTCTACCCAAAGATTCGCCATCAGCTGTTACATCAAAAAACACCTTTTTCTCTGGCTGTGTGGAAGCAAACCGCAAAGCGGCTGCCGAATATATAGTACCATTGATTATAGTACGACGTAACACACCCGGCAATGCCATGGTAACTTTATCTGTAAAAAGAAAAATATTATCCAATTATTTGCACATATTTTATCATTTTTATTTAAAATTTAAAAAAATATTGAAAAAATAACCTAAAAAGAAGGATGAAAATGTTGAATTGAAATCACAGTAGGTGTGCCACTATATATCGATATTAAAAAAAATATCGATATAAAAATCGATGTATTTGTTCGTTACATAAAAAACGTTCGAATACTTGATCTGATTTGGTATTACTCTATGGTAGGCTTACATTATGATGTAACATTATGATTTGGAGTGGTAGTTGCCTTTGTGGCAGCTGCACAAATAGGGCCGCTCGACCGGCGAAGTGCCACCCTCTTACAGAATATCGTCGTGAAATAGCAGTACTTGTACTGTCGTGTTTCGTTCGGTAAGTGAGAGTTACAACGCCTGATCCTCTGGCTTGTTCAATGCCGTAAGTAAAATTAAAGAGATGGTTAGATCAAATCGACAAGAGGATTTATGTGCTGCTGCGGGATCAGATTCTGATAGTTCATCAGACAAACTTTCTCAGAGAGAGTTTAGTCTCTGGAGTAATCATCACAAATTAGTTCAGTGGATTGGAAAACCAATAAAACTGACGAAAGCCTTTCAGATGAGATAACGCTTTATTTAGGGTCTCCAGTTAGTACATTTAATGAAAATCCTTGGGAAGTATAGATCGATTCCAAGGTACAGCTCTGTTCCAACTGAAAGGCTTTTTTCAAAGGCCGCGCAGGTCTTAACATAACAGAGAAATCGACTGCAAGCTAAAGGAGTCAATAAATTTTTATTTATGCAAGGGTTAAATAAGAAATAAAAAGATCTTTAAATTTTTTTTTTAAATTAATATCGATCGAAATATTTACATGGTCGTGGTTTAATTCTTACTTAACTTTTATCTTTTCTTTTTTGATTAATAATTGAATATTATATACAATATATCGAAAATATCGATATTATGAAACAATATATCGCATAATATTGATACGACAATTCAATATCCAAAAAATATCGATATAGTTTTCAGATGACCATCCCTAAATCACAGCACAGTAACAATGAGCGACTTTACTAATCCGACTAGAACTACTAATTATTTTACTAATTATTTGACGTAGGCAATCATTCGGATTATTCGAATGATTTAAAACTTATTCACTACTTGTTTTATTCATACGACTCAAAGTCTAATTTTGTCATTTGTGTATGTCAGTCAATGTTTTGAAGTCAGTCAAAGTCATTCATTAAGTCAAGTCAACCAGTCTCAACCTAAAATAGATTTCAGCAATCAATAATCAACCAAAATATATAAAATTATGTCTATCCCGTATAGTGGAACGATACGAAGATCAGGAGGTGTCGTATCGGCAATTGGTAAACAATTAAAAGGCGTCAATTTAAAAGCAGCTAAAAGAATAGTAGTTAAATTCGATCCTTTTGCCGATAACGTTACTCACACTAGGTAAGACATAACCCAAATTACCTTTTAAAATATTTACCTCCATTAAAAATATAAACGGCCCATTAGTCATTTTCTATCGGACGCAACTACGCAAATTGCTTAAATACATTTAAGGAAGTGGAAGTTCTTGGGATGAACATAGTGTTATTCTGTGATATTATTTTCATTTGCTCCTATCACATACTTCGATTATTTACTTAAACACATACCAATTTTGAAAACCCCCTTTTTTTTTGCCAAAAAAACTTTACATATTTAAATGTTTCTAAAGTCACATGATAAACATTGATAGTTCATCTAATATTATTTTTTATAAACCAACTATTATAAGTTCATTGTAACTCTAATGTTAATTTACTGCCACCTATAAGAAATAAACTTTTATTTCTGGTATATAATTGTGTTACCTTTTATTCCTGCACCCTGTAGTTATGAATAGAAAGTTTTATGAAAGTGATTAAAAATCTTTAATTTAGCAGACTCCTATTTAAAAGTAGTGGTCCAAAGTAAAAAATTACAAATTGTCGTATCACTAATAAGAACTATTAGGTGACTATTTCATATGACATAAAGGTCATTTTATCTCATGATTATATATGGAACTCTTAACATGTGTCCCACTAGTAGCTGACTATGAATTCATATAGAAATATTATTAAAATATGAAATTATATTCCAATTATTATGATATTATTACAAAATTTCAAAGTGAATGGGACTTGAACTCCCAACTTCTTTGTCACTTTAGTGTGGTAACAAAATTCATACAATAACATCAATGTGGACATATTAACAGTGTTATTCAATAAAAACCATGGATGAATAATAATAAATAATAACATTGCTGCCATATATATTCTACTTCATTCTTATATAAATTTCTTATTATAGATTTCATATATTAATGTTTAAATATTCATATATTTTTCAGGAACTTTCTACATTATATAAGCTCACCAAAAATAAATTTGACAAATCCAAATTGTTCATTAAAAACTGAAATAGTGTGTGATCGTAGTGACCCAACTGTTGATGTAACGATTTTGCCAAATATTGGAGGTGAGTTGTAAACTTTCTAGAAAAAAAATATATAAATAAACACTATGGGATATTCTAGTTTCAAACTAAGTAGAGCTTGATCTCTAAGCAATAGATACTTTACACTTTATATATAGAAAATAACTAATTTAAACATGCAACACACATATTTTAATTTAATCTATGACCATCAGGTAGTGAAGTTACATATACTTTTCTTTTAATTCTAGTATTATGAACCTAGATTAATAGATATGAATAAAATTAAATAAGTACCAAAATAATAGATAAATATTTTAATATATTTTTCTTGTAGGCAAAAATAGAATAGTATTCTAGAAATCTAGTGACTAGAACTTTTGTTTCAGATATTAAGAAAATAACATTCAAAAGTGGAAACCTTACTTGTTTAGAACTTCTACAGCTATTTAACAAACACATATCTTCTTTGGCACCTGTGGAAGAACCCGTTTCAACTATTCAAACAAAATCAGAGAAAAAGAAGGGTAAAAAGAAATAAATCTGTAAAAATGACAAAATCCAGTAAAGGAAACCTTCATGTGGTAGAAGAACTGTACAACCAAATACCAGAATTTACAGACGTATTCTCAGAAGATACATTCTATATTTTTGTGATATGTTTTGTTCTGTCTACTATACTAGTTGCTTTCATTCTATCTAGATTTATTACTATTAAACCTGTAGAATAGTTTACTATTCAATGTAATAGTTATAATAAAGATATATAATAACATAACTTTTTAATTACTAAAACTACTACTAGAAGTCTACTTCAAATACTGTGTATGTGAATGTATGAAGATGGGCCCTTCTCTAAATATAGTAGATCAGCATGAGCCTTGATGTGTTCTTATATTTGGTATTAATTTTGCATAAAATGCTATTAGCTTGGATACCTATATTACATGAATTTTCCGTATAATGAGCTCCATTTAATTTCGGTGTGAAGTAGAAAGATATAATCTGACAAAAATTAAACTAGCATGGTCATTTAGTAGTAAAAAAACCCAGTGTCTCATACCTTTGGTCTGTCTGATGATTACATGAAATAATTTAGTTATGTAATCGCATTACATTGAATGACTGATAGGTATTAGTTCTTACTGTACAGTTATCAAGTCACAATAAGAATGCAATGGAAGCCATAATGTGACGGCTATAGCATTTTAGTCTATGTAGTTGGTTGCTATTTACCTTCATTTGGGCCATCGGCTTATTTGTCATTTACTACTTCTTATTTAGCATTTACAACTATTTTTTTCACAGTACTATAATATTTTTTTTTCTTGGTGATTTTATAATCTGAACACTATGTTCAATGACCTCAATGGTGTTTCTCAACAAGTAGGTCTTAAGATGAACATGGACAAAACTAAAATCATGTCGAACGTCCATGTCATACCTATATCGTTTAGGATCGAAAACACTACGCTCGATGTTGTCGACGAGTATTTATACCTGATACAAGTTGTCCGAATGGTTAAGTCCAACTTCGACCGAGAGATCAACTGATGAATCCAACTCGGCTGGGCACCGTTCGGAAAACTACGCCACACCTTTCCATCCAAAATACTTACGTTTGGAGACGAAGGTCTTTAACCAGTGCGTGTTGCCTGTGATGAATTATGGAACCGAGACATGGTCCTACACGATTGCCCTTATGCAAAAGCTTTAAATTACTCAGCGGGCTATTGAGGTTACATTCGAAGTCTCTTTGCGCGATAGAATCCTAAATGAGGAGATCCACAAAAGAACCAAAGTAACCAACATAGTCCGAAGTATAAGCAAGCTGAAGTGGCAATGGGCTGGTCACTTAGCTCGAAGAACCGACAACGGATGAAGAAGAAAGGTTCTTGAGTGGCAACCCCGTACGGACAAACGCAGTTTAGGATGACTCCCTACTAGATGAAGTGACCACCTGAAATGCATTGCAGGATTCAGTGGATGCAGGTAGCTCAGGGCCGTTCCTTATAACAGTCTATAATAGGGTAGGCTTATGTCCAGCAAAGAACGGATAATAGCTGAAATGATGATTGAATAATATTACAAGTATATATGTATATATATAATTCTCGTGTTTTAGTATTCATTCATGTTAATTTTCGAAACCACTCGGCAGATTTGAATATGTATTGTTTGCTCCCACTTGAGAGATAGAGTAGTTTTTAACCCGATTAGCTTAACTTAGCACACAGGACACTTTATACATTACGTAAGCGAAACTGTGAGATGTGCTTGCTGTGATGTGATGTGATGTAATGCTGTGAGAACTAATTGTAGTTCTATAATATAAATAAAAAAATATTTAAATGTATTTTGAAATTTAATATTAGTTTTTTTCATTTAATTGTACAAAATAGGTAGACAATTACTCTTGTATTGGCGAAAGTTAACAAATTTTAAATTACTAATATTACTCAGAATTCTTGAGCTCCCCAACGGATCTGGAAAAAAAATATTAATCATTAAAATATTGAATCTACAATTCCTTTTAACATAGTTGTTATTTCATTACAATGATCAGTTACTACTATAGTTAAAAAAATAACAACTTACATCTTGATTGCGCGCTTTATGTTTACGTTCTACCAATGAGGTGAGAGCCTCGGACCGTACAGCAAGAGAGTCGATCCTCTCGACCAACTGTTGATAAGGAGAGAGAGGCTGCGCACCCATCACCACGTGGCCCAATTTCGAATCAATCTTGGCATCCAGTCGTGCATTACGAATCAAATTTACAATCCAACATTCCGCCTCTTCTGGTTGCATGTTCAGGTTTTCTGCTAACATTCTAAAAACAAAATATTAACCAATGAACAATATTATATTTACTATAAAAACAAGTATTCGCTATTATATTTCAAGATCAAATACTAACCCAATACTGATGACCTGGTGTATCCGGCAAAACGTTTCGAATATCATGAGGCGGGCATTTTCAACAAACTCCTCTAAACAGGCGATAAGAAAGAAATCGGTCAAAAGTACTGCTTGGCACTGATTTAATTTCCTTCGTGCTGCCTCAAAATCAAAGTTTACATAAAGATGTTCTATAAACTCTGTGATGGGATCTCTGAAAAAGAAAAGTATGGATAGCATCAAATTTTGGAATAAATTACTAACATGAACCATTTAAAATATTTATTCTGAAATACAGTAAAAATTATAAATAGGATAATCTGACTAAAACAAAACTATACTCTGATTCAAACCGACCGCTTTCACCACCTCTTCATTCATTAAACTACTCATACCAGCTTGCCGATTACAAATACTTATAAGTTTGGCCAACTTTTCAGCAAGTCACCTAAGAATCTTTTTTGCAACTTTTATTAATAGACTATAAAAATATAAAATACTAACTAAAGCCCGCAGCTCCGCTCGTGATGTTAAGAAAATGGGCTTAACAAATGCAAAATCCATTTTTCAAATCCGACTGGTATTTTAAGAGCGCAAGTTTAAACAAATAATCTCTTCCGATTTATTATATATTATTATTTGTTTGAATATATAATATACCATTGTCCAAAACAAAATGGAATGTCAGCTTACGATAACAATCGTCCATGATCATCCGCCTGACCGACTCGGGATCGAACTCACCTTACCCCTTACAAACGGTACCCCAGTATTCGCCAGTGTTCACGCGTACTATACTCGGCGATAAACAATTCGTTGGTTCTACAGTATACTCGGAGTAGCCTATACGGTTAAATGCTTATGAAATTTTCTACTACAACCCCCAAAAAAGGAAACTTGAATACATCGCAATTCGGTAATTCGGAAATAATATTTTTTTGTAAAAATGAATAGTTGAAGATCATTACCTGTAGGTATAAGCTTCCTGCTGGATGACTTTCACAAGATCTTTAAGAGCATTTCTCCTTGATCTGTTAATGATTACAGCAGTTGCCAGATAGCGTAGGATGTGTGGGCACATTGTTTGAATTGCGTTTAGGTACCTATAAAATAACATAACATAAAACTGTTGTATATTTAAAATATATCTCCTATATATAGAATATTTATGATTGGGCTCTCAAGACAAATGGCAAACAAATCCGTCAATAGAATCGTTACCGCAAGTCCATGATACATAGGACGTTGTTACCTCATTTTATTTCACGGACTCGTTGGCGATGACGATTTTTTTCAATGGATGGATTCGTTTGCCACTTAATTAAAGAAGCAAATAAGCTGTTTTTCAAACGAATCCAATGATTGATGAGTTTTCGTTAGCGTTAATATGAGAACAAATAAGACGCTAGATGTTGCTGTCTCAGTCTATCTCATGAACACAAGCAATAACATACATATCGATAGATTTATTTGCCAATTGTCTGGGGGTAAGGGGAATGTATAAAATAATTGTACACTTACAAAGGTTTATACAAAAACATTTCAATTATGAGGTCACGACCCTTAACGTGGTTGAAGAACACAAACAGCGACCAGTGGACCAGCCACGTTCTTTGCTGTAAAGCTTGCATATTATTCGCCGTAGCTCCAGCTGCACCGTTGTCAATGAACTCCCTTAATTTGGTTAAGTCGTCGAGGGCTCCATCCCAGTTTTGTACTAGGATCTCACTGGCCAACTTACCCCAGAGCACAGACAGGTAATTCTAAAAATAAACAAAATCATCACTAATACTGTAAAGTATATTCTGCTCTCCTAGATTACATAGACATTTTATTACAAATAGAGATATACGGTAGATGGCGCCTAGCTGTATTAATTTGCCACAATATTAACATTCTTTATGTACCATTCATTTCATAGTAAAATCATAAATACATTTCATAGTAAAATCATAAATACATTTTATAGTAAAATTATAAATACATTTTATAGTAAAATTATTAATACATTTTATAGTAAAATTATAAATACATTTTATAGTAAAATCGTAAATACATTAAACAGTAATATCATCACAAATGTATTCTGCTCTCCTAAATTACATAGATATCTTTTTACAAAGCTGGGAAACAGTATAAATGGATCGTCATTTAAGAATCTTTTTTTCCCCATCGGTTTTCGGTTCATCCAACTAATATTGTCGTAATTTATTTGAACTAAAAAAACGGATATTCTATTTAAATAAAACCTTTTTTAAGTAGGTATACAAACTCTTTTTGTTGATTTCAATATTAAAAAAAAAATCAATGACAATAGAAGGCTTACGTTTTTATAAATATGTCTTGTAAAATAACAGTTCATAAATTCGAAACAGGCGTGTATTTTAAATCATTGCAGATCTCGATTGAAGATGAAGATAATGATTTATCTAACGCCCAATATAGTGAGTGGTTAGAAGAGAGACCGCAACAAAAAGAAAAAGATATCCAGAAGCCATCATCATCACGTTTGGTTACAAAAATTGTATCGGAAACCGACGTTAACAATTTCAATCTGGACTCTTGTGCTCAAGAAATAGACGATCAAAATATACAAATACACAATATAACACAAGATGATTACGAACAGCAATATCCTCTTCATGAGATAAATAATATAAGTATTTTGGGGACAATAAATGATTTAAATAATAAACCAGAATTGCATAAGCAAATTGAAAGCTATCGTTCAAATGGAGAACAATATAACATAAGGGTAAAAACTCCATCATTGTTATTTCAAAAGAACCAAGATGTAATTGACAATCAATTGACGAAATCTAATAATAATGATGGAGATAAAAGTCCGTTAGAATATAGTCTCGAGAAAGTAAAAGAAAATAACGCTCGTATAATGGACAATATTCATATGTTAAACAGAACTTTAAATTACACAAAAAAAAAGGAAATATTAGATATTATTTGTCCAAAATCGATGAAATCTTATCCTTGTAATTCATGTGGGAAATATTTTGTCTATGAAACTGGTTTAAAAAGACACTATTCTATGAGGCATGCAATGACAGAAATGCAGCCACGATGGCAAATTGTGTGGACTTGTATAGAATGTTTTCAGGTATGGCCTAGACAGGATCTAGCTTTGAGACATTCCAGTCAATGCTGTAAATCAGATAGTATCGATTGTGTTCGTGAAATAAAAACCTCGTCACTGTTACAATGCGAGTTCTGTGAGAAAGTATTTACAAGTATACCAAGATTACTGCGACATACTAAAATGCATACTGCAGACAAAAATTATGAATGTAATGCTTGCGAAGCTACATTTTTGTCCTATAAGACAGCTGAACAACATTGGTTATTATGCCCTTGGTTAAAAATGTGTTACAGTTTTTCCTTACCAAAATTACTGCTTTGTAATGCTTGCGATCGTAAATTTAGAAACTATGATCAATTATACAATCACAGGTAAATTATCAATAACATATATTTCTGCAAATACATAAACTCTATATAAAAACATATTTCTTCTTTTTTTTAGGTACAAAATTGGACATTTCGCTACAAAAAATCATGGCAACAGTAATGCAGCTGCAACATTAATTTACCAATGTGAAATTTGTAGCCAGTGTTTCTCATCTATACCACCACTACAAATTCACAAAGCCCAATACCATCCTCAATATGGTACAGGAATGCAGTACAGTACTGTATGTGATTAAACACTTCAATGCAGGTTGTGCACAGATATTGTATCTTTAAAATTGTTTAGCAACTGAGCTATAAATATCAGAATAGCCTCAACTTGCAAAATAAAGATCTCAGGAGGACTGATTATTAAAATATTTATAGTCCATTAATATCATGCATGACGCAAAGGGCATAGTCTTTGAAGTGAGGATAGTGTAGCTGAGAAGAAAAGAGCCTCTTATTCTGCCTGGAACACCACCCATTACATCTGTCAGCCCACAGAAGTGTCCACTAAATTGATAGACTATAATTTTCTGTACTTATTTAATAATAAAGAAAATATATTAATTAAAAGTCACACTATTTTATTTGTCTCAGGCATATTTGTAATATAAATAAAATAAATTTCATCTTTTTCACTAACTAACAGTAAAGCCTTAATAATGACAAAACTGCCACTATTTTGTGCTAATAGTCACAAGGATTGTATTTTCAATTTTATTTTAATGCCTTTTAGAGAAATAAATTTCTATGCATAAATAGAAACACTTGAAAAATCTTACTCATGTCATAATTTTGCCTTAAATTTTGGACTATGTAAATTCTTTTTAATAGTTGATGTAGAACTCTAAGCTGTCCTTATATATATCTAAAAGGGTTTCCATGTAACGAATTGCATTAAAAAGTAGTTATCAACCAACTTCAAAAAGAAGAAAGTTCTCAATATGGTTCTATTTTTAAATGCTTGTTACCTCATAACTCTGATATTTATACTTTTTTTGTCTGAAAGAATATACTTTCAGATTGGTTCTACAGAAATTTTAAAGTCCGTAGTTTAGTTTTGAAATCAAAATAACTAGTTTTGTTACAATAAAAGTTGATGTTTTTTTTCTTGTAGAATAAAATCTACTTGTCCAATTATATTGTAGGTAGCATTATATACAGTAATAAAATAACAGCATTTTAAAAATGTTTTAAATAAAATGGAAGAGCTAATACCCTTAGCATAATATAATATAATGATTCTTTTATTTAAAACATATTTAATGCAAATAAATTCTATTCTTACCTTATCTGTGGGCGACATTACCAACTGGCAGAAATATAAATAAGATGCTGACTCAACATAGTTACCACACTCATATCTATATTTGGCTAGACAATACATACTGTCTATCATTTCAATTTTAAACTGAAAATTACAAAAACATATATTATTATACACTAGTGTAACAAATTATATACAATATAAATCTACTTTTTACATGGTTATATAGATAGCTAGCTAAATTAATATTTTATATTAGCTTTTATAGACAAATTTTTGATATTTTGAATAATATTATAGTAATTTTTGTGGGGACCTCTAACTTTTTATTTATATAAAAAGTAAATAAGTGATGTTTTTTTTTAAATTGATTGAGTAGTTTTTGAGTTAATCCATATAAAAATAATATCTTTCCTATAGTATAGGAAAGACATTATTTTTATATGTCGAGGGTATGACACATCTGATTACCAGGAGGGCAGGATGTTGTCATAGCAACAAAATGCATTGGCTCTAGTGCCTTTTTATTTATAGTTATATAAACTCTAGGCAAATTGTAATTTAATACCTAACATCATTGCATATAATAACACTTATGATTCTAGGTGATAGGCCTTTACAAATATATATTTAAAAGATTTACAATTATCTTCCATGAGACTGATATAATCATCCAAGTAAATTAAAACCTCAATACAAGTCAGGAGAATGTATAATAATGGATAATTATGTACAATTGTATATTATGGAAAAATATTGATGTTAAAAGTTTAATATAAGTAATACAAATAGCATTAATTAAGGATGTGACTTTGACATAGTAACTATATACTAATTGAGGATATTAAGTACAAATAAAAATTGTTTATTTATATTTAGTACCACTAAATATAATTATACAATTTTTATTTCTGAAATTAAAGTAATACTTAGAGCAATATACCTCTAAAAATTTATACTGTTAGCAAGTAATATACTCATAATGTTGAACTTTCTTTTATGCAACTTAGAATGGCAAACAAGCTGATGGCCCACCTGATGGAGAGTAGTAACTATCACCTATAGACAGGAGCAGTACCATGGAGATAACAGAGTATAATGTTTCGCCTATGATACCCCCATGCGTTGCCATTCTTGAGGACTCCAGTGTTATTCCTCTGTACCATGTAAATTCACTGTTCAAACCGTGCAAATAAAAATGCTTCATGGTAAAAACAAGAATGGGACAAAGGTGCTCAAGCAAATTACTCATATACAAAGTCTCCCTCTGGTAAACTATATTTATGTTTGTTTACACATACCTCAAATTCCTTATTAGTTGTCAAGTAATTAATGAGAGTTTTAGGATCTCTCATAGTTTCTACAGTTTTCATGACATCATCTCTTTGCATTAACCTTAGTACTGGCTCTACAGCATCTTGTAACACTTGAAGTTGGGACAGAACTACTCCTCTGCGTGACTTAATTTCCTTTCAAATAAGAAAAAATATTGTTACATGCTATAAAATAATTAAAATGCACAAAGTAGGTTCATTTTCAACTGTTTAGTTTATTAACCGATGATAAAAGTTATTTTAAAAATATAATTCTCACCTCAGGAGTATCTTCATCAGGGTACAGCATTCCACGAATATCAATAACATAATCGATCATATTAGTTTTGCTTAAAATTTCCAGTTTTGCTTGCAGAAGTTCTGACTGGTCATAGGTCTATAAATTACAATAAGAAATTAAAGGTGTACAAAGTTTAATTTTTAATATAAATAACACAATGTATTTCTTAAAATTTCATCTCGTATTACAAACAATATATAGAAATTTGTAATTCATATGTATAGAAATTTGTGATTATTATGTATAAAGGGTATGTAAATTTGATGACGACAAAAGATTTTTTTACCTCTTTTGCTGCTAAAAACTCCAACAAAGGAAACACAAGGTGGCGGTCTAAATATTGACCTATTTTAAAAGTTAAATCAAATTTTGAATAACTCATTATATCTCGAATTTTTTCACAATAAACAAATTCAATTACAAGAATCGTGGATAGAAAAGTTAACCTCAAAAAAGGGTGCTTCGAATAACGAGTTTGACAGTATTTTTCTATTCTGTGGTGATAGATTAAATATTGATAATCAATAACAAACTGAAATTCTGAGGTGCCATTCTCTAAACCTATTACAAATCTAAAAGTAATATTATTAGAGATGGGCAATCCACCTGGGTGGGTTTAAAGTCTGGTGGGTAAAAACCGGGTGTTTTGGGTTTATTGGGTTTAAACCCCATAAACACCCAAATTTTTGGGTGTTTATGATTTTGTACTTCATCATCGTCATCTCAGCCGCAAGACGTCCACTATACTGGACATAGACAATATTATTATGCAGCCTACAGAATAAAAAACTTTTAATTTGATTTTGAGTTTATTAAGAAAGAGATGAAAGTAAAATGTAAAACTACAGTCAATCACTGTCAGATTCAGAGTTATTACAAGCGATGAATTGTATAGGTTCGATAGGCTCTATTTCGTCTAAACTGTTATGTTCATTTACTTGCTCAATGAAAGCTTCTAAGGTATTTTCTTCATTAAACTGAATGTCCTCGCATTCAGCTTTATGTTTAAGATTCCAGTTATAACAAATGAATGAAATTTTTTCAGTTCTTTCAGTTGTAAGTCGATTTCTTTTGTTATTATGTATGTAGCCTTGGATACTAAAGGAACGCTCAGTGGCTGCCGAAGTACAGGGAGCTGATAGAATACGAATCGCTACTTTGCTTAACTCAGTGGAACCACAAATACCTTTCCACCATATTAGGGGCTCAATGCTATCTAATGAGCTCCATACAAATCCTCTGGCCCAAAAGTTTTCTTTAGCTTTATAACACGCCAAATCTGCCATTACATTTGACAAACTTAAGTGTTGGCTTAAATTGTAGATAAACTCCATACCCTTAAGTTCTTCCTCTTGAGTAAGTTCGACTCCTAGAGTCCTGGGGTCTAGAATATATGCTGCAAAATGTATTGGCCTCATTGCCATATTGCATCTTGAAGATACTGATGTTAGAATCTGCTGTTTGCTTTCTTCGCTCAATGTCGAAATCTCATTTAATGCAAAACGTATCTTAGCTTGTACATCTCTAAATGTAATGTATGTGCGATGCAAACGATTCTGGTCGCTCTCTAAGTAAAATATGCTTTCAGTGACTGGTTCCAAAATACTTATACATTCCCCTGTCTTCGTCCAGAAATCATCACTTAGAATTAAATCTTTAATATCTCTTGAAATTACCACATCTTCTCTAACTGTTAATATTTGCAAAGCTATCTTATTTGCTTTCAAACTTTTTAACGAAGTAACATGACTTCCCCATCTTGTAGCACAAGGCAATTTTAGTGTTTGTGTAGAATCTTCACCCTGCCTTGATTTTATCAACAAGGAACTTAATCGTTGACTCCTTTTAACAGTTTTTATTATATTTATGGCTTGCATAATAAACACAGTTACTTCTTGTATCTTTACAATATCTTGGCACAACAAGTTAAGGATATGTGCACAGCAACCGAGAGGAACAACATGTGGATATTTGAGTTTTGTTAATTCGAATGCCTTTTGTATATTTCTAGCGTTATCGCCAATAAGTACAAGAAACTTATTTGCTCCATACACTTTCATTACTTTTTCAACTTCTTGGCTAAGGTATTCACTAGTGTGAGGATTACTTTCTGTATTCAAACTTTTAACGTATGCAGGTTGAGGTTTTGATATAAGAAAGTTTATTATTCCTTCATTTCTTAAATTAGACCAGCCATCGCACTGAAGGTGTAAGTAACTACAAGCATTTAGTTCCTCATTTAACTCAAAACGCATTTCTCTATATATTTTATCTAAGTATTTTGTCGCTAAAGCTTTACGTGAAGGTATTTTAAATTTTGGTTGCAATTTTTCGAAAAATTGTATCCATAAAGGATGTTGCACCATCGATAATGGCGTCCCTGTTACAAATATAGCTCTCGCTAATTCTGTTTTTATATGATCATCGGTGTCTTGAAACTCAGCATTTATTGTAGTGTTAGCAGACGACGAGGGGCTTATAAAAGAATCATTTGTCTCTATCTCTGACAGTCCAGACATTTTGGTTTTGGACGAGCTATCTTTTATAAGTTTCATAGAGTCTTTTAATGTTTCTGGAGATTTTGGACAAGTGATAAGATGTTGAAGCATTTTGGCAGCATTACTGAATTTGTAGACCTTATTACAAAGCTTGCAAGAAACAGACTTGTTTGGTAAAGTACGGTAGTGCTCCCATATGCGTAAATCTTTAGGTCTCCCCATTGAACCTAAAAAAATGAACGATGATTAGTTGGTCTGACGAAAATTCAACAATAGAGTGCCTATTTTTTTACAATGATTATTTCTTGTTATTTACAATAAATTTATTAAAAAAATAATAAAATAAATACAAAAAACCTTTGTAAAATTACATCTCCTCGGAGGATTAAACGCAGACGCTAGTTTATTATCGTATTGTTCTGTATTTTTCTCAGCAACTTCTTTAATTCGATTAGGTACTTACGCATATTATGTTAAAAATAAATATCTAGTACACATCTTAGACTATCCACCATTATTATCCAATGACGACTCTCAGCTAACTATGCACTATCATCCAAAATAAACGTGTATGGAAAATTTTATCCCAGTCGGTTGAGGATTGAGGATAATTGCATCAACATACGAACATACCTACATACTTTTATTTACATAACGCAAGCTAAATAAAAGCTTGTAATAATACATCTAATTTTAAGTTAAAATTGTTAAGTGATCATGATATAATTGTATCATTCAAAAATCCACTTACCTTTAATTATTTCTTGTTAAGTATAAATATTATTTCAAATCTGCTCCCTTAATATGCACTTTTTTACTGCTTTTCCTACCTAACACGTTACCAGGAAGTCACGTTACCAGAGTCAGAGTAATAGTGAACACGTTTGACAGTGATTGTCGTCGCCTCATATTCAGCGTCGACGAATAGGGGAATCCCCAGTCATAATGTATTGCATGCGTGGCGGTCTTACTTCAAATCCATAAACAAAGAGATAATTACAGAACTCGATACTAGATGGCGCTGTTTTTGTTTGAAGAAAGTTTGCGGGCTAAAATACATAGAATTTCATCAATGACTTCCACAAAGAACAACATTTCTGTTTTTTCTAAGTCCGTATCTCTTCCGTATATTTCATAAGATATAAGCTTGGGCTACATTGTTATGCAACGTGATTTTGTCGCTGTCTTGCTAGCAGGGTTGACAGATATACGATTTAAATCGTACTCATACTATTATTTGTCTATTTTTTAATGTACGATCGTAAAGATTATGATCGTAATTCGCACAAAAACATACGACTTTTTGGTTACCTGGCAACATTTTTATTATGAAACGAACATGCTCACATCATCAGTCACATGCAACAATTTATTGGGGATTTCCCCTTCACATCTGGCAGTCCTGCTTGCTAGAATATAGGTAAGTCAGCCACAGTTACTGACGATCGATATTTAAAGGGTATTGTTTTTGTGCTAAATATTTCATAAAAACGTTATTTAATACTTTGTGGATTATTAATTTAGTTGATAATCACTGGAAGTAAAATGGATGCTAATTTGAGAGATCAAGATCTTCGTATAAAACAGTTAATAAAAGAAAATCTACGTAAGTACTCTTTTTATACCTAGGTAGGTAAGGTATAATAAACACAAAAGGTACTTAGATCGCGTGTGTTCGAAGCATTTATTCTAATAAATTTAATTTAAAATTGTAGAAAGAAAAAAATGTCTGCCAAGCCGTAGCCGAAGCCGATCTCCAAATATATTTGGCGATAGTGAGACCCAGTGTCCAGATGATTTACCCAGCGTCGTCGCAACAAATAAAAAAAACGAGGATAAAGTAAAAGAAAATTTACTGAAAGAAGAAACAAACTGTTCTAAATGCTTAATTTATGGAGAAGAGGATAAAAGAAATGAGTATTTCGGACTGTTAGTGGCTCAAGAATTTAAATATATACGGCCATGTGTGCGAACGAGGTGTTATGAAGAAATTTTAAAGTATCTACGGGAAGCAAAAGGCCAACATGTTGATCAACTGCAACATGAAAACACTGAAAATTAATTACTTTCATTTTATTATATATAGATTTTTAAAATTTCCTGAAATATTATTAGTTAACGTTTTATTTAATATTGTAGAATTGATCAATACAATTTATAAAAATAATTTATTGGTATTACTTACATATTTTCAAAAAAATACGTAAAAACCTATTTTTTTGGGTGATTATGGGAGTTTATGGGTGTTTATTGGGTTTTTACCAAAGCACCGGGTTTAAACCCGGTGCTTTGCCCATCTGTAAATATTATAGATATATTTAGATATCTATGAAATAAATTTACAAAGATTTTGAAATAGATTTATTTCTTTAAAACCATAGATAGCAATATTAAACTCCATCTAAACTTACGTTCAGAAACTGTCGAAACCTCATAGTATTTATAAAGAAATATATGTTTTAGAAATATAATGAAGACCATTGTATCATTGAGCATTTTGTAGTTATTATAATTACATGGCTGTTGGTAACCAACAGATATCGATTTCGAGTTGTAGATTAATTTCAATCTAAGAACAAGGTCATTTTTCTTAGATTTAAATACTTATTAGTCCCTAGAAGTCTCAAGACTTGTGTCAAGTTAACATCTATCATATGATAATCGGCGACAGCTTAACCAAAATGTTTGCGACAGCCGGAATCTTTAGCTGGGTCCCAGTCTAAAGATTTCGTAATGGCCCCAGTCTTCTTACAGAAGAGTCGACATTATCCATCCATCATTATCACTTCATTACACTACTTAATACACTCATTTTGGATGAATCTGTTATAATACGAATTTTTTTTATTTTATTTTATATTCTTTATTTATATATAAATATTTTGTGTGTAGTTTCGTTATTATAATTCTTAATATTTTTTTAACACTTGTGTGGGTGTAGTCACATATTTCTGTAAAATAGTTTCTTTCATAAATAGCCGGATAGTTAAGTTATTAAAATTTCGGCTAGTTACTCATCGCTAGCACTAATACTATTAATACCTTAGCACAGAGATGTTAAAGAAAATCTATTTATATTTAAATAGATTAATATTTCCTTATAATTGATTTTTTAAAATCGATTTTTATTGTTATACTAGCCGACTCGGTAAACGTTGTTTTACCATAAACATTATTTCTAGAACTATACATGAAAATATATCGTACTACAATTCTTATATTCGATTGTCCTTTTGCAACCTAATTGCGGAATGTAAAAATCGCGATTAAACAACAGGGGTTGATCGTAAAAGCGTGAAAATTTGAATCTGTATGTATTTTTCAATACTAAATCATAATAAAATTTAAAAAATATCAAAAAAAAATTAAGTGTGGGTCACACTTATCATTGAGAGTTACGAAAAATAGATGTTGGCCGATTTCAGACCTATGGACACAAAATTTTATAAAAATTGATAAAGCCGTTTCGAAGGAGTTTTGGTAACAAACACTGCGACACGAGATTTTATATATTAGACTAATCCATTTTTCATAAACCGATTACATAAATTACGCGCTTAAAATGATTTTTATAAACAACGCCATTTATACAACAGATAAAAAAAAATTGTAATTAAGTTTTTAAGACCAGAACGCAGTCGTTTAGTTTTTTTTTTTTAATTATTGTTTTAAGTATTTTACGGCTGCAAATTGAGCGACCCGGAGGTCGTCGCCTCCGGAGTAGAAGCCGGGGTAATGGGGTACGCCCCGAGGCTCCTACCTCGCCCGCCCACACATCATCTGATGGGCAAAGAGAAGACCCTGTTGTTGTTGTTAAGTATTTTATTTTAATACTATTCAGTCAAATGTAAAATAGGATTGGACATTTATGTCTTTTTTTTTTGTATATGATTTATATTTTAGTTTTTGAGACAGTAAGGTTGTCATTTTGTTGGGAAGCTCATCATTTCATTTTTATTATAATAAAACGTTTAATGGTATAAAAAATTTGTATCAATAATGATATTTGGTTTTCTTATTCCTTACCTTGAAAGTTTAAAGGAACATTCGCTTTGATTTTAGTTTTGAATTGGTTATTTTTAATCTGATAAATTGTTTATATGAATCTCTTAGGTTTATTATTGGAATGTGAAAAGCATGTAGGTTTATAAATAATAGAAAACATCGATTTTTCGCAGTAATCAATTATTTATTTTTATTTATATAAATTTTTGACAAATCAATAATGAATAAAGGAAATCTATTTATATTTAATCAATCCTTTTCCACTAATCTCACGTCCCTACCTTAGCATTGCCTCCTTTCTTTTTATGCAAATATAATCAGTAAAAAGAGGATGAAAGATATGCCAACAGTTGCTAATGTTTTCAATTTATAGCGGGCTAGTGTGTAGAAAATGTTTGATATGTCAATTATTTACAATGACAAATTTTATATGACTAGATTATAATTTCGATACAGCTTATGTAGAAAATATGCAAGCAGGTTGTATCTGAATTTGATAGGGTTATATAGCCGTGTAACATTTTGAATACACTAGCCAGCTATGAATTGACAAAAATAGCAACTGCTGGTGTATCTTTCGTCCTTTTTTTACTAATTATATTTGCATAAGAAGAAAGGAGGCAATCTTATAATTTACAGTTTTTATTTTATCATTCCTACTATGTAATTCCTTGTTCTTAAGCATTCTCTTTCTAACCATGTCTAAGTTATTTGCTATCAAATTTTTATTTATTATTTCATTAGTGCAACACTACGACAGTTAATGTTTTAAATTGACGTTATTTCGTACATACATGGATTTCTTCGCGTTTTGAGGAGTTTTATAAAATATTCATGATTAATTTGGTATTTTCAGGGTCTATATTATCATATAACTGTATAATTTATACGTAACAATGATTCAACATAGTGAATTTTAAGTGTTTCATTACTATTTTTTTGTGTTCGGCGCGGTACGCATCCACCACGGTCGAAATTGATTCCAAAATGGCGTCGAATGTGCTACTATAGAATGCGTCATAAATAGAAGCAGTGCATGTGTCTAAAATGGCTAAAAATAGAGGACTTACGTTGAGTTAGTTGCAGTAAATTATAATGAAAAATGTCAAACACAGTGATAACTAATTATACAGATCTTAATGGACCTTCTACAAAAGCTGATAGTTCTGTTGTTGTTATTGTAAACAAGGATGGATCACTCTCTGTTGATCAGAACTTACTTGGGACTTTAATGGGTAAAATTTAATAATCTGCTATTTTTTTTATTATATAAGATTATAACATTGATATAACATTATAGATTCATTATAACATTGTCTAAATTATTATATTATAAAATTTGTTTCGCATTTTTTCGTACTTTGTATCATAATTTTTATAATGTAGGTAATAGCATTATTTTGGTACACAATACTTGAGAATATATTAATTAATAGTATTTAACGTAAAATGTTCTAATTTTCATATTATAGATTGTTTTTATTATTAGTATGTTTTGCCGCCAAAATATTTTTTTTTTAAATTTACTCAGACAATTTCCTAGAGATGCATAAGAATCTTTTGAGAATCTTATAATTTATTCTATGAACTTTTATAATTTATCTTATACTGCTTTAACTAGTCTGTAACATTTCGGTAAATGCAAATAAAAAATTACCTAAATAATCGTATATACAATGGAATTTATAGGCAGTGATGGCTCCCAAGGAGCTGGTATAAGTGTAGTACGTGTTGGCCATGAAGGGAGGCCTGATGATGCTACGGATTCCGAAACCGAAGATGATAAAGTGCCTCATGTAACACTTTCTGTGGATAGCTATTATGATGAACCTAACAGTATCATTAAATATGGTAAGTTACAATATTCAAATTATATTTTGGAAGGTCTTAAAAGTTCTACTAATAATAATAGTAGTCAATCTTTAAAGTTGTTGGTAGTTGCATGTTTACTAGTGGGAGTGGAATTAAACAAAATAATTCTAATCATCTAACCAGTAATATGGAGTTCTGCAAAATAAAACCGATTTTGATAAAATATTCTGGCAGTATCCCACTGATTAATTTTTATCACCAATGATATCTACATAGGTGCTATTCATATCTATAGGGGTTTGTTACCACTTTCCATCAAATTTACTATCAACTTGATTGCCATTTTAAGTTAAAATAAAAATAGTAAATGGAAAATTCTGAGAGATATGCTTTTATACAATAGGATTTTGAATGTATTCCTGATCTAAATCTGGTAGATGCAATGTCAAATGCTTATATCTGTGGATAAATGGTATTCCTGACAAATTTGACAAAACTAAAATGTATATATGGTCTATTACACTAGTAAGTAGTAGTAATAGGAAAACTAAAACTGCTTTAAGAAGATTTGAAACATTATTTTATAAAACATTTTATAATATATTTTTTTACAGATAGTGGTGCTGAAATGCTTCAGTCATTGAGAATAGAAACAAGAGAAAATAGTTTAGTGGGTTTCCATAATGACCATTGTTATACCACCCTCACCTCCCCTAGTCAAACATTACCACAAAGAATTGATAATTACTCAGGATATGATGAGCCACAAATTGAAATAACTCATACGCCACCACCAAAACCTGTTCCAAATACGAAGAAAATTACTATTCTAGAACAACAAATTATTCCAAAAGGTAAAAAGATTGTAATAAATCCTACTGAAACCCCAGTAATATTAAAAGGTAGTGATGTACTAAATAAGCCATTGACTGTATTGTCGAAATCTAAGCATATTTCTGATGTAGGGAAGACTTCAAATGTTGTCCGAAAGACTGAAGAAAATGTTGAATCATCGTCAATAAGTTCATCTGGAGATAGTATTCCTGATAGGGATTCAGATTCTGATTATAAAGAATCAAGAGACAGAGTACCTACACAGAAATTTAAAAGAAATAAATTAAAGCCAAGAATTCTAAAAAGTGTAAATCCTACAAAAGCCACTAAAATAGACTCAAAAATAACATCTAGATTGAAGGCCAATAAAAATCTTGTAAGGAAAGAAAACAAAGAAAAGTCTTCACAGAAAAATGTCTTAGAAAAAAAACAACCTGAAATTGACATTGAAAGTCTTATTCCCACTTCAGAAATACCACAAGCTACTTCTACAGCTAATGATCTCAGTAAGAATGTTTCTAAACCTACTCCTAAATCAGTTAAAAAAGAAAAGAAAACACCAGCTCATGTTACAGCTTTGTTGACTGATATGACATCATTATTTTCTACACCAGATGTTATAAGGAGAGTGTCAACAGATAATAAAATATCAACCAAAACTGCTGATAAAGAGGCTTTGCCTGGAGATAATAAAAAAATAAGTGCTACTTCTAAGCCAATAGATGTAAATGAAGGAAAATTAGATGTTAAACCTGACAATGTAGATAAACCTAAAACTATGGTTTCACATAGAACTTACTCCAAGCAAAAAGACAAAATAATAAATCCTGCTGAAAAAGTTTCAAAAGGATATGATTTGATACCACAATTAGATGACGCAAGTTTAGCACAAATATTACAAGACACAACAACTATTGCTAATCCAGTTAAAATTCAGCCAAATATATCTACTGCAAATACTCTTCCAAGTTTAGCTGGACCACTGTCTCCAACTCTAGATTTACTTGGGGGATTGCAGCCAGAAGAAGAAGGCTTAACTGAAGACTTGTTAATGCATGTTGCACAATTGGTAGAAAGTTCAGAAAATCTGCAAGAAGTTATAGACAAACAAGTTTTAGGCAAAGTAGACAGTAACCCTAAAACTCCAGTACAAACACAATTTCAACAAACACAAGCATCAAATAATCTATATGCACAAACTCTTTCTAAATCTGTTAAGAATGTTGTATCTCGTAAAGACCCTATTGAAATTGTTCGACGAGATGGCCGTGTCATTACTTTGCCACCTATTGAGGCACCAGCTACCAGAGCTTCAAAACGAAAAAGTCAAATGGAAACTACTACCAATACTGAAACATTGCCAACATCAGTACCAGTCACACCTGTAACTATTACACCTGAGCCCCAATTGCAAACTGTATCAAAACAGTATATAAATAAAAAGCTTTCTAATAAGAAACAAGAATCACCATCAGTAATGCCAGTTGTTGATAAAATATCTGCAGAATCTCAAGAAAGCTGGAATTCTGAAGATGATCCTAACAGGTAACACAATTAATGTTATATAGTTTTAGTAAAATGAAAATTATTTTATATATAGATATGTACATTTTGTTACTGATGTTTTCAAGAACATTACATTTAACTTGTAATTTATTAATCATAATTATTATATTATTTCAATAGAGAAGAGTTTATCACTTTTTTCAGTTAGTGTATATATATATATATATATATATATATATATATATATATATATATATGTATATATATATATATATATATATATATATATATATATATATATATATATATATATGTATGTATATATATATATATATATATATATATATATGTATGTGTATATATATATATATATATATATATATATATATATATGTATATATATATATATACTTCAGTAATTAAAGATTGTGTCCCACAAAAAAAATTACTTCAATTGTAACAAAACCAGTTATTTTGATTTAAAAACTAAACTGCTGAATTGATTTTGATAAAAATTTTATACAACCAATTTGTAAGTATATCTTTTCTGTTAAAAAAATAATTTTCCCAATTTGCATAAAGCTGACAGTTTTATGAGGTAACAAACGTAAAAAAACAAACAAATTGGGAACTTTTTTCTTTTTGATATTGATCGAAAATGAAATTTTCTCTTATGTCCGTTCCTGTATTTTTTTTCTGTATATTAATTATGTAATATCTTTGCTTTAATTGATTTCGCAATCTATAAGATATTGCAAAAAAGAAAAAAAAACAATTTGTAGTCAATGATTTTTTTGAACAATCTAGAATGAAATTCCATAATTATTCATACCTTACCAATGATGATAAATAATTGCTGCTTATTGGTATGAAGTTACATGTGGACACCTACAATACTTGATACATCATGTGCACAATATCAAACCCTAAGAACCTTTAATATCCATTTTAAAGAATCTCATAATATATAGATTAAAGATATATTAAGAATACCATGGTAGAAATCTCTGCATTCACTGAAGAGAACTGCTGCATCCAACGATATTGTATTAGAACATTTAGGTTGCAAAATATAAGAATAGATTTCTTGTCTGTGTCAAATAGTGTGTTGATATTGCAGTGGCTAATTATGGAAATTGATTTAAACCTTTTGATGCTGTAGGTTTATCAAAGGTGTCCAAAATTTGAGGTTCTAACACCCTGATAATAATTTACATTTATTTATATTAGTCATTTTATATATAGGTTATGGTGTATATGTAAACAGCCACATAACAACCGATTTATGATATGTTGTGATGGTTGTGAAGATTGGTTCCATGGTAAATGTGTTAATATAACAAAAGCAATGGGCCAACAAATGGAAGAACAGGGTATTGAATGGAGATGCCCTAATTGCGTCAAGAAAACGAAACCATCATCTAAAACTGTTGCCAAAGTAAGTAAATTGTAAAAATGACAATGATTGTATGCTATTATTTACAAAATATTTATGGAATTCTTGCTTTTTCATTTGAATTAAAATATAGATAAATGTGCAATTTAAAATTTGTGTTTAACAAATCTAATAGTATATAATAAGCTATATTCTTATTGTGTAAAAAATTAATAATGCATAGATAAACATTAATTTTAACTAATATTATTTTTTAAGGTTGTATCCCAAAAGAGAAGTGATAGCGAAGGTGCAATCAATCCTCCTCCAATTACTAAGGATGCTTTGTCATCAAAAACTATTTGCATAGTATGTAAGAAGCCTGCCCGAGCTAGTAGTATTTACTGTAGCGATTCATGCATTTTAAAACATGCTCAGGACTCTCTTGGAAGTCAAGGTAGTTCTAAAAGTGAAGGACAACAAGGAAAATCTCAAGAAAAGCAAAAATCAGACTCGAGGGTAAGCATTAGTAGTAGTTAAATTTATTAATTACCAACTAAAAACTAAACTGAAAAAGTATATGTAATTCTTTTTTAAATTTATTTTTAATGAATACATTTACAGGTAATAGTGTACGAACGTAAATCTGGAAGGTTATTGGCTGGACCTAATGCCCCTACAGCAGAAAATTTGAAAGCATGGTTGCAAAAGAATCCAACATTCGAAGTTGTGCGTCCTGGAACTTTAAGTACCATCAAACCTAATGTATCAAAACGGAAACTTTCTAATGAACCAAATAAAATACAAACCACTCTCAACTTCGAGAAAATCTCCCGAAAATCGATTGAACAGCCGTCTGTAACCCCACCTGCTAAGATTCATCAGATTGAAAATAAAGAAAAAATTCCTAAAGAAAAAACACCAAAAGAGGATTCAAAAACTATTTCTCAACCTAAAACGCCTGTGACGCCTAAGTCACAAGCACTTTCATATATTGACACCCCTAAAGCAAGCACATCTTTTGCAAAAACTATAAATGAGCCACGTAAATTGGTTCGCGCGAGTTTGAATAGATCTCAGTCAACACATGAAAAGGTAAAAATTAAAAAAAAATTGATTATAAAAAAGTTTATATACATTGTTTTTTGTTTATATAATTATAACAATATAAACAAAAAACAATGTTTAAATTCATGGACTTGCCCCGCGTATTCAATTGAAATGTTTTATATGCAGATCACGTAATTAATTTTCCTGTCCATGTGACAAATCTGTGTCTATAAAAGCTGATGGAAACTTTACCAAAACAATCCTTACATTATCACGGTAACCTCGGAATTGTTTGCATTTTGATTACTCATACTATTTGGCATATTTACGATAATTATTACATTATAGGTTCCTTCAGTCACAGCATCAACATCGCGCAGAAAAGACGTTTCAGATAATAAACGTAAAATGAATTCGCCCGAACCAATACGTGAAAATGTGAGGAAAGCGTTGCAAGAACAGTTGACATTACGGATGGCGGAACATGATGGACCTAGGTTCAGTGAGGAAGAAATACAACAGTTTGCTTATGATACTGAAGACGAATTGCATGAACTATTCAAAGATGTGGGAATGAAATATAAAGCAAAGTATAGATCTTTAATGTTCAATATTAAAGATCGCAAGAATCTTTCCCTGTGGCAGAAAATTTGTGATCGCGTTATTACACCCAAAGAACTGGTAAGGTGAACATTATTTATTTTCTTATTGTGTTTGTTTATTTATTATTATTGTTATTGTATTAAATTTATATTATTTTTTAAGGTGAGGCTATCTCCGGAAGAATTAGCAAGCCAGGAATTAGCTGAATGGAGGGATCAGGAGGCTAAACATCAGCTGGAATTGATAAAGAAGTCAGAGTTAGATTTATTAGCGGCCAATAAAACTTATGTCTTAAAGACGCATAAAGGAGAAGAGGTAATTATTCAATAGTGATAATGACATAATTTCGCATTATATTCATAAATCATTTTACCAACTTTTCTCAACACAATGGTACTAATTACTGTTAAATTATAATTTTAAATTGTATTAGAATTAGGTATTTTTTATTTCCATTTTATTATTTTAGGTAATGGAAACAAAGGAATCCGTCTCTACAGAACTTGATCCGAATGTACCTGTGGAAGATGTAGTAGCAGTTCTAAATGACAAAACAGTTGGTGAAGATGTTCTAAATGAAATTACCCAGGAACCGTAAGTATTGTGATATTATTCAGAGATATATCTTAGCAAGTCATTTATGATTTTGTTAAATATGAATTGTTTGTTTTTTTGTCACCTATGAAATGTCATTTACGAAATATATCCATAACATGGTATATTTTTCAGAAATACTGCCAAAAAGGAAAGCACAGAAAAAAAATATAGCAGCGGCAGAAAAAGGGGAAGAGAGGATAGTAGCTCTAGTCATACTAAAAAGAGCAGTAGAGAATCTAAACGAGATTCTGAGAAGAGAAAGTCTCGTAAAAAAACACTGGATATAAAAAGCAAAGAGTCTCATGACGGTAGAAGGTCCACCCGTAGATCAGATAAGAAAAAGAGTCGAAGTACAAAATCTGTTTCAAAAGATAGATCCAATAATGAATCCAAAGAAAAATCTGATTCTGAAAGGTCTCGACACAGATCTCGTTCAAGAGCGAAGTCTAAAAGGAGATCGAAGTCTCAAGAACGTTCAAGATCAACTTCAAAAGGCAGGGACGAAGAGAGATCGCGATCTAGAACGCGTTCAAGAAGACATTCACCTTCCAACAGACTTTCGCCTTCAGATAGTAGTAAAAGGCGACGAAGATCTCGATCTAAACACTCAAATAGTACTGATGAAAAGTTTAAGCATCGTTCTAGATCACAAGAAAATACATCAAGTAAAAATAAAAATGAGTGAGTAAAATTTTAAATAGTGTTTTTCGATTTCCTCATACCTTATAATCTGGTATAAGATGATTTAATGAGTGACGCAATAACTTTTAGCGTCATATAAATTCAAGGTCGAACAATTTTATAGTGCTATGTATGGTACGCGGTACATGCAATGTTTCTGTTTAGATTATCTGTCTTCTGAGTTTAAAAATATTTACTGTTATAATCTATAGAAGAAATCTAAAGAAATAATCGTTCAAAATCATTAATAATTTTACGTTACGTTACGTTAATTGTACATTCACATTTTGCAGTTCTACGGATTCAGATTCAGTTGAGCGGCCAAAGTCAGCAATGTTAAAAGAGTCACATCCTGAGTACGATCCACATGAACCTATGATCACTTCAGCATTTTCTGAGGAAGATTTGAGAAAATCAAGAGAAGACGTATTTGAAGATAGCTACAAGAATGAAATTGATGATTTTGTTGGTGAAGAGTATGATCCAGCAAAATCGTTTTCCATTAATACAAATATTACTTTGCCAATTCCAAAGCCATTGGGAAAACAAGATAGGATATCAGGTATAAGTTTGTGTACTTATTAGGTATAATATATAATGGCGTATTGGTCTTGATAAATACTTTATTTTTTGTTTGTTTCTTTAACAGAAGCAGAGAGTGATCAAGAGCCAAGCAGTACCGTAGAGAACTCCTCAGCAATTGTGTGGAATGGGTGTATCAATATGGTTGACGTGGCTAGGTTTTATGTAGCGGCGCATGAGGTTATTATTTATTAACATATAAGTTGAAGACAAAATTATTAGCACCCCATTATGAGTGTTGCATCAGTAAAACATGAACATTTTTCTCTAAAAAACATATTTTTTAACTAAAACAAATTTGAATCTCATACTAACTTGACAGCTGGTCTCGTCGTATTAGTAAATGTTCATAAATGCTAAAGATTACCATTTCATTCTGTATTTAAATTTTAATTCACTAATTTAGCGACTGATATTTAAATTTGCTTTATTGACGAAAATTTAGTGTAATTATAATGAAGTATAGCAACGTCGCAGTTATCTCACAATTTTCAAAAACATTTTAACATTTTTTAATGATTTTAATTTATTATTTAAAAGGTACTCTGATAGCGAACTAAACTTTAATCATAGAATACATTGCATATAAATCTACCATTAAAAACTTTGCACCTACCTACTTCATATTTTGTTTCGAAATTTTCAAATACATTTTTACCATCTAAATCCTAATTTTCATTAACAGCTTAATAAGAATATTATAGCATCATTAACGTTTTGTTATCAGAGAACTTTTTAAATAATCGCATACAGCGCCGCTTTAAAAATGTTTTCTTCTACGAACGCTTAGTTTATGGGATGAGCTCTCATAAGTTTTGCCATGACAGTACAGTATAGGAATCTTTAAGAAAAGAAAGAGGTTTCTTTAATGTCGGCAACGCGCGCATAATGCTTCTGGTATTGCAGGCGTTCATAGGTTACGGTAACCTCTTACCATCAGGTGAGCCATATGTTTGTTTACTACCTCATAGGTATAAAAAAATCAATCAATAAAATCGAAAATTAGTAACTTGTTTTTGAAAACAGTTAATAGTGACGTTGCCACACTTCGTTTAGCTAATGTTATGAACGCTTTTAACCAACAACTCTAGCCCTGTCGTAGTAGCAATTTTCACTGGATTTTCAAAAATATATATTTATATATACCATAATACCTTCATCATGATGTCAGCTTTAAATTGGGTTTTGCTAGTAGTTGCCACGCTTGGCAGGCGGACTTTCAACCGCAGTTTGGCTATAGAAATGTTCTAAGTGGGATGCTGCTGCCCATCCCTCGCCTTTCCTTAGTCGCCTTTTACGACACCCACGGGATGGCTTATTCTGTGCCCGGACCACACGGCCATAATATCTTAGTCCTTAGGAATGGCAACGAATGAAGGGTATCATAGGCGACACAGTATGACTCTGTTATGTCCATGGTACTGTTCAAGTCTATAGGCGACGGTTACCACTTTCCATCAAGTGAGCCGCCAACATTATTGCTCTTCTGACTTGTATAAAAAAATTACCTATCTGCTTACCTTATAAGGAATCTGGCGTGAACATACAGATGAAAATATTGGTTTGTTCTTAATAGGATCATTTGTATCAAAATTGTAGTCTTGTAATTAAACAAACATCAATGCCTAGTCCTAGTATTATTGGAATGTTAAAAAATACAAATTTTGGCAATTTTTATTAACTGGAAGCTCTGTTACAATACAATTAGCATATATAATGTATTAGCATTAGATAAGACTTCTCACAATATTCTGTGGTCGTTTTTATTAATTGTCGTAGCACGGCATAGTATAATAGAAAAGCAAAATGTATGCAATTGTATAATGATTTAATTGCGGTGGATGTTGCCACGACGTGGTCGCCCACGGAAAATTGTCTTTTTGTACATTTGCATACGGTTTCATATTCATTACGATAAAATCACATCGTACTGCGATAATAAATTATAGAGCTTATTCATGGTAGATTAATTTTTATTTTTAGTATGTATTACGACTGATTTTTTTTTAATTAGAAACCCCTTTTTATATATTTATCTATTTAGCTTTGCTTTGAACCCACTTCGTAGTGGTCAATTGAGATGATAATGAATGTTTAAATACTTGTTATATATTGCTGATCGTTATATTAATTATAATTCAACAATTATTAAAAGAGAAATAAGTAATTATGGATTGAAGGGGTCTTAGGAAATCCAAAAATTTTGTTAATCATTGAATTCCACACAAAACATTTCTTAGGGTAAAAATAGACGGTATATAAAAACTCTAATGTATGTATATTCAACACGTATTTGTTATGTGTAGGTTTCGGGAAATGGTCAAGATTTAGAAGAAGATCTGAGCACAGAATTGGACATCGTTGGAAGAATAAATCCAGATACGGTTTGGGATTACATCGGAAAAATGAAGAGAGCTAGTAATAAAGATATTGTAATATTAAAACTACAGGCTGCGAATGATGAAGAGAAAATGCAATATATTGCACTATATAGCTATCTTAGTAGTCGCAATAGGTTCGTATTGTGTTCATATGACGTAATAATTATTATAATAACTCCAATATATTTTTATTATAATAATTATTGTGTTTTAATTGTAGTTCAAAAAAGAATTATTTTATTAAAATTCTTTCCGAGTTTTCATTTGCCTTATCCTACAACCCGCTTTATGATTCCGATATAACTCCAATAACAAGTTAGATACAGTACACTGGCAAGGAATATAAAGAAATATAACAATTATAATTAAGTTATACCCTGTTCTTATAATATTCATAAATGAGCTAACGTAATAAACTATCATTGTGTAACGACATTATCGTTAGCTAGTGTTACATAATGCTTATTTGAAATTCCATCGAGAAATCGCAATCAATTATAGTAGAACATGTTAATATTGTATTAAAATGGAAATGATGTGAACATTACGTTTACTTATAATTAGTGAATTGCATGTATAGTATTTAAGCGGTCATAATAAAATTGCCATTCTGTTTATAGGTTGGGTGTAGTGAAGGTGTCGAGTACAACGTCCGTAAAAGATTTTTACATTGTACCGTTGCCGGCGAATACCACTTTACCGCCTGTATTGCTTCCCCTCGAAGGTCCAGGGCTTGGAGAAGTGAAAACACATCTTTTAATAGCAATAGTCATTCGGCAAAGAAAAAAGCGCGTGGCTCCTCATGTTCCTAAAGATATTGTTCCAGCAAAGGTTAGTCCATAGAGAAACAAGATAATAAAATATGTAAAAAATAAAGTTATTTATATAAATACGTTGTATTTAATTTTATTGGACTTGTCGATAGGCAGTTTCACAAAAGTATTTGCACACTTACGCTTATGGTTAATATCTTTTCAAATACTGTCACAATTATAGTTAAGATCCAAGTAATGACCAGTATAGGCTAAACTGACAATTGGAAGTAGTTCATATTGTTGTATGCTGTATATTGCTTACTTACCCTTTCCATTTTTTTATTTATATTTGAGAACTCTTCTAGTTTTAATATGGCATACCCTAAGATACATAATAAATGTATAAAACTACCTATTATTTTTTACCTAATAAATAAATGTAAACTATACATCTTATTTTATTATCCTATTTATTACCTATTGAAAGCGTCACAAATTCGTTAATGTTTTTTTTTTTTTTTAATAAAACATACTTAAATGATAAATACGACTGTCAAAATTTAAATAGAAAAATGGAGAGGGCATTTGTAGTTATCAAATATTTTATACTAGCTTTTACTCGTGACTTCGTTCGTGTGACCGGGATGACATGTTTACTGACGGAGACGGACGAAATGTAGCCTATAACCTTTTCCATTACTATTATTATTATCAAATTTCATAGCGATTAGTTAAGCTGTTAAAGCGCTATAAGGTAACAAAGAAATTTACTTTCAGATTTATAATATTAGGATAACAAAAGCATGTTTTGTAGGTAACTTTTTTACATGCTAGTTTTATCCTATTTATAAAAATAGATATATTATTGTAAAGAAATTTTATGGTTTTGAATTTACTAATATTTTAATGCGTATTTTATAATGCAAACAAATGTAAAGTTCCGTAACCTATAAATGCAAACAATATCATAGTCATTACAGAGACCCTCCAGTGCCGTACATGATAATTCTAAAGTGTTATTTTCCTCATTTTGAACATTTTTGTTGTAGTCTTGTAAATTGCCATGGAACAATTTCCACATGGGAAAATCATAATTTTTAAATAGTATTATTCATGTTCATTCGTTTAAAACAAATGGGACTTATAAATTAATTGTACCGGTTGCGCTTCCTGTAAAATACTTTATGTAAAAAAGTATACTTTGTTATTTATTTACAGGTAGCACGTGAGTCACGTAAACGGTCCTACACACCACCGATAGTAAGCAGGAGTACATATACTCCTCCGACATCACCGCGCCGTCGTCCTCTCCCATTGCCATCGTATACTTCACCAGCGCTCTCTACTTCAGTTAAAGACAAAATAGCCGCCTCTTTAGGTATGTGCATTTACATTTTACAAAGTAACTTTATAGTTTTCTTTGACTTTTGTATGTAAAAACTTTATAAATTGAATAGTCTCAAAAACTCTTTTCTTTTGATGATTAACGACTTGAATATAAATTAAAATCGACTACATACCACATACAATTTTAATTATTCCTCTTCATTCTAAGTTTGCCTGGAAGACATCGCGATAAGGCCGCCAATTCTTGTCTCTTTATCTTGCTTTTATGTAATTAATTATTATTATTTTTTTGTACATACTGTTAATCTTTATAATCTGTATCATTCTTTGAAAAGAACAATAAAGAGTTTTTATTCCTACGTCTGCACGACCTAAGTCAAGTACTACCACAGTATTTTTTTTTCAATGGACGATAATGGAATGGTAACCCCGCCTACGCTAACGGCATACGCTGGCTGGGCGGGCCAGTGAGAGGTGATAGATGAGAATAAAAAGACAGGTCAGTTAGGCCACCATGATGAATAACCTGGAATTCAGCACGATGGTTTCCAGGGGTGGCACGTGGAGGTCGACCTGACAGTCGGCCTTACTCAAAAACTGATTTTACTTCCATCTTTATTTATTCATCTCAATAGGTACAAACACATACACATTTGGCATGTACATTCATCATTTATGGATTAGTGACAACCATGGATCATGGAATTGTCTATGCTACATAATAGAAGTTATTACTATACTTTTTTTATTCAGCATCGGCAGACGACGAAGAAGCGTACAGTCCTGGCTCCTCAAGCAGCGACAGTAATGCTCAAGTGCCTACTCCTACGCCGACTTCAAATACGTTGCGAAATAAAATGGAAGAGCTCAATAGGCAAATCGAGGAACAAAAACAACAAATTCTAAAAATGGCCCAAGCAGATTCCTCTCTTGGCGAAGTAAGTGTAATGATGTTTTAACTGATATTTAATGGATCTAAAACACTATTATTATTATATGTCATTCTATATATCTATTTATAAATCAATACATATAATAAAATCGTTACTGGTCGTTGTTTGTACATGGAAGAATGAAAAACTGTTATAGTGGTGCTTTATGAACGTAACAGGACCCAAAACAATGCTTTTAAGAATTTTTGTGTATCTTTACATTTGTGCACGATAATATGAGAAACAGCTTAACCGATTTTAATGCGGTTTCCACTAATATGTTGCGGTTTGCTCCACTTAACATTTAGTACATATAGGTATGTATTATTTCAATCGGTTCATAAATAAAAAGTATATATCAATATAAAGAATCATATATATAATGCTATATAGTATTTATTTTCGAAAATTCTGTCTACTTATCGGATGGCTAGTATAAAATATATCCTTATATCATTATACCTAAATGCATTACAGGATGAAGCTTATTCCCCGTCTCGACCTATGACCCCACCGCCAGCTACAGTCGTTCCGCTTGCAGACATAGCGTTGCCGTCAAATCTGCAGGAAATACTTGCCACAATTAAACAACGAGAGACTACAACTGCTGATGTCGATATGCGGACTCTAACTTTACCACAATAAACATTTTATTTTAATGTTACATTCTAGTTATACGCACATAGTTATATGACTTTAGATATAAAAACTTCCCAGAAGCATTTTAGTCTACTTAGACCTTACTATATTGATAGATATTGCTAGGTATTTTTTATATGTTCATATATTTCCCTTATTTACTATATTATCGTGAAGATATGCACTAAATTTTCTAAATAGTTGAATGATCTATGTCTATGGATTAAACGATAATTGTTAAGGCATACATATGAGTTATGTAAACAATTTATTAGTGTGCAATAGATAAAAGTATTATAGGAATTTTCAACTATAATATTGAACATAAAATTATATACAGTTGACTTCCCATTTTTGTATATACATTAATGTTTAGAAAAATTTGTTGTACAAAATATAGAGTAATCGTTTATGATGTGACTTACACTTAGTACCAGTGGAAAATTGAAAATGAATTTTTTCTCGTGAAATACACATTGATGTGACGGATGAAAGAAAAATGTTAAATGTTAATGTAAGATAAAATAAAGACATGTTTAAATGATCTATGTTTATTTATAATTGAAAGGATTTATTTAGTCATCATCATACAATGATTTCCTTGAACTTGACCTTCTGTTTTTAAATGATGATATTCCTTTGAGGTTAGAATACTTTTTGAAATTGTTAAATACCTCATCCTTTGATAATTGAGTATTTTTTAATGCCTTTTGCATTGCTAATATTTTTGTTTCCATCAATTTTCTTCTTGGAATGTGTCGCAATGAAAATTCCCAATCGCCAGTCGACTTCAAATCCAAAAGTATTGGTATCATATGGTTTATATTAAGATTTTTCTTGGAACCTGGAGCCCATTCCAAATACCTATCAAGAGGTAACTTCGCCATCTTAATTCCATCTCTCTTAGCCTTTGCTAGAGACAGAGGTTCATTATTAACCTAAAACCATAGTAAAATTTTATTAGCTAAAATTTCAGTAAGTGCTATATAAAAATGAGGCAAAAATAAAGATACACACCCCTCCCTTATTACAAAGTAAAGCAATGACCTTAAATACGTCGTAGAACGTCAATTGGCGTGGACAATGTGATAAACAAATAACACGCGTAATACATCTGGTAATATAGGCGTTCATAGGCTACGGAAACCGCTTATCATCCCTATGCTTGTGTGCCATCTCAGTGGTATAAAAAAAACTATATACTTTAATAATGTAAGTGCTGAACAATAAATCTTAAAAGCATCCATGGCAGTAGACAACTTCAATAAAACTGTCCCATAAGACAGTACGCAATGAATGACTAAAGCTAAGAACAAGAAATTTCAAAATATTTGGTCTGAAGTGATTGAATCCAGAAATGACAATTTACATTATTATACTCATCAGAAAAAAATCAATCATTATTACATTAAAAAATAATTCATTATTTAATAGTACAATCAAGAAAAATAAATTGTAATTCAATTACATTTAAAACAATAAATGTACTCCTGGTATTGTGAAGAAAATAAATTATTATTATTATTTACAATGTCTACATTGACATACATATTTTTCTTTATATCACAAAAATGGAAAACAAGAATACAGCCTGTCTGATAAACAATCACTGTAGCCTATGAATGCCTGCAACACTAGGGATATCAATGCATGCTGCAGATCCTGAAGACACTTTAATATACCCTTTTTGATGAAGCCCTTACTGTAGTCTCTAGAAAGACCTCGGCAGGGAGCTTATCCCACAGCCTGAGCATTGGTGGGAGAAAATTTCTCTAATACCACATTGTATGTAACCATTTAGGTTCAAGTCTGTGAAGATGAATTGTCGATGAGGAGATATATTTGCAAGCTACACATTTATAATATTCATTCATAACTCTATATAAAGTGTAATAATCTCAAGTGTAAAACTTGTAACTAATGCTAATAAAATTTTGCAATTTCTAATAATAATGCACCATAGTGTAAATTATGTAATGATAACCCTAAAAGGAATATAGTGCAAATATTAGATCCATATACAATTAGTTCAGATAGGTAATTGTTAGTGCTTTACCTTGTCTACCATGCACCCAACAATATAAACAGCATCATAGTCAAATTTTGTTAGTTCTTCACGACAATGAGGTGTAAGATATACTAATCTCTCTTTGGGAAAAATATCTAAATAACTTTTAGTATGAATATTTAATGGGAACCATGACTCTTTTAATGATGGTATATTTTTTTCAAGCTGTTTCATGAAACTTCCTTCCGTATTCACATTACACAGATGTATATTAAATGGATCCCTATGTATTCTGTTGTCTCCAAAAAGAAAAGTCATCTGTTTTGCTGCATTCACTGCTTCTCTGTAAACCATGTAATCTTCATATGAACAGTCTATGACAATAGGTAGCCCATGTATAATTGCTTGTAGATTCCTAAAAAATAATATGGTGTTAGTATTGCCTCTTCATGTTTATCATTAATCCATTTTAAAACAAGAAGAACATGTAAGAATCTAAGGGTATACCTGTAGTTATCAAAATTGTTTATTGACTGGTCACGGATGCGTAAAAATAAAGACCTCTCACTAATTCCATATGTGATATCATCTGGATATTCTTTATTTGCTTCAGGTGGCATTTCTTCTAACTGCTTTCTTCTGGCTTCTTTCTTGGCCTAAATGATCCAATTATAATTATTAGAGAAAAAAAAATTACTATTAAATTATTATTAATTAAAATTATTATTAAAAATTATTATTATATGTATTGAGAAGATTACAATATTCTCAATATAGGCCCAATTGTTACTAATTAGCTAATGAAAAATATCAGTTTCTATAATATTGAATGTAATGTATATGTTGATTAGAGTATTCATTAGGTCACTTCTAAGCTATGAAGGATATTGTAAGTTATTAATTTTAAAAGTGCTGCAATAGCTTCATAATTTGATTTAGTACCAAAATGCTAAAATTATATTACCTACTTTCTGGTTTTCCTTGGATTTTTCTGTCTTCCATAAGTATAATAAATACTTAGTTCTTTGATTCCTAGTTTCTAATTGCATTAGATGCTGCCAGTGTTTACTTAGTAAAATATTAGGTGCACATCGGCCATCTTGTCGCATTACTTCTACTTCAAGCATTAATATTCTTAACTTTTTCTCTTGTTCTGGATCACCATTACAAAGCTCATTTATAATGTTATCTGAAATTGAATTTAAACATGTTTTGATGTGAAGTATTCTGTTTAAGCTAAATATATTATTTATTTTGTTTTCTTATAGCAAAGAGTAATAGGGTAAAGAAATCCACAAGATTAATATTAGCACAAAAATATTCTAAAGGTGTAAAAATATAGCTGTCAAGGAATGTCTGTGTGCCTTTTTTTTATACTATTTTAATTAAATAGCATAGTAGAATTTACCAGAGGGAGACATTGTATAAAAGTTGTTTACTTTTGTCTTAAACATTTTAACCACAAGCAGCTGTACTTGCATGGCTGTTGCATGAAAAGTATCTTGCAATGAAATTTCATAATGGAGAAGAGGAAACAAAACAAACCACCATAGTCTTCAGAAAAGTGTATAATTCTGTAATATCCAAAGTGATGCTGTTGATGTCCATAGGTGATAATTACCACTTTCTACCAAGTAAGCCGCCTGTTAGTTGGCTATTCCAAATCGCATAAAAAATAAATAATGTATGCTTAATAATAAAAATTTTGTTATTACTATTCCAAATTCTACTTTTTATGTAGGTAAACAGAGAACATGCAAATAATGTAGACCACAAAATAATTACTACCTGATTCATCTTCAATTACTTTTGAATAAAATCTCGACAGTTCAGACTTGAATGAAGTCTTCAATATATTTATTTTTGGTATCGCAGTAATAGGTTGATGACGTTTTATAAGAGTAAATATGGAGCGAATGCAGTACATTTTAATTATCAAACAGAAATATACTGGATAGGATTATTTTATCGTGTCCTATCTATCGGGCATGTATTAACTTGCCTGAAAAGATGGTGTTGTGTTAAAATATCGAATTTATATAGTATAGATTATAAATATATTGGATTAGAAAATAATTATTCAAAGAGGGGAGAATAAATAGAAAAAGAAAACATTATATAAATAATGTAAGGAGTAATATTATAACCTAAAATACATTAATTTTTTTTTTTTTTAGTACGTTTGTTCCGTTTGGAACAGGCTAAGGTCGGAGACCATGCTGCCTAGTCTTCAAAAAGATAATTTGTCTGGAATTTTATTTTTCTAATGTCGCTTCAATTATTGTCATAATCTTCAATATTTCATTTGTCAAATACGGTAAGTACATTTTCATAAATATCTTTTCTTGAGTTTTCTTAAACCAGTGGATTTATCAAATTAAAAATAAATAATTATAAAAAATCATTGTCTTGCAATTCAATAAAAGTATTCTTATAGCTCCTTGAATGTTGTAGTAATATAAGTGAAAATAGCGAAACTTAAGAGAAGCGGGATTGAGTGCGATATTTTCGGGTTTTTTGAAGATAATCCTAAGTTCGTCAAACATAATGTGTCTTTGAATGACAAATTCAGAGCAATCAAAAAAAGGTGATGTAGAGATTGGGCTGTATTTGAGTTACACCATGTGCATGATGGGGAAGCGATCATGCCCATTCGGTGCAGGTGTTCGTTGAAATGTCCGTGGCCGATTCGTAATCTACAAATATTGGTGTAAAATTTTCTGTTTGTGTCCTTTCCTTTGCAGAACCACGGTTTTCCAATACGCCAATTAATTTTGCGGTACCATTTGCCTTTAGTCTGTAATATTTGAGTCCAATGCTCCTCCTATTTAGTTGTAACGATTTTATGTATTCCAATACTACAATCTGAGTAACAAAGGGGTAAATCTTGAACACGAGCAGCACTTGAATTAATAATTTGACAAGTCTACTTGTTATTCCCAAACCGCGGTAGCAGATGAAGATAATATCTTTTCCATATATTTAAGAGAGATGATAATATTTATTTTTCTTGAATTAAGTAGTTTGATGATGAAATGAATGCTTATCATATCTGTAATTATAATCATTTCGAATATAGTACCTGTTTTTCTATGTATTCTAATGCTAAAAATATTCTGCTGTGTAAATTAGCCAAAGTTGAAATTTTATACCGTGACCAAATCTATTTGACAAATCGTAAAAAGCCACTGAAGTGCTAAGTGCATTTTTGGAACCATCTGTATATATCTGCCTGTAGTCAATAAATTCTGATAAATTCATACATATCGTGCTTTTCTTTTATGTCTTTACGTATAACAATTTTGATCTTACAGAACTTACTCTCATAAAGGCCATTATAACAAAAGTATCTTACTACTATAGATGTTATATTCATTGTAAATTCAAATCATTGACAATAGTTTTATTCAAAAACATAGAAATGGGGCAATTTAATAATTTGAGTATGAGTGGGTTATTGGAAACTGTTTGAAGAGTGAGTTTTAGGTATTCGAAACGAAGAAGGATAGGAGGCAAATTACATCATTGCATTGAGATAATTGGAGAAGTATACATAGCACCTAAAATAAGTCTTAAATTCATATTTTGAATTTTTTGAGTTTTTCTACTAATTTATGTTCTGAGGCATAACAAAAGAAAGCGTAATCAAAATTACTTCTAACAAGAGATTTGTAAAGTAAAAGGATAATTTTAGGATCAGCTCCCCAGTTACGACCAATTACAGATCTTATTATATTAGTGGCTCTTAAAGCACGATCTACTAAGCAATCAACGTATAGATCCCATTTTAAATTTTGATCATTTAATACAGTCTGTTGGAAGAGTTTGATTATTATATATAATATTCATTAATGGAACATATTTATGAACTTGATGAAAAACAACTACTTTAATTTTGGTTAAACTAATATCTGTAAAATATTTCTCAAGTCTTTTTAATGACTCATTTAACACTAATTGCATATCAATAATATTCTTTCCTTTTATATAAATTAACTCATCGGCAAATTGCAAGTTGTTCACACTGTAAAATTGAAAAGTTTATAGATATATAAAATATATAGTAGTGTGTGTGCTATTAATTTACTATTTACTTTAACATACACTTCTCTATTACTAAGAAAATTATAAATCCATTCGTGTGTGTGTGGTGTGTGTCTCTCTGTGTGTGTATTCAAAGCAGTACTGTGTGTGTGTGTGTGTGTGTGTGTGTGTGTGTGTGTGTGTGTGTGTGTGTGTGTGTGTGTGTGTGTGTGTGTGTGTTTAGTGTTTATTTTATTGCAATGAAACATATTGTATGTTAAGCGATCAAGGCCACTAGCTGTATATTTTCATTTATATGATTATCAATTGAGAATGTTTTCATGAATTAACAGAATTAAACTGTTTGTCATCAAAAATTCAAAATAGTATATTTCAAAATCATGTGACCCATGATATATCTTTAAAATGATTTTTGATTTTGTTCTCATATTTTGCCAAACAGTGGAAAGTTAAATTTGGAACAAAATTGTACCCCTGTTGTCTTACTTGCTTAATTACTAACTTTTTAACATTATATATGTAATTATCGAGATCATTTTGTTTAAACCTAAGGTAAGAGCTTTACTATCATTGACAGCTGTCTGTTATTCCAAAACAATATGTTTGTGCCTCTTTAAAGTATTTGCACCGCTATTTGATGTAGAGAGAGCTGTCAAAATAATTTTACAGAACCTATTGTAATTGTTTAAGGGTTCATTGACATCAGCCTTAGAAATCCAAAAGTAATCGATTAACAGTTTCAGATCCCAATTAACGAGACGTAGGTTTATACGATTTAACAAAAGGATTATGCATGTTGTGACGGAGTTGATGAAGAGTTCTTTGTGTTTATTTTATAAAAGTCGGCAGGTGATAATTTTGAGATCATATACATTTTAATGATATGGATGGGGATACATAGTTAAATCAAGGCCATTGGGTCTCCAAATATGAGAGCCAACAGTAGTTTGCTTATCATTTAATAGTCATTACAATCTAAACAATCAAGAATGTCTTTACCTCTTGTATTTGAATATCATTTAAATCTCCAGATATGATTTTTGAAGAGACTCCAAAAAGAACTTAAATTTGACCTTTAAAATAGGTGTACTATTGGTAGGACAGTAAATACTGGCAACTGAATACCAAGAATTATTAACTTTCTATAGTTTCAAAGAATTGTCGAAAAAATATGAAGTTTTTTATATCTAATACTATTATGTATAATAAGCTACTCCCCACAATCATTTCGGTTCTATACAATAATCTTTAATTTTTAATTTGTAATGTGGTTTTAGCCAAGTTTCTGAGATGAGACAATGTGAACATGATGTTCATTTAAAAATTGTGACATATGAAGTTAATTGGTCTCGATTGAATTTTGTGAAATAGGTCTATTATGTATCATATAACACATTCAAAACACTTTTCTGTTAATAGATGTCTCTTTGTGTTATGTAGTGAAATAAGTTTGATTAATAAAAGTGATAAACTCTTGTTATCAGAATTTAGAATTGAAATTAGGTCTACATTTATTTTTTAGTTTGTTACCCAGTTTGGAAATAATTCAGTGCTAAGTATATCTGGTAAAAAAAGGTCTGAATTTTGATCATTTTATTTTCTTTTTTTAAAGATACACTTGTGTGTTGCAGTGTACACAGCGTTTTCCATTCCAGTTGTACAAGTTTTATAAATAATAATAATAATAATATAATATTTTATATATTGACTGATAGATATTGTAATACAGATAAATTGTCTTGATTATATCCATGAGTCAAGGTATTTTTTCTTAAAATTCTTTTAATGCAATAATTTTCTTAGGATATCATAGTATATATTTTTTTATTAGATATATTTTGTTCTAATTTTTTTTGAAGAAGCAGGAATATGCCTTAAAATGGTACATTTAAAACATTTTATTATTTAAAAAAAAAGTCTGGCTTTTAATACTCCGATTTTGAATTTATTTATAGATCTAAGATTACCCCTTTATTAAATCGTTTTGAGTGAGAGCAAGTCTCTGGATCCAATGGTTTTCTGACTATCTGAGGATTCTACAAAGACAACAAATTCTGTCCCGGGATTCCTCGGGATATCTTCTAATATAATCTGTGACGTAGTAAGGTTTATATCTTATCAATTTCAGATTCTGAGTCAGTAGAAGTATCTTCCGAATATATATCCTTGTCATTACAAGGTTCATGGTCTACATCACCTGAATCGTCATCTTTTTTTTTCCTTTTTCTACAACTGCGCTTCCCCATGAATGCTAATTATATTACTGTCGCTGAATTTAGTGAAAATATAATATTTTATTCAATAATAAGAATTGATAGAGATAGTTTTAATAAATTAATAAAAAAAATTTAAAAAACCCGCTTGTTCTTATTCGAGTTTCCCGCCTTTTTTTTTTGTAATTAAAACTTAATTCCCTGTCACTTTTTTTTTTTTTTTTTTTACGTTTGTTAAGTTTGGAAAAGGCTAAGGTCGGATACCATGCTGCCTAGTCTTCAAAAAGATAATTTGTCTGGAATTTTAACCTTTTTTTCCTAAAATACATTAAATTGATATTTGATATAACAGACAAGAGTTGCCAACTGTAAAAAAATAATCTTTGGTATATATGCAGCTAAAAATCTCCTATTTAGACTTTCTAATCTCGTACATTTATTATGCTGTGATGTTGCAGATGGCGCTACTTATCAGTATAGCGAGAATTGAATATTTAGTATTTAAATTATTTATTATTTGAGGTATTTCAAATTACATATTATGAAATTTTAAAATATGAAATTTCGTTAAACATCGAAAATTCCTAAGAATACTTTTAGGACATACTTTTTCTTTCGTTATTTGTGGCTTTAAATAAAGAAAAAGTGACCTTATAGAACTCCTACTTCTACTTTCTAATACAAAGTGGTCGGAAAAAAGGAATTGTTATATGGTATATATATATTTATGTGGTATGGTAATGGGCAGGTAAGTCCCTATTGCTATCGATATACCCTATCAGGTGGACCTCTACGTGGTTTCCCCTGGAAACTACAGGTACTTGTTGGGTAGAGATTTCTTTTCTAGCGGCAATTTCACAACTGCAACATTTGATGCGTGATAATTGATAGTTAAATCTATTGATCGTGTATGATATTGAAATGAAATATTAAAATTTAATCTAAAATATGTTTGTCTTTTATATTTTTATAGTCTCTTAATAATTAGATGGTTTATTTAGTTATTGCAGATTATTTATTCGTTACTCAGACAGCCATTATTACACATTACTATTAAACAACCAATCAGTGTCCACTTCTAGCGATGTCCCAAATACACTAGTGATGTAATCTTACAACATATCTATATCTGTTTTTTTTTAATGCATGATTAATGGAATGGTAATCCCGCCTGCGCTAACGGTATACGCTGGCGGAGCACCAGTGAGTGATGATAGGTGAATAATGAAAAAAGCAGGTCAGTCAGCCCATCTTGATGAATACACATGGAACTCAGCACGATGATTACCAGGGAGAACCGCGTGGAGGTCAACCTGACAGGGTATATTGCTAGCAATGGGACTGGTAGCCCGCATTACTAACGATCCATTCCCCCTTATCTATATCAGTTTATGGGTCCTAAATATTTACGTATTAATTTTTAATTAAAAATGTGAAGGACAATCGGTGAATTGATGTTTCTTTAAGTTGCTTTAGCTTTTACAAATATTGCAGTTTCACATAGACTAAGGATATTACCTCCGGTCCTCTTTCTACGCATGAATATTGATTTGTATGTGGATGTGTACATGGATTTGTAAATGGCACTTACCTATACATTAATAAACAGGTCTCTACATAAATAAATAATAATCTAATTGTTTAGAGTTGTTTAGAACGCTTTTATGATTTATTACATACTGGCAATTTTATTGATTCAGTCAGATAGAGAAATTAACATGCAACGTATCTGTAGAAATGGGTATTTTTTTTCTGGCAACACATCATCGTTAGTCTCCGAGTCTTCGACCTTATTTTTGTACATAGAAAATACATAAATTCTTAAATTTATGATATAGCTTATTGGAAATTGGTGGTTTAGATCTGTTATTTCTTTTTTCTCTTAGCTGAATTTGTTAAACTGACATAGAAACAATAATTCTATTACTAGCAAGATGGCATAATCATGGCAATGATTAAGGTTCTGTACTGCTAGTTCTAGCCTTTCAACCACGCGTTGAGGAAGCTGGTTATCGTCTCAATATCAATATTCTCTACAGTGTACTATTATTTTGGTTACTGGTTCAGAGAACAAGATGTATCCCGTTGGTCAAGGTAAATTTAAGTCAAATAATTTAATTGAGAGTAGACAAAGAGTCGTGGTTAATTTTTGTCCTATTTAATGTCGAATTATTAAATTTAGTGCCTTCACTCTATTTTAAAGTGTTGTTTATGTATAGTTCGTTTATTATGTACTTTAATAAAAATATTATTATTGGTTATAATACTGATGTAAATATTTTATTGCTTAGCTGCCCCAGGTGAGACGAGTAGTGGTGCTGTAAGCGCTGCAGCAGTGAGCGCTGCGGCGGGGACAATGGGATCAGTAGCTGTAGCGTCCAGTACGGCGCCTACTACAGCAGCCCCTGCTCCTGGCGTGGCCACTGGCACAGGGGCCATAGGCCTAGTGTCACCAGTTGCAGTGCCTCCACCTGATTTGCCTGTATTAACATGCCCCAGACGTCCAAATCTTGGTCATGAAGGAAGACCTATAATGCTTCGTGCAAACCACTTCCAAATTACTATGCCAAGAGGGTTTGTTCATCACTATGATGTTAATATACAACCAGACAAGTGTCCAAGAAAGGTAGACATTTACAACTATGTATTAATAACTCTAATTTTACTCATTTGTAATTGTTCACTCACTAGAAATAGTAGCTAAAAACCTATATTACTATTAATCAACTTATTACAATTAATGATTAATGTTAATAAACTTTTCTTTTAGGTGAATAGAGAAATTGTAGAAACAATGGTACATGCGTACAATAAAATATTTGGAGCTCTTAAGCCTGTCTTTGATGGCAGAAACAATTTATATACAAGGGATCCCCTTCCAATTGGAAATGACAGAGTTGAACTGGAGGTAATATTACCAGGAGAAGGAAAGGATAGAGTATTTCGAGTTACAATTAAATGGCTCGCTCAGGTAATATTGACATATTAGTTTGCTTTTTATTCTTATTGAAACTTGTTTGTGTGAATGACTGGGTAGTAGAGAAGTTATATTTGGGGTCTTTATTATAATAACCAATCTAAGATTATGTATATACTTTAAATGTATGATTAATTATAAAATGAAGATTCAATACTATTGTTAATAAACAAAAATAAAAATGAACTTCTGGATAGGAGTAAATATTGCCTTGATATGATTTTAAGAAACTGTTAAAATATTTTTAATGCTATCTTGTTGGATTTATGATAAATCATATTACTAGTATAATAATAATATTGATAAAATTTGACAGTTATATTTACTACTACTACTCATGTGAGGATGTTGCCCTTTGATGTCAAGAGTTTTGAGGCTGCATTCATTATACACAAAGGCCCTTGACCTGACTCACTGGATGACCACATTAAGTGTCCTCTGAAGTATAAAGCAAGTGACACTTATTTTTAAATGATCCAAATGTTAATTTGAAAATATGTTTAGGCTAGGATTCGATTTTGGGATTCCTAGACTGCAGTCAAGAGCTGTCTAACTAAACTGGCATTATCTTATATTTATTAACCCTATGTTTAACATCTTAAAATATATTAAGTTGCATAATTTAATCTCACACTTTATCCAATAGATAATTACAATTTCTACAATTCTACAAATAGATTTAAAGTGTTTCAAACATTATTTTATGGACAGTTATGGTTCCCATGATTTTATTGTGTTAATTTTTTATATATTTTAATTTTATTCACTTTTTTTAGGTATCATTGTTTGCTTTAGAAGAAGCTTTAGAAGGCCGCACGAGACAGATACCCTATGATGCAATTTTGGCACTAGATGTAGTTATGAGACATCTGCCGTCTATGATGTACACACCTGTTGGTCGCTCTTTTTTCTCATCACCTGATGGATATTATCATCCTCTGGGAGGTGGCCGTGAAGTTTGGTTTGGGTTCCATCAATCAGTGCGGCCTAGTCAGTGGAAAATGATGCTGAACATTGATGGTGTGTAAACATTTTAAGTAACTACAAAAGATATTAATATGAAAACACTTGTACTCTTTCACAAAAAAGATTTTATAATATGGTATATATCATAAAATCTTTATTTGTGGGCGGTTTTGCGTTTAAGGCATTGTTAAATGTACATTTTCAATATCATTTGCTTTAATATACATATCAACATGTATACAAAGTTCCTCCAAGTGCAGACAATCTCGACTATTAATGTGTCAATTATTAATATGTTTTATTTATAAGTTTTCTACTTAAATTGATAAAATTAGATACATACAAACTTTTCCCTGTGATTTTTGTACTTGTGCAATGAAATATTATTGATTTTGAATCAATAATTCATTGATCTTCTAATCTATTGATTAGATCTCAAGTAGATTTTAAGTTAGACCTTCAAAAATTTAAGTATGAAAACCGTATTCAATTTGGTACAGTAGTTTTTGTGTAATGTCCAATTAAATATATAATTAGACACATATTGTAAATGAATGAATGAGTATACTTTATTTGCATTATACAATATAGGAAATAAGCAAGGCAATTTACAAACACAACGATACAATTGTATAAATACAGTAAGGCGGTTATTGCTGAGAGCAATCTTTTCAAGACAGCCTTAATATTATTGTTTTAGCTTCTTTGTTTCTTATTAAGACCCCCTATTTTATTTTTTCTTAAACATTTCCCATGTAATAGATCTATTAGTAAGATAGTCATACTTCATCACATTGTCAATAGTATTCTTAATTAATATTCTTATTTGTAGTTTCCGCAACTGCCTTCTACAAAGCGCAGCCTGTTATAGAGTTTATGTGTGAGGTCCTAGACATAAGAGATATAAATGACCAAAGAAAACCACTAACAGACTCTCAACGAGTGAAATTTACAAAAGAAATAAAAGGTCTGAAGATTGAGATTACACATTGTGGCACAATGAAAAGAAAATACAGAGTTTGTAATGTAACACGCAGACCAGCGCAGATGCAGTCGTAAGTATAATTTCTTTTAACTTCTGTAGTTATTTACTATATATAATTACTTCCAAACATCTTCAAAGAAGGAGGCTCCCAATGCGATTGTGTTAGTATTATTTCATATGATTATTATCTCGAAACTCCATCATTTATAAACCGATTTGGAAAATTCTATTTTTTTTGTGTGAGACAATAGGTCTCATAGAAATTTTAATAAAATCGATTTAACAGTTTAATTTTTAAATCAATATAATTTGTTTTGCCACTATTGAAGTCAGTTTTTTTTGTGGAATAAAATTTATTATATAATAATAATATTGTTGTATGTTCTTACTATTCTTTCAATATTTAGAATTGATACAGTAGCTTTAATTCTTTCATCCCCGCTTATCAATTGTAAATTGTGTTAATCCGTCTAGTTAATGTATATATAATATACCTTTATATGTAATTATATAGTATATTAACTTTTAGTTTTATTAAATTTTTCTTAGTGTTTCATGTAATATTAAAATTATTTCTTTACAGATTCCCGCTTCAGCTTGAAAATGGTCAAACTGTTGAATGCACTGTGTCGAAATATTTTTTGGATAAATACAAAATGAAGTTACGATATCCACATTTACCATGCCTGCAAGTAGGTCAGGAACACAAACATACCTATTTACCTTTGGAAGTATGTAATATTGTGCCTGGACAGAGATGTATTAAAAAACTGACAGATATGCAAACATCTACCATGATTAAAGCCACTGCCCGTTCTGCCCCTGATAGGTAAGTTATATATATGCAATATTTTTCAATTCTATAGTAATATTTATAAATCATTATGTAAGATTATTTATAAAACTTATATTAATTCATTTTAACCATAATTTAATATGTTATTATCGACAAATATGTAAGTTCATTAAATTCCTATTATCCATATCTATATATAATTATATATAACATTATGTTTAATGTCTTTTAAATAGGTAATTATAATATAATCAACTGATTGTTGAATCAGTGATGAAATAATGATTCATAAACATTCAAAACCTAAAAATAATAGAGAATTAGTAAAATAGATCTGATAAAAATACATTCTACAACATCAAGTAAATAATGCAATTATGAATGAATGAGTATACTTTATTTGCATTATACAATCTAGGGAGTAAACAAGATAATTAATAAATGTAACTATACAATTGTATAAGTACAGGAAAGTGGTCTTATTGCTAATAGCAATATAAAAAAATAAAATTATTGTTGAATAAAAATATTATTTGCGCCATTGTACGTCATACTGGATAAATAAATACACATTTTATTTTTTTAACAGAGAGCGTGAAATTAACAACTTGGTGCGACGAGCTAATTTCAACACTGATCTCTATGTGAAAGAATTTGGACTAACAATATCGAATAATATGATGGAGGTTCGCGGACGTGTATTGCCACCGCCCAAACTGCAATATGGTGGCCGTGTTTCGTCTCTTGGTGGACAGGTGACTTCTAAATTAATATTTATTTGAAGAACTAAAGAACACATTGTATTATATAATTGAATCATAATTATAGTATTGTATAAATCAATTTACAATTTTAATTTGTATTTAATTATCTTAAATATCAGAAAAATGTCTGCTCGGAATAAAATGCTAAAATATTTGTTCCCCCAAATTTCCTTTTTGATAGTGTTCAGAAGGATGACTAGATAATATGTTATTTTATTGTTATCCAACAGCAAGCACTCCCCAATCAAGGTGTTTGGGACATGCGAGGAAAACAATTCTTTATGGGAGTTGAAATAAGAGTGTGGGCGATTGCTTGCTTTGCACCTCAAAGGACGGTCAGAGAAGATGCATTGAAGTAAGTCTATTGAATTGAATTTTCTGTACTGATAAAAATCATTGTGAAAGTTGAGTGAATGCATGCATACATTTTTTTTTTTTTTTTAGTATTTGAAGTTCTTTCTCAGTCTTGTTTAAAAAGAACTTTCATTTCCTAGAATAAAAACTCAAAGGACCCAAAAGGTTAATTTTAGACTTTGAATAGTTTATTGCAATTCCTATAATTTATTAAAATCTTATAAATAAATAAAAGTAACATTTTTTCATTATAGATTTTACTGTTTAATAGGGTACACAAATAAAATAATTACTCATAATAAAATCCAATAGAAATTTAGGGAAATAAAAAATATTTTATCAACATCAAAATTATAGCTATGAAATTACTGTTTTGTGTGGTACTTGTTACCATTAAGGAATTGTAATCACTTGTTTAAAGATGATATAAGTAATACTACCAAAACATTCGGTTATGTTTTTTTTTATGCAACTTAGAATGGCAAACAAGCTGACGGCCCACCTGATGGAAAGTTGCCCCATGAGTTGCACTTCCTGAGGACTCAGGTGGTATTCCTCTGTACCCTGTAAATTCACGCCATATCCCACCCTTCAAACCGAAACACAGCCATGCAAACACAACTGCTTCATGGTAGAAACACGAATGGGACAGAGGTACCCAAGCAATTGACTTTTGTACAAAGTCTCCCTCTGGATATATTGATTGATTGATTTTTTCCATAGATCCCTAACCATAAAGTCGGCATCTCTTTTCAGAAATTTTACACAGCAACTACAAAAGATCTCAAACGACGCGGGTATGCCTATTATCGGGCAGCCATGTTTCTGCAAATATGCAACGGGTCCTGACCAAGTAGAACCCATGTTCAAATACCTCAAGTCTACATTTGTGCAATTACAACTTGTGGTTGTTGTATTACCAGGGAAGACACCCGTATATGGTATATATATTTTTTGTTTTTCTACAATTCCTATTGCTGTGTGAAATTCAATCAGTTTACCATACAGGAGGGATATTTCCAATATGCCTCTGACATGTAACAAGACTAATAGAATGATACTAGTCATTTATAAAAACTGCTCTAAATATGTATAATTTGTATAATATAATAAAATAAAATATAAGTTGAAACACTAATTCAATCTTAGTCTAAGATTAATACTAAAATAAAAGCATTCTATTTCTCATAAAAATCCCCACTTTCTTATTTTTGCTGTAAATGTTTTAATGATTCAAAAAATAGGTGCTATGGTTGCATACAAGTTTTTTTTTTTTTAGTATAAGTTTAAAATCACTTTTACATTTATATGTATGATATAGTCATAAATAATCATTGAAATTTTAGCCGAAGTAAAAAGAGTTGGTGACACTGTACTCGGAATGGCGACTCAATGTGTGCAAGCTAAGAATGTAAACAAAACTTCACCACAAACATTGAGCAACTTGTGTTTGAAAATAAATGTAAAACTTGGTGGAATAAACTCTATTTTGGTGCCGTCACTACGTCCAAAGGTAAAATTATATAATAGGATTATATATATATTAACCTATTTAAATTTATTTTTATTTATTTAACCAATTTAAATATTGCTCTATTCCGACCATGGAAAGCAGCTTTTAAAATAAATTTGAAAGAAATGGACCAAACAGATTTTTTTATTTGCTGTGTCATAATGTGGGATATAGGTTATGGAGTAACATGTATGTTAGTACATATAGTGCAATGAGAAAGTAGTTTATTTCATATTTATTATTTTTATTTCTATTATAATTTTTTTGTTTGTGAGTTTTATCTAACATCGTCATATCATTTTCTCGTAACACAGGTGTTTAATGAGCCAGTAATCTTCTTGGGTGTGGATGTAACGCACCCACCAGCGGGTGATAACAAGAAGCCGTCGATCGCGGCCGTCGTCGGTTCCATGGATGCGCACCCCTCACGCTATGCTGCCACTGTCCGCGTGCAACAGCACAGGTACATCGAGAACATACCTGATAGTGGTATCAGGTAGATTTCATGATTTTTATAATAGATAACAATATTCTGTATTTATTTATTTATACATAAATATCCACACTAATAAAATGATATAAAACATCCCACTATTAATTCAGAAATGCTATTTTGAACAGCAGTTAATTAATAAAACAAAGACTTAATATTTCTTATTAATTTCATCCTATTGCTATAGAAAATCTATCAAATTAATATCTTTTGTTGACATTGCTTGGGAAATCTGCAAATAGTGTCTTTCGTTTCAAGGTTTATGTGAGATATTTATTTAACATGTTCTTTATCTTAACATAAAAACCATTTTCTTTTAAAATATTTTTTAATATGTAATTACTTCTAAAGTCAATAAATATTTTTTAGACAAGAGATAGTCCACGAAATGAGCAGCATGGTACAGGAGCTATTAATAATGTTCTACAAAAGTACTGGTGGATTCAAACCTCATCGTATCATCATGTACCGTGATGGCATCTCAGAGGGGCAATTCTTGCAAGTTTTACAACACGAACTTACCGCTGTACGAGAAGCGTGTATAAAGGTCAGTTTAAAGTGTCTACTTAAAACTAAATCTTAATTTATATAAGTCCAAAAATAGAGCCAAGTCTAGGTGTTCTAAATTGTTCTTTATCATGATAAAAAAAATTACTCTATCCATGCATATCGATTTTAGATCGGACATCGAATGGGTTCTGCTATGTAATTTACAAGTAGATTTTGCTTTGAAAAAAAGTAACTTCATTTTAATATTGAATTTAATATTAACACAAAAAATATACGAATTGAGACCATGCTTTTGTTGCAAGTCGTTTAAAAAAATAATTTTGTACGACAGCAAATTAATAATTTTAAGGGGCAGCCACGAGTAATTTTCTACGTAATTTAAATATGATTAAGTCAATGCCCAGTAGATTTGGTTAAGTTTGCTGGTCATTGACCTTTAAATAAGTCTACCATACAGGTGGCGTAATAATTTAAAATTGATCAATGCATGTTTGAACATCTGTCCCTTATAGTTTCCAATAACAAGTTCTCAAAATCTGTTTAATATTATAAATATGATAGTTTGTGAATATGTTTGAATATTCGTTATTCAATCACACTAAAACGTTCGAACAAATTGAAATTAAATTTGGTATATGGGAGATGAATTAATTATTTATATATATGCTTTTGTACATTCACTTTTAATATAGATATTAAGTTACAACAAAAATGTGCACAGATGGACTTATCCCTTAAAGGGATTTCTTCCAGTCAACCTTGAAAACCTAAAGGGAGAAATTAATTATAATTTGTATACAAAGCTTAACATATATCTAATTTAGACGTAGGATAATTTATACACTGGTTCACGTGAGTATAGCCGCGGAAAACAGCTAATTCTTTAAAAATAATAATATAAATAGTATCATTATAGGTATCTGTCTACTACAAGAAAGGAAGAGTAAATTTATAATAATAAGAAATATATGTTTGTCCTTTTGGTTATAAAAATACTTGCAGAGTCACAATTATTAGGCTGAGGATGGTATTTGATTATAATTATTTTTTTGTTAATTAAAATATAATGTTTTACAGTTGGAAGCTGAATATAAGCCGGGAATAACATTCATAGTTGTACAAAAACGTCATCACACGAGACTGTTTTGCGCAGATAAGAAAGAACAATCTGGGAAGTCGGGTAATATCCCAGCCGGCACCACTGTTGATTTGGGTATTACTCATCCTACAGAGTTTGACTTCTACCTGTGCAGTCACCAAGGGATACAAGTTAGTGGATTTTAGTTTTATAACATGTTTGTGTATTTAATTAGTAGCGCCGCATTAATCCGGCTTAGCGGCTTAAAATAGGCTGTGGATGTCTTAAGAGGTACTTTAGCAGCATCTCTCTGAAACATCACTACATTCTACATACTATTGTGAGCTAAATCCAGCTGCCAAGCCAGTCAAAGTACCGGGAAATTACCTCGAATTAATAAAATTAGTAACAAATGCAGGGAATTTTTGGTTCGTGCAATTTAAAAAATGAATTTATTAAAATTGGTTCGCACCTTTAAAATTAAATTGGTATTTCATATCTTCACCATAATAACTTGGTGCGTTTAGCTATCAAATTAATATGGGATGCTTTGTTATTATTTAATACAGGTATTATTTTTATCGTGTAAATACCAATATAAGTAAGATATCCAAATGCTAAGACCGTCAACATAATATTTGGTATAATGGACCTTAGTAGTAAAATGAATGGTCAAACTTTAAAATGAGCTCATTGTTATGGCTTTCCCTAGAGACTACAGTATGGGGTTTTTCATAAACGGTATATTAAGGTTTCTTCAGGGTCGGCAACGCGTTGCAGGTGTCCATAACCTATAATGACTGACTATTATCAGACGGGTTCTATGCTTGTGTGCCACCTTATATAAAAAAAATGGGCCGCATTACGTTTTTGTGTCCTTAATCACGAATTAGAGTTTTAGTAAAATATTAAACTCTGTCTCTGGAACGAGCCCACTAACGTTATGATGATGTATAGGGTACGTCGCGACCTTCACACTACCACGTGCTTTGGGACGACAATCACTTCGGTTCCGACGAGTTGCAGTGCCTCACATACCAACTGTGCCACACGTACGTCCGCTGTACGCGCTCGGTGTCAATCCCGGCCCCCGCGTACTATGCGCATCTAGTTGCGTTCAGGGCACGGTATCACTTGGTGGAGAAGGAACATGACTCCGGCGAGGGCAGCCACCAGTCTGCCTGCAGCGAGGATCGCACGCCTGGAGCCATGGCCCGCGCTATAACCGTGCACGCTGTCACCAAAAAAGTTATGTACTTCGCCTGAGTCCGCCACTGCCCCCGCCCCTACCGCCTCACTTCACACAGGGACAGAGGGTAACGTTGCGGTGTTGCATTACGTGTTACAATGCGATCAAAATATGAATTGAAATGTGAATATCGTCCTGTTAATAATAATGGCCTCTTAAAAAGTTTGTAGGGTAAACTCATTAGTAACTGGCCACTTAAGTTGTTTCGACAGTTCATTTTCTGAGGAATATATCGTCAGAATAAGTTAGGTATTTGCACCTAGAGATAAATAATAACCTATTTTTTATTTATCTTTAGTATTTTAAGTAAATGAAACAAATTTTCATATTATGCATTTATTAAAAAGTGCCACAAAATTTCGATATTAACAAGTATAAATCTAGTAACTGGCTACTTAAAAAAAACATTAATTTATTAATAAAATTTAAAATAAACAGGTTATAAAATTTAAGAATAAACTAAAAACAACTAAAAGATTTTATCATCACAAGACAAAACCATAAAGAGATCATTATAATTGCAACGTAGGCGATTACTTCTTCCACTTATCGCTATAATTAAGAAATATGTATGTTGAATGTATGTTATATGTTAATGTGAATGATGAATATATTACAAGTATGGTGTAAAAAGGAGTCTCACCTTCGGGGATATGGACTCTACGATGCTTTGATGATTTTTTTATTGGTGGACTGTAATTTTAACAATAGTATCATCTAATTTATTGCACTTTTCTTGATTTTTTATCCTCTCTTTGGTACTTTAAAACTTTTTTAGTTGTCTTTTTGGCACATTTTCGTTTTATAGTTTCTATTATCCTATAATCTTTTTTTTCCTCTTTTGCAGATTCATCTTCTTGTTTTTTTAAGCCGCTTGGCTTTTATCATTTCCACATAACTATCACACGTTAGTGCAAATGGAGTTTTGTCAGATTAATACTTCCTTTTTGTTTAGATTTCGATAAATTCTTTGATTTGAGGCTATCGGAGGATGGTATGTTTGATATAACGCTATTTTTTTCTTGTGGGTGTTTGCCTATTTCGAAGAAGTCGCTTGCAAATTATCACTCTTCGCATAGGTGGCCTCTAACTGATAATTTGGTTAACACAATTAGTCACACCTGCAAATTTAGTATATTACAATTTCCACTTAAATTTTATATTAAATAAATGTTACTTTCCATTTCTGTTACTTGAATTATAGAATTATTATGAATACACTATATTACAGCATCCAGTTAACATTTGGTTAGCAAGTAACCTTTCATATCGAGACAGGATCATCGAGTGTCAAAAAAAAACCTAAATTTTTAGTGCTAATTTCTTTAGTGATGACAATCTAATATCATAGATGGTGTGCTATGAATAATATGCTTATTTTTTATCTATATAGTACAAAATGACCAGTCACTGCAAGTGGCCAGTTACACCTCAGTTTGTACTCTATTAATTAGAAGGAAAATTATTTTGTAACATCTACATTATCTAAGTAAGTAATTAAAATAACGTTATCATATAAGAAAGAAAACAGTTGTGTTTTGATCGCATTGTTTGTGTAAGATCTATAGAATGCGGCTGCATTCGACCACTGTAACTATGAGTCATAGATTATATATATTTTTTGTGATTTTTAAGCACATCTATCTTAATAGATCAATTTTATTTAATTAACTGTTCTTATACGTTCACCAATAAATTTTGACTTAAAAATATTATGAATAATTCTCAGGATATTTTTTTTAGATTTTAATAGTAAACACTTAATCAAGCTATATATAATTATGCAATAATACTTATTGCCTTTTTCTACGATAATGCAACAGTGCACCTAGGCCACTCATATATAATACATTTCTTTTTATATATCACATACCGACATATCCTATAATACCATACAAATTTACATAATATTTTTAATTACAATTTTATCTATGAAATGTTATGCATGAAAAAATAAAATTAATAATGCCATGTAAAATAATCTCTGTGATAAATTTATTATTCTTGAATGAGATCCAAAACAATCATATCAATTAGTTATTTATTAATAGTATCTTTTTTTTTTTTTATCGTGTCTTCTAGGAAAGTTATTCCAGAATATTTTCAGAGAGCTTTTTTATTTTCTCTTTTCTATTTTAATTATACATACTTGTGCAATCTTTTATTGTTTTTAATTTTTTCAATTTTAATTGAAATGGAGATGTGGAATTGACCCAATAGACAAATGGTATATGAATTTATTTGTATGTAATCTACTGTGCCCAGGAGATAGAATGAAACAGCAACATATTGCTTCTTGTTCTGCTCCATGTGTGTGGTAGCGTCACCTTTCTGCAAATATATTCATTTGCCACGTATCTAAAGGGCCTGCTTAGAGAGGCCTAGGTCTTATAATCGCGAATTAAGTTTTAAGTCAGAATTTATAAATTATATCAACTATAAGTAGGGAGCGTTGAGCGAATAAATCGAGTTATCTCTTTCTTTATTTAAATGAAGATCAATGGAAAGCAGTGATACATATTTTAATTCTGTTTATTTATTATGGCAAATCAATTATTCAATGCTCTTTGAATTTAGATTAAATAAGAATCGGTATATCGGTAAATGTATCTTCAACGGATTATATAGAGTGCCCAATATTTTATAATACACGCTTGACTGGACATGTAGGAAAAGCGAAAAAAAAACCGGTCAAATAAATAAGTTTGGTTGCATTGCAGCTCAATTGATTACTATATGTATAATAAGAGGACAATTTTCTTAGATATACAGCTAAGAATACCAAAGAGTAGTAGTCAGCTTTAGTAAGAATTTTCATAAAGCCGTTGAAGATATGTACTTAAAACTCTCTAAGAGTGTCAACATCCTAGATGATTTTCGAATGTAACATGGCAAGTTCCAAAGAAAGAAATGGCTATGTGTAGATAATATCGATCTTCATACTAGTAATTACGCATTGTAGCGGTCAACACGTATTGGCTATGACCTAATATCGGAGGACGCATATATTTAGCATAACTATATAAATATAGAAAAGTTTACATTTTTTACGAATATATTTAGATATTATTTGATATCTTAACCACGTTATTCCATTCTCCAAAAGCAGTAATCTTCATCTTCATTTTATTTGCACATTTTTTGTTAAGACTTGAGTGGAGCTTGACATTAAACGGAAAATTTTACAATACATCACACCCAAACTTTAAGTGCGAGCTGCGATTAGGTTCTAATTGTAACCAATGAATGGGAAGGATATATTTATTTTAATATAGGTATTTTATGGATACGACACATACACAAAACATATTCACAACCTCACACATTATGACACATGATCACATATACGTTACGTCGCTGCATAGAGCCTCTGAAGTGATTAGACGTTAGCTAGCCAATCGACACTGCCGAAAGAATAGTCATACTCATCAGACAACGGGATTATGATAGTCATGTAATGTGTAAGAGTTGCTGAATAGAACTTCTGGTGTTATTATTGTTTTAGATGTAATGTCTGTAGAAGTATGAACAAACTCAAGCGAGGGGTGTACTAGGTGCGCTGAACAGCCTGTCTTGTTTACAAGAAGGTACTATTTTTTCAATATTGTACAATTGGCACATAAATTTGCTTTAATTGTGTGGAAGATTTTGATATAGATTATAAAATAGATTCCAAAATTTCTTCGTGCAGGGTAATCGCGAAACTTAAGGGATATGAAAGTAGTGTCTGTTAATGTTATATACCTAATTGTAACGTTCGATCTACGTGTATAGTTCAATTTCTAGCTTTTACCGGCTATGAAACCTGTTTTACAATAAGTCTGGGCTATTTATTATTCCTCCCTTTAAAATATATAGTAAAGCATGGTAAAATAGCAGATAAAAGCTAGTTATTACATAACTAAATTATGTATCATAGTTTTCTTCGTTAAATATCCATCTCCCTTATATTAAGTAGCTACATCTAAGTCGTTTTTAATCATGTAATGTGAGTGTTATAATTAAAATAATTTATAATAAATAAAAACATTAATAATAAAATATAAGTAATGTAATTATAACTTTATATTTTTAAATGAGTAATTTATATACTGTAATATTGTAGCGTGTATCACTTCATGTAATGATTTTATCCTGTGGCGTTTTAAATGTTGACAGACTAACAATTGTATGTATGTTACATTTACATACATTCATTGATTCTGTATGTATCATACACATCATCACATAGTACTTGTTGGGTTTACCTGGTTTTTTTATTTTATTTGTAAAATAAAATATGCAATGAACTGCGGTTGTTTTAAATATGATTTTTATGTTTTAACACTATAATCTTGATACTGTGGCATTGAGGAGTCGCGATAGACCAAATCTACAGAACCGCCTAATTGGCATGCCTATGTTACGAACTGTTTGTATTTGTTACATTTTTTTATTTTTATATAAATAGGCTCCTCTTTGCTTTGGTAACTTTATTTTTATACACAACACTTATTATAAATGAAGATACGAGATATTTTTACGAATTCGTGATAAACGTAAACTAGAGTTGGTTTTGTTCATTTGATATGAAAAACTTATTATTTTTGCATTTAACATCAATAGTGTCTCATGACTGTTCCACAGAAGGATAAAAAATTTAATTTATTGAGTTAAATTATATTTTTAACATTAATGTGGAAAGTGGAAATGAGTGTTTTATTAAATATCAAATACCACTCACAAAATCTGATTATTTTTAAAATTATTTTAATTTGATACAAGCCATTTCAAATAAATTAAAATTTAATTACATAAAATTTTACAAATATGATTTTGTGCTGTAATTTTTTGCAAAGCATAGTTAATATATTATATAGATTGCTTATATATTTTAATTTTGGAGGTCAGATATAAATCCGTTCAGAATTGAGACAATTTTGGAGGTGCGATAATTGTATTATTGTAGTATATATCGGTTTTAGGTATTGCTTTAATAAATGTTAGTTTAGGCTAGGCATTATTGAAAAGATATAATTTTGAATAATGCCTTTTTTTATTATTCATACAAATTGCTAATAATATTTAGTTATATAGTATAAAGTGAAATTTGCTTATGTACGTAGTTAAAAGAACTGTACAGCACCACACTGTTGCCCATATGTTTTTAAACATAAGTGGTAGTTTTGTGTTAGAATCGCCCAATTATGTATAGAAGAATATATTCACTGTTTGTATAATCGTTGTTCAGATCGAGTGATGTAGAGCTACGCCACTTGAGGTAGCCTCACGCAGAGATAATGTCTTTATTCAAAATTCATTGTGATAAATAATACCTACTTTCATTTTTTTTTTGTCATTAATATCAATGTAATAAAACAAAAACTACAACAGTTAATAAATAATGGATGTAACCAATCGATTGTATAGGTATAATTTAGTAGATAGATCCAATATTTAGCTATTCAGAAATAGCTGTTAGATTTCAACTGTGTTATTTTATTTACAATGTGTAATACCCATATACAATACATTAATATAATCATTTGAAGAAATTGATAATATTAATTTGATATTTAAAAATATTTATAATTTTATAAATTCAATTTTTATTATAATTTTTGGCTTACGATACTAAATGATTGGTTGGCACGTCATCAACTTGTATAAAAAACTTAACTAACGCGTCTATATATATATATATATATATATATATATATATATATATATATATATATATATATATATATATATATATATATATATATATATATATATATATATATATATATATATATATATATGCATACGATATTAATACTATTTATAATCTTGCATTTGAAAATTTGAAATCACTATCTGAATATAGCTTCGAATTCTTTAGCTAAAAGTAAAATATAGGTACATATATGTGTAATGCAGATTTTAAAATTTTGTTTTTATTTAATTATGATTGTGACAGTGGGTTTTCTCATAACTGCACTAATAATCGATTATCACAATGAATTTTGAATTTAGTTAATGCATGATTATTTATGAACGAGTGACTTTAAAATGTTAACGATTGTGTTGGGTCCGCCTCAAACGCCTCTCAAAATGCATAAAATAGTTAATAGTTTTATTCTGTGTAAATATTTATTAGAGTGTTATCATTTTTACGTCCTAGTTTATTATTACATTAAAGTTTTCTTTTAGTAATTAACGTCTTTTTCCTGAAACCAATAAACCAATTTTGAATTAGTGTTTTAACACTTATTCAAAATTGGTTTTCGAATATTACTAATTGGTAGTATTAATTTCGTTGTCTAACCAATAGAAAATAGGGGGGAAGGGATTGTTAGTAATATGAAGCCTCATTACTAGCAATATACCCTATCAGGTCGACTTCCACGCTGTTTCCCCTGAAAACCATCTTGATTAAATGTTTATGAATTCGTCATTATGACACCAACTGACCTGTTTCATCCTCATCTATCATCTTTTACTAGAGCTCCTCTAGCGTATAATAATAGTGCAGGCAGAGTTACCATTCCATTATCACCCATTAAGGAAATAATAATAGGAAATTGTTTTTAGCAAACTCCAATCTATAACTAAACTTTTTATGCAACTTAGAATGGCAAACAAGCTGACGACGCACCCGATTGAAAGTGGTAACTGTCGCCTATAGACATGAGCAGTACCATGGACATAACAGAGTATACTGTTTCGCTCATGATACCCCCATGCGTTGCCATTACTGAGGACTATGTACTATGTATCATGTATAGTCACACACATACTATATATGTTAGCAGAATTGGAACAAAATAATTCTAATCAAATAACTAGATACCAAATTTCAACATGGTTGGTCGAATTGTTTAGACGCTAAGAAGTAACAAACAAACTTTCATATAATATTGGTGAAGTTATAATTACTTTTTTTTTCAGGATGGTTTGTCACAACAAATTTTAGGAGTCTGAAGCGCACACAGTGCTATTTCAGACCGAAATATAAGGCATTTAATACTAAAAGTTTTTTTCTTTAAGTGTTATGCTATTCCTTTCTGGATGAAGAAACTGTTGTAGTTCATAGTCTGCTTGGTGACTTACTATTTAGTTACTAATTAATTATAGTCTACAAAATAAAACGAATTTTTAATATTTAAATTTTATTTACCACTTTTAAAGGTAATGTAAATAGTGAAAATATTTTTATAAGTAAAAGAAAGCTAAGCATCTTATAAAAATATCATATTTATATTATACGGACCTAACAGGCTTTAGCATATTATTGTGTAGTAGGTAATACACAATAATGCTACACAACATGATTTAAATATCTGTTATAAGTGTTAATAATTCTTTTTCATTTATGTAGAATTCCATATTGATATAGTATAAAGACTTCAAGTTCCTATTTCATCCTTTATAACGACGTTAGTGACATTGGGAAAAAGTGAACAATTTTGGAATGCAATATTACATCTAAATAACGTGACACATGTAAATTGTTATATTAAAGACACAAAGCCTTTGCACGCCAGTCTTAATTTATAAAAAAAAAAATTAACAGATTATTCACCACGCCGCAATAAATATATTTTGCCAATATAGACAACAAAAAGCGTGTACTATTCATAATTAATATAAAAATCGATTTGCACTAAATATGCAGTTTGAATACTAAAAGTATTGCCAACAAATTGTCATGATAATTACTTTGTTCAAACAAGTATCTTTTCATAATTGTATGTGCTGTGTTTGTATTTTTATACTAATTTTACTAGACACGTTTATAGAAATAAAGACAAATACACGAACCCTGTAATGAGTTCATAACATTAATACTCAGGTTTTATATATATACTTTTAATATGCGTTCTGAATGTATATGTTGCATTGGAATTGTGTATAGATTTTTAGGAATCCATAGCCAAAGTGCATAACTGTGATCTGTTTGTTAAATATAGCATGATAACCTTAACAAACAGGAACACAGAACGAATATTTTATTAGAATGAAAACCAGACAGCGAACTTTAGACTATTATGGATATCACATCAATAACTTAAAGAGATATACATACTTTCAATCTATTAAACATCGCTACGGAATTATATTTATACTATTATTGCGTTTACTTGCCTTTTTTTATAATATGAAACGGTGCATATTATGAAATAAGTACATTAAACAGAAATTAACACCTAAGTATTTAACTAAAAAGCAGTATAGGAGATATTCCTAAACATAAAGGCTTCTGCAGACGAGGGACAATCCTCGACTACTTTTTGTTCATCAAAATAAAACACATCATAGAATTGCATCACACAACTCACAATGTTTCAGGTATAATATACATACGCGAAAAATGTCCCTAGTCTGCGTAGGTTTCAGGAAGGCATACGAGTATTTCGAGTTATTTAATGCATAATATAATACTTCATAGATGACTCGAAACACGAAGTTATCCATTTTCATTATCGCTAGTAGTAGCGGCGTGGTCGGTGCGGACAGGACGGGTAGACGATCACATTAGGGCAAGGGTTTGTTCTCAGGGATGGTAGGTGAGGTGGCGCCGCTGGCGGCGCGGCTCGCGTCACGTAACGCCTCATCAAAGCTCTGTGTTGAATTCGATCTAGAGGCCACTTTCCCCTGTAATATATCAAAAACAATTTACAATTTCTAATTGATAATGATTGTTGTTATAGACTAGTGATCTATCTCATGTTCATATAGATAGAATTTAGCGGTAGATACTCATAGAATTTTGTTGTTAATTTTTATAGTGGATAAATCTCCTCTATTAGCAACAAAGATCCTTAGAGTTATTATAATATGGTACCTACACTCTAATAGAACATAACAAAAAGCTAACCAAGTTTTACTGACATTCGTTTCATCTATCATCATATCTAAAACATAACAATATATGGTAATGTTCGTTACATTTTTGTATCTATATCATTACCTTCAAAGATTCGTTCACTGGTTTCTCATAATACTGCCTGTATTATGAAAATCCTAGATCAAGAAGTAAGCGATTGGTGTGATTATGTGACAATTATTTTTTCTGTTATTTATTTTATTATACTTTACTTTTTATGAAACTTAATCATAGTATTTATAATTACTATAATAAAGTATTTAAGATTATTTTCTACGGGGGCTGGTCTTTTAAACAAGGCGTACAGAACTGTCAACTATGTGCAAATACTTAAGAGTCTTTGCACATAGTTGACAGTTCCGTTCGTATCATGGCGATCGTTAGACAATTCTTGATGGGGCACGGCCTATCAGGCCCTCCTTAAATACGCCCCCGATTTAAGACCAATAGACTAATATTTTCGTACCTTAACATTTTCGTATGCAGAGCCGACTCGTTCCTCGATAGAACGGAATGATTCGGAGTTGCGCATCTGGCCGAGTTTGCTGGACACGCCCGCCGTGATGCCGCCCAGGATCGAAGTAGTCTTCTCCGCAGTGGATTTTATCACAGATTCAGTTTTTTGGTATCTGGCGTGCATTTATTAAACATTCTATATAATTATATCTAAGTATAAGTAATAACATTAAATAAAATATTAAATTAATATCTACAACATAAGTATCTACTTGGACACCGATATAAATTCACAAATATGTTAAAAAAAAAATTGTGCAAGTCATATTAATATATCAAAATGAAAATTTTAAACGACAAGTTAGTTATTAGTTCGTCGATTAAAATTTTCAGTTTTTTAGGTTTGGTAATTTAAACTGTATAAATTTCTTAATTTAAATTAATAGATTTTAATTTACGAATTTATAGGCATACTTTCTTTCGGGTTAGAACGTATTAATATAGTAAAATATAATATCTCTATATCAAACCATGCAGTAAAATGCATTTCAACAAAAGGAATATTATTTACATATTTTTAAATGCTAAATTTTAAGCTTTAAAAAATAGATCTAGTAGCATCGCAAAGGTCGTCTCTTGCAATAAATTTTTAAATATAATAGCATCAAGGTATAAGTAACAGAATTGCTCAAAGATACAAAATAATAATTATAGATTATATAAAATCATAAATGAAACCACTCCAGTTGAAGCGAGTGTTATAAAAGCACTAATAACCTATCCAAACAACGATATGATATGTAGAAATAGATGACGTCATCTTTTGTTGACTATATTTATTTACAAATACTAATATCCTTCACGTTAACACACAAATGATTGAATTACTAAGAAACTGAATTGTCTAGTTTTTGAAAGTAAAATGTTTCGAGTATGAGTAAAAATTAATCAGAAATTAATATTATATAATTATGACGGACTCTCATGATGCAGTGGCTTTTTGTATTGGTCTGGACGATTTTTAAGTATTATATGTAGTAGGTAACCCTAGTACAAAGGGGGGAAAGGGATTGTTAGTAATGGAGTTTGACAGCCCCATTGCTAGCAATTTGCCCTATTAGGTCGACCTCCACGTGGTTTACCCTGAAAACCATCGTGAACAATTCTTGTTGAATTCGTCACGATGGGCTAACGGACCTGCGTCATCCTCACCTATCATCCTTCACTGGTGCCCCGCCGATGTATACCGATAGCGTGGGTGAGGTTACCATTTCATTATCACCCATTAAAAAAAACCCTAGTACATACAAACTCTACTCAGTCCTAAACTAGATGGCGCTAAAAATTTCTAATGACTTAAAAAATATGAAAATTCTGTTCGGAAAGATGTTTGCCTTTACGTAGGTATTTGAATGAAAAATCATAACATTTACTTGACAATATTATAAAATAAGTATATCACTAAGGGTATAATTTTCTCCTAGATGTAATTTAATATCGAAAATATAATATTATATAAGGCACTATGCATCTCTTAGAAGAACTTAAATTTGGGTGTAGCTACGGCTCTGTCCTCAACTCTTGCGATTTGACGTCACACTCATTGACGAGCGGTCATTTTCATCCCACATTGAACAATGTAGGTACATTTACGCTCTTTTTATTTCAACGACTAACATGATATATTCGTATAAATAATATATTACACTTATAATTAACAGTCATTATCTATTATAATACATACATACATATCTGTCACGCCTGTTTCCCATTAGGCAGGCAGAAACAATGGAACGCCAAATGCTTCGATTCAAACAAACCTCTTTCGCTTCTTCCACAAGAGAGGTTTGTTTGTGGATGTGGATTCATCAATCTTTTAATACACGCACGTCGGTACTTTTAATTTGGCCCTTCTTTAGCACGCCACCTATTTGGTCAACGTACGTCCGTCTAGGGCGGCCCCTACCGACATCTACATTCATTTTTGCTCGACAAATCTCTTTCGTAACTCTTCTTTCTCTCCAAATGATCAAACCAACGCAACATTCCTTTTTTGATTTTTGTCACTACATCGTCTTTCAGTCCACACTTCTCTTTTATCTTTTATAAATATAATGCAATTATAAGTGTATTTAATAAGTTGTTTATATATACGTGTAATTTTGTTTACATTAAACTACGAGTTATAGTACATTGACTTTATAGAACAACAACAATATTTACTACACTAACTCTTGTTATAATTGTGCATATCACATATTACTAATATGTTCGAGTTTGCCCAACTATTTTCTGAATCAATAGAAGCAGGGCCGTAGCTAGAACCAAGTTTAAGGTAGGGCAAAAAACTTTTTGGTAAGGCAGAAGCCACAATTAAGTGACTACGAAAAAGCGAATTTATCTAATTTTCTTAGGGTCCTTTCATTTTAATGTAGTTTACGGCCATGAAGTTATATTATTATAAATCTTTCACTCTGAATTATTAACAGGTTGAAATTACATTACATTTCAACGATTCGATCCTAACGGATTCGTTCTCACTGCTATCAGAGCTGAGTGTAGTTCAACTTAGACCATGGATGGAATACTAATCGGTTTATTTTTTAATATTTTTTTTATACATCATTATACCTTGTGTAACAAAGTGGAAAGTTCTCAGTTGTAATGAGAGCGTAGCATGGATAGCAGAAAGTTGAAGGAAGGTATTTATAATTCTCAAATGCTGGCTAACAATAAGTAAAAATATTTTGCACAGATGACGTCACTAGTTTCTTAGTGTAACAGTAATTGATCAAGTGAATACTTACATTGGTGCTTCAGTCACAGCCTTTGAAAGCTCTGCCAGGCGTGTTTCTATCGTTTGATAGCTGTTGTACAACAAATCAAATGTGAAACAAAAAGGAACTAATAACAAGCCACCGCACTATTACCTAGAAATTCACTGCCAAGCTCAAGCGAAACTATTCTAATAAACCAAGTGTCTAACCAAGTGGTAAACGATTCCAATTCTAAAATAAACGACTACTTACATTTTGTGATTTTTCATTATCATTTTAATACATTTTTGGAAATATTCCTCCAATAATTGCTTCCAATAAAATCCGTTTCTCATGATCCATCAATACTTTGAAGGCTTGTTAAAAATTAAGACTTATAAAAAAATATACTTTCCAAAACTGTTGCATTTTTTTTTTGGAACCCTTAGTTTTTAATTTAACTACTATTAATTTTACTGTTCCAAATTTAAAACGATAACATGTTTAACAAAGTTTCATTTGCCACTTGTTTAGAGCCTTGGATGACATACCGCTACCAAGATTGTATAAAAGTAATCAGGTTCTAACCCTCTAGAAAAAAGATCAAATGGGTACTCTATAACAAACAAGAATAGTTAAGTGCAACTATAATAAAAGCAAAGTACCTGATACTTAATTTGTATTTGTACTTACACTTGGCTTTCTTTTACGTTTTTCAAACCCTGATTAACATCTTCAGTGATCTCTTTCCACACTGTGATGCCAAGTTTTCGTTTTAATTCGGAGCTCTGACGAATCTATAAAAGAAATTAAATTAGGAATATTTTATACGTGACAGTTTATTTGTTAAGTATTTTAGTAAATACTTAATTATGTTCGACTCTTCCAGCCATTTATTGGTTACTTTGTCATTTCTTTAACCAACATCAAAGCTAAAATTAAAATATATTGCGTAATCTTTCTAAGAGTTCATCCGCAGTACAGATTTGGCTCTTATTATCAAAAGTCTTGTAAATTCTGAAGCAAACAAAAGTGTGTGCATGAATCAAACTTATGAATATATATGTTATTAATATAATAAAAATACTAATGAAAAAATTTGTGAGCTTTTATTAATTCAGGAGATAAAGAAACAATGACGTTATTAGTCATAACAAAGCCATTAAGTAATTACCTACTAATATTATTAATGACTGAAACGATAATGATGATGATTATTATTGGTAAAACTGAAGTTTGGATTCTTGTTATTCAATCACGCTTAAAACGGCTTTGAATTAATTTTTTATACGGGTAGGTCAGTATATAAAGTATAATTTATATTAATCCTAACATGCGGACAAAGCCGCGGGATACAGCTAGTATTATAATATTGCCATAAGATGCAACCTTGCTCTGAAGAACAGTGCGCAATGTGGCAATCTCATCTTCAACGCGAGCCAGCTCGCGGCTCCACTCGGCGCGCAGTTGCTCCGCTTGCTCGGGCGTAAGGCCCGCCAGCTCGTCCACTACTGGGGTGTCGCTCGCCGCGCCAACACCCGCCATCGCTTCCTCAGCTGAGACAATGAACAAACATGACAACAATATTATTTTTAATGAATGATAATGGAATGGTAACCCCGCCTGCGCTAACGGTATACGCTGGCGGAGCACCAGCGAGGGATGATAGATGAGAATGAAAAAGGCAGGCCAGTTTTTGATGGGTGAAAATGATATGGTAACCCCGCCTGCGCTAACGGTATACGCTTGCGGAGCACCAGTGAAGGGTGATAGATGAGAATGAAAACAGGCCAGTTAGTCCATCATGATGAATTCATCAGGAATTAACCATGATAGTTTCCAGGGAGAACCGCGAGGAGGTCCACCTGGTCCACATTGCTAGCAATATACCCATTGCTAGCAATGGGATTCTCAGTCTCCATTACTAACAATCCTTTTCCTCCCCAGGCAGGCCAGTTAGACCATCGTGTATGGGCTGTAGCCCATTCATACATAAACGATATATCTTCTTTGGAAAACACACTATATCCCGAGGAGATAAAAAAACATCGCTACAAAAAATATTTTAAAATCCCAATCATTGATAGGAATTAGCAACGAACTTTAAGAAAAGGGGCGAGCACAAAAATATCGTGGAAAGGTCGTAGTGTCACAGGAAAACGCCCGTCTTTTAATAATAATAGCCCATCGTGATGACTATACTTGTAATTCAGCACGATGGTTTCCAAAGGGGATATCGGTTCTTCTTTTCCTTAACACAATGTAATATTTGGGAGTTATTTTTCTTATTTGTAAGTCGAGTACATAAGCCAAATGTCTACGGACAGTGTTACCACGCTTCTTCACGATCTCATACTTATCAGGATAATATCCGCCCACACGGAATATCTCACTCATGTGCACCTCGTGATTAAAAAGAAAGTTAGATAATAATACAGACTTAATGCTCCTAACCTTACTTATATCTAAGGTGATTACTGTTTTAATGTTATGATTACCTCAATATTTTACATTATTAGGAGAATTTCTTTATAATGACATATTCCCAATCATTAAGTTTCAAGATTCCATAGTTACCACATTATTGTGGCATGCTAACAACAATGTAAAAAAATAATCATATATAATTACTAGAAGCGCACTGTCAATTTTTTGTACAACAAACAATAGTCGACGTTTACTACTTTAATAACATGGACATTAAAGACACCACGGCATACCGCAAGGATCTCTGTTATCTCTCGTTTTGTGGTGAAGAATGACCACGAACAGTTTGACCCAAATCAGAAGTACTTTAGCCAGTTTGTGATTACAGATAAATAATCCGAGTTGAATTTAACTCCACAAATCAACATACTGGATAGGTATGGTAACTGTCGCATAAATATTACTAATACCACGATCGTAACACAAAAACTAATTACAACAATTAATTTATTAATTTAAATAGCAATTGTCGGAAATTGCAAACGCAATAACGTAATTAAATCCCCGATATCCGATATCATACTTTCAAAATGAACATGTTTTAAAAATAATACCATAAATATTGAATGCACGTTGAAACCTCCTCGCATTGCCATTTTTGATGACTAAGTTAAGAAATAACAATTACCAATAATGCTAGCCTTCAAATCAAAACACAGGCATGCAAGCACAGCTGCTTAGCGGCACGTTTTAATATTATAATTTACGAAACCATCATGACATGCACATGATATGCATAAATAAATCAAATTCATATAACGTTTTATGAAATGTTAGAGACAGATAGATAGATTTATTTTCCAGAACATTGTTACATTTTAACAATTTGCATTAAAGCATGCAAATTGTCGAAATGAAATTAATGACAGTAGATATTCCCTGATATTGATGGTAAGAAACAGTTGTTACTTCATTATGTTTATATATCCAATTTTAGCGTTATAGTCCTAGATATTCGCTGATATTTAAAATGACAGTAATGTCGGCAAATTGTTCGAATTTCTTGTTTGACAGAAGAACCCTTTTAGGGTTAGCAAAATTATACTTTTAAATTCTAGGACGACCGGAACTTTTTTATGACCGGTCAGTCAGTACGCAATGTGAAAATTAGAATCTGTGTCATTGCACAGTTAAATAAATTTATGTCACTTAGTTCTCAGAAATTATATCACACTATCTATTATTAAAAAAAAAGGCCTGAACTTAACACTTAGCCGCAATTGTCCAGAAGTAAGATGGGTACACTTGTGTATGTAATTTTTGTTAATTTTGATAATGCATGTTATTTACGTGATATCTTCGTCAATTCTAAATCGATAAGTACTATTTTAACCCTTCCCTTTTAATCAAACAACCATTCTGCAAGTTCTATAGTAAATTATCGATCAATTAATTTTTTTTTTAAATAATATTAAACCATTTCATCCTCCAATTGAAGGAAATTAAGTAGTTTATTACTTTATAGCCATTGAAGTACCGTATATACCTAACTAGAACATCCAAATGGAAAGAATTTTTAATGGCCTTTTAATTGCTGCTTACCTCAACTCGGTAGTAAAATATATATTAATATGTCATATTGCAAAGAGATTAAGTGCTTTATTGTGCTATCTCTGGAGCAATTACTATAAAGATCGGTCTAGTTGTCTAGTCGTTATTATTTACAGGTCAACTGACAGTTCATGTCTTGTGCTTAGGGTCAATCTGCGTGGTTTAACATTAAAATTTTATTAAAAATAATTTTGAAATTCCCACGCGTTGCGTGTCCAGAATAATCGAATGAGATATAATTATTTTCATATTTCATAGTCTCATTTTGTAAATTTCATAATGTAATCTTATTATTATTTTATTTAATAGGTTAGATGGATATCTCAGGTCTATTTTGAGAATATTTTACAATATACGTTATGTTTTCTGTTTTTTTATTCCTTTAGTCCTGTATTCGGTTGACAGGAAGAGATCTCTTTCAGAGATAAGCCTACCGTTGCTCACTATATTTATCTATGTAATTTGCAAGTGCTATATATATAAATGTTATATCTCGATTATCGATCGATTTAACTACTCTGAATACGTAAATAGACATTCCTTTTTTAATTTACAGAACTTCAAATCATGCTTGCTAATTTCTACTATAACTTATTAAGTAAGTAGATCTGGATCTACCTATGTATTATTTGTAGCGATAAAAAACAAAATAAAATATCAATCTACTAAAACCTGAAATATCGTAGTTAGCCTTTGCACATTCTTTGGAATGTAAAATAGAGACAAAATGTTTTAATAATTACGGTATCCAGATTGTTGAATTTGGTAACATAAATTTTAATCATAAATTTACTACTAATCAGTTTTTCACAAGAAAATGTTAAAAAAACATCAAACTTACAGTGTTGGACTAAATTTTCTAAAGATTAGCCATGAATTAAATATTATTATAATAACCAATACACTTGTTATAACAACGTTATAGTTCGTGGCAGTACTATAAAAATTATATAGATTTAAATTAATGTAATGCTTTCATTAACAAGTGAATGTAACTATACAAAGTTTTCGTAATTTAATATATGGATATGATGGTTTCGTAAAATTTACGTTTCAAATATATGTTAATATAACTATTGAAATAATTATAAGGAAAGTAAGAGATGCACTACTTGATTGGGAAACCCTAAATTGTAATAATACTGCTAATGTTATTACTGAGTAAATTGTATTTACAAACAGTTATAGAAGTATTTCAAAATGTAAATAAGGCGGAACAAACCTCCAAGGGTGATACCTAAAAACTTCTTATAATTAGTATGACTGGACACTCTGGCAAGATACGGCTTTGATAAATCTTGAAACGTGACGCGCACTTCACGCATTTTTTTTCTAAATATACGTAATCTGCGACGGCGATTGTCCATATAGAATTCGGTCTCTATGCAGAGCGCGGACTCTGCAAGGTCGGGGAGAGCACGCCAGTCCGTGTCGGCATCGTCATGCGGCCAGCTGGCTAAATCTTCTACATCGTCCAGTTCATCTACGGCCACGTCGAAGCTTGGCGTGGAGTCATCGTCTGGAGTTACAAAGTACGGGTCTTCCATGTACTCCAAGCTCGTCGGCTCCACGCCAGTGTTGATCGTTCCATCGCTCGCCATACCCCGATCCTCCCTCTTATCTGCCTCTTCCGCGGCAGTATAACATATTTTAAAAATATGTGGTTGATCTATCCGAGTAGGCTCTCTCTTGTAACACGAGATCATTAATGTGCATTTAGTATTAAGATGTCACTTGGCGGAAATATGAAAAATTTCACATGATCACACATTAAGAGGCAGGTCTCACTTTACAAAAATATAATATGTTTTCGCAATACATTATACACGACGAGCGACAGCAAAACACGCACAGCCGGCGCGCAATGAGGTCCGTTTCTTCCGCCACGTCGGGCCCCGAGCAGCACACCCGCCCGCGCCCGTCTCGCGCCGCTGCCTGAGTGCTCGTGTTTGCCACTTTCACCAACAGCCATGCGTGCGATCCCCGATCTTTGTGATTTTTAAATATGATCTTGACCCCCCCAAAATATTTAAAGTACTTAACATAATTTTGAATATTTATATTTTTGTAGATTCACGCATATAAAGTTTATATAGATAAAGACAAGTTTATTTCAACGCTGGTACAGGTTTCTAAAGGAAAGACAACAAAGAACAAAACAACATCGAGCTCACCTTGTGCAGTACAGAGTTTATTGACAGTGCCTGCGGCGAAAGGCTGGCGCTCGGGGCGGTGCGGCGTGCCGCGGAGCTGGACCAACACACTGGTTACATCATTTGTATCTTGACGAAACGTCACAAAAAACGTCGATTGCAAGACACGAAGTTATGACTCATTCTTTCAAATGCTTGATCTACTCTTAGAATATCTAATTTTAACAAAATAGTACACCCCAGTTGCAGAATTATTTCCAATCTTTGTCTTTGAGAAACATAAAAAATGATATAAAACAAACTAAGCGCAGTAAGTTATATTTTTAGCATTTGGAAATTGTACACAAAGAGATCAGACCAGTTATGCAACGTCAAGTGGAGACTTAGACTAGTTTAAAAAAAAAATTAAGAACCCCCAATGTTAACACTAAATTTTTTGGCATTTGGTAGACCTTAAATGATTGTGACGACAAACCGAAATCGACCAATGTACTCGTAATAATATTGTTATTTGCTGGTTTTGCAATTGAAATTTTCAGTTTATAATCACTGTAAGAACAATTGTACAGTACTATTCAACAGTTTTGTTTTTGTGTCATACCAGACTCGTTTCACCTTGGTATTCTAATAGGAAATAACACGATGAATGTGCAATTATGAGATGATGACTTGGTGGTTTAGAAAACAAATTTTATTCGGTTATTATTTACAGCAGTAAATTGGAAGAAATTGCCCATGTTATGGGTAATTTGAAAATAAATATTATAAAGAGGAAAGATTTGATTTTTTGTATGTCTGTTCGATAAAATCTATTTATTTTAAAAATTCTATGTAAAAAACCAACATCAGCGAGTAATAACACATATTTATAAATTGAAAAAACAAGTATCTTATTAGATAGGATATATTTAAAATAAATATAATTAGTGTTCCACAAAAAAAACTTCAATTATGGCAAAACCAGTGTTACTTTGATTTAAAAACTACTGAACCGAAATTGATAAAAATTTCTATGGAACCAATATCTAAACACATTCTTTAAAAATAAAAATAAAAAGAATTTTCTAAATTGGTTTACAACTAACGGAGTTATGAGGTAACAAACTTAAAAAAATACCATTGAATTGAGAACCTCATTTATCTAAAGTCAATTGATATAAGGGGACTTAAAAAGACCAATAAAAGCCAAGACAATATTTTTTTAGAAATTCTGCATGTCTGTTCGTCTGTAAGTTTGTTTCAGTTTTCTAAAATTGCTGTACCACAGTGAATGTGATTTTCAGTTGTGTTCCTGAAGGTCCAACTTAAAATCTGTGTGTCTTTTATCTTGTAACTCCATTAGAAATAGAAATTTCATTGAATTTTCCTCTACCGATCTGAAGAGACAATCCACGAATGGAAACGTTATCGTGCGAGCGGGGGGTATAAAGAAGCTAGTCCGGGCAGCGACACACTTAATAGGACAAGAAAAAAAAACTCCAGCCTGAACCAACGCCCCTACAGTCCACGCTCACTGTACGGCAGTCCACACAGTACATCGTGGTCCTTCGATTGCTGGAGGAACACCGTTGGTCATCGAGAAGCCGGATCGCTGGAGGAAGACCATTCTTTAATCGCCGGAATGCCGATACGAGAAACATGAATCGCAACAAAAAATTTCTACGACCGCCGGAACGCTGTCCGTCGCTGCCACGCCGTCCGTTGCTGCCACCATTCTGTCAGAATGTCTTCTGTCGCTGCCACGTCGTCTACCGCCGCCACCACATCGACTACGAACACGTCCGGCGATACGACGACCACAGGAGCCACGGAGACTACCGAAGCCACAGGAACGACAGAGGAGACAGCAAGGAAAAAGGAACCGAAGCACGGCACGGCACGCACGGTTCGCACCACGGCCTCGCAGAAGAAGAAGGCTCTGGACAAGGCACGGGAGGAGCTACTTCGAAAGGAGGTGGAATTGGCCGCCGCACGTGTCGCCGCCCTGGAAGCCGAATCAGAAGAATCAACGAACGTCGGATTGGGTTCATAGCACGCTGGCACTCACGATGGAGCCACATGTACCAGAGATAGAAGAAGTCACCGGCAAGCGTCAGGGGTTCGTCCCATCGAGACCCGTTTAATATCTATGCCTTATCAGGTTTATCAACGCACTTCAACCACGCCACGTTTACCTTTAATGTTTGAATGTATGCATAGTACGAGTTTGATAAATAACAATAAGTATTACATACTCCGCGCGTACGACATTTCACTATTTGAACAAGAGTCACTACCTCTACAACGAAGAAATAGTGAGAAACGTCACAACGCTTCAAGTACTACGATTTCGCCAACGACCAACCGGAGGGACAACCGGACCTTAAACTCTCTCAGTTCCTGCAAAGGACCGCCGCACGATGTGGAAACTTCGCCCCCGCCGAGGAGATACCGTCCGAAGACCGGCGGGAGTCCGCTCCTAGGAAGACGGCGAAGACATACACGACGCAGGCTACACCACCGTGCCCGATGTGTCGACGAGAGACACGCTCCATCAGGACACATTGGGCCTTGCGAACCTTGTGTTTCCTGCCAATAGAGCAAGAGATAAAACAGTCTTATAACAACAATCCTGTTCGTGTTCACCTTACTGGACCTATCATCGAGACGACGTTGGCGGAGCGAGCACCATTTGGAAGGTGTGGCCGGGGCGCGGATCAAACGTGTTCACTTCAAGATCCGCGGGCGAAATTCACAAGAATACACAATAATGGACAGACTGCAGTTATCACCGCATACCGCACAGCGTCATCAAGGGCTGTCCACATCTGCGGGACATAGAAGGGAATTGGTCTATGAAGAGGGCAAACCGACGGTGCTGATAATGCTGGCCCACGAAGTCAGAAGAATCCGACACGCAGCCGGTCGCATCACTCACCGACCTGGGATATTTGCACGGTACGAGTCGCGGCAGGACAAGACAGCAGGTGCACAGAATGACGACACACGAAGAGGAACAATATATGATAACATTATCGCGCTCGAATTGATAAATACAAAAGAGGAAGTCGCGCCCTGCGCATTTTAGAAGAGAAAACTCGTCCGTTATATTATGCGACCCTGTTACGAATATATGTCGACAAGAACGAAGAAATTAAGAAGAGGTATGAACAGCAAATAGACATACTCAAGAACGGGTATGCTGAAGTCGCCCCGCCACGGAGTTCCCAAGCCACACTTCGCCGTCATCAACCCGCAGAAACCGGGGAAACTGCGGATCGTGCACGACGCAGCAGCCAAGACGAAGGGCATCAGTTTGAAAATGCTGCTGCCGGGCCCCGATTTGAAAGATATAATCTTGTTTTACGGCGGATCATTTCTGCACCGGGAAGAGGGAATGCAACGGTTCCTTCGAGGAGATATCCTGTGGAATATAGGATGAAGAGTGTCATATTCGGCGCAACTGTACTCGTGTACAGATCTACGTCAAGAACAAGAACGCAGAACATATAGCAACGGCTGGTCATGAACCACTTACGACTTCGCCAGCTTCGACACGGAAGAGCAAGCCGTGGCGTCTCAAGACAGGTCGCACAGATCCACGGTCGAGCCAAACTATCTCCAACGGTGGGCGTCGAAATCAAGTGCGCGCCGCGTTCTCCGACACCGGCGGGGACAGCGTGGTACAACTCGACGCGGAGAAGATACTGGGGATGGTATGGCGACCTTCTGAAGACACCTTAGGCTTCAACTTCAACGGACACAAGCTTCCGCCACAGATAGCCAGCGGGGAACAGACGCCGACGAAGAGAGAAGCGCTACGAGCAATCATGTCGCTGTTCGATCCACTGGGCCTCGCCACTCCCATCACCATACAGGCGAAGAAGATATTGCAGGAGACGTGGCGTACCGGTATCGACTGGGACACCGAGCTGCAACCACGGGAAGCGGACGCCTGGCGGAGCTGGATGGACCACGTGCGACGGCTGTCCGCGCTGGAGGTGCCGCGGTGCTACCCGGAGTAGCCACGGCCGATTGCATACATTCGTCGACGCCAGCTCGGATATTATGTTTAAGCGCGAATACGTGTCGCTGACGAAGGGAAAATTATAAAAGCTTCGCCTATCGCGCACGGCAGTCGAAGAACACGATATAAGCCCGCTCGCCGAGTATACTGGTCGGACTCACGCACCGTGCTCGCATGGCTACGCACCGGTCCTCGCGAATACAAGCCGTTCGTCGCGCATAGAGTCGCCGAGATCGTCGAAGAAACGAAGACGAACGAGTGGAGGTGGATACCGACGCGGCACAACGTGGCAGACGACGCCACACGCGACCCACCGACGGATTTCGGCTCGCAGCATAGATGGTTCCGTGGGCCGGACTTCCTGTATCTCCCCGAAGAGCAGTGGCCGCGTATACACAAGCTACAGAACGCGACTAGCATTACCCGATCCGTCGTTTTTCTAATTGGTTAAAACTTGTTCGCAGTTCAGCACGAGTGTTGCAGTTCATCGATGCGACCGAATAGTCGATAGAGAGAAGACGAAGATGAAAATCAAGGCAATAGTCCATCTGTGTGTTTCATCCCCATAGACACACACTACCTAGCTTTTCGTTCGGCGACGAAACTATTGAAACAAGGAAAACAGCTGCCGTCATCCAGTCGACTCATAAGCTGTCAGTCGTCATAGACAACGACATTCTGCGACTTCGATCGAGGATAATGCCGCCGATTTGAACGCCTGGGTGCGCC